GTGAGTGCTGGACTCGTGTAATCACACCACTTTTCTTCGCCTTGGAAGAATGGTCGTTGTTGGAAGATACTTGTACTTCTTGCTGTTGTTCTCTTCGAGGAACTTGCTTGGCATCACTGCCTTTGTCAAGTCTTCGTGGTGCTCGCATAATCCAATGAGTTCTCTCCGGAGTGAAAGGATCAATCGTGTTCGTCCATCTTGGGCATCCAGGAACGAGGAATGCCATGACAGATGATGTCGATAAATTCGTCCTGGTTCAACTGTTATTGCACGAAAGGTGGAAAACGTGGAAGCTCATCGTGTTCATCCGATGAGGTGTTGATGTAGGCGCGAGTTGTCATCTCGCTAGGCTTAGCATCTTGCACGCATGAGCGTTTCTGTTTTTCGAGGCCTTGTAAGGCAGGCTTCTTCGATAACCGCGTTGATTCCAAAGGTGATGTCATCATCGCTTAGAGCGGGTTCCGCTGCACGTCCCATGCGGTTGGACACGAACTTGGAATTGGACTTCGGTTCTCCAGAAGTCACGTCGCGTGGAGCAACTGCGTTTACAGACAATTTGTCGAGGGCGTTGTGACGCACGGCACGATGGCCTGCACACCCAGCTTCGTAGGCACTCTTCGCAGAGCTGGAAGTCATCCCTTGAGAAGGCGATGTTTGTCGTCGGCATGCAAGGTTGAGTCCAACGAAACTTTCCATATTCGTAGCCCATTGATGGTCTGACGCGGAGTGTTGGAACCATTGATGATGGCTACCTTGAAGTATATTTGGCACTGTTTGCATCTGCAGGAACGGTGCAAGTTTGTAGGTTGTTGTATCGGTATCGTCGCTCGTTCGTTTCGTCATTGTCGACGAGGAAGAATGGGTTTGTCACGCAACTGTTTCTCGAAGTTGCGTGAACGCATGCTTTCCTTGAGGCAATCTTCATGGTGAAGGAATAGGTTGAGGGTAGCTGAAAGCTATTGTGTTTGTTAAAAAATGCACTACGCTAAAGCTAGTGTAAAGATCTTTCGAGTGTTTTGAGTTTGAGAGAATGAAATTATGAGAGAGATTAGAAAGCTACGAAAACTAATCCATGAGAAAGATCGTTGTGAAGCTCATTGAAGTTGTCTCCCGCGGGAGGCCTCGAAGTGTGATTATCGTAGTTATGAAAATAACTCTACGTACTCCACGGTCCATTTCCGGAACACTGGAAACTTCAGCTAGTAGCTTTCTAGTAGCGTGGAAGCTTTCCACGCTGCTAAATATTTAGAGCGATGTTTCATCGACAACCTAGTATGACTAGCAGTCATGAGAACCCTGTCTCAATGACTATTTCGCGAAGGACTACGTCATGAGTCGAACTCAAACCCTATCTAGGATCGAGTCGCGAATAAGGCTAAGAGCCGTGTATTGCACCGTCGCTGTTGGAGGGGATTCGGATTTGGTACACGAACGCGACTCAGTGAGGGTGTAGACCAACCAACAGAAGCCATCGAAATAAAGGTTTCCCGTTCCCTAATTATTTTTCTTCGCTGCCTTTGTATTCAAACACAAAGTGACTGGGGTGTTGTTTTTGCCAGAAACGACTTCCAAGTTTGGATGAAGTTGGCAAGAGATCGCACCGCGTGTCGAGCAGGAGCGTCCACAATTTTGGCACCAGGGAAGTGTTTGATGGTTTTCTTGGGTCCTGCAACTCCTCCTGGGGAGGCAACAACGGCGCATTCTTTGACTTGAGTCTTCTTGTCATCTTCTTCTTCCTCTAAGATGTCCTCGCCTTCACCACCGAGATGCTTGTGGCTTTTCAAGACCTCCCACACTGGATATCCGTAGGAGAGTAACGGAGGCTCATTGTCGTCGCTGCCTCCACAGTGGTGGAGGTACTGCGCAGTCCCATCCAGACTAGCGAATATGCTGCCACAATCGCCAGCGTTTGTAACTTTCTTGCCAACATCGTCAGCATCAATAATGCCGATGTTTCCTTTCCGCGAGTGGTCACAGTCAACCGTTGCCGAAGGGATCCTCACTTTGGCGTGAGCTCCACGACGTTGAGCACCGAATCCAACTAGACTCGTTCCTCTCAGAGGAGGAGGTGGTGGCATGACCTGCCTCACGTCCGGCAGCTTCAGTTTACCCATGATGCCCGACCCGGGAGCCATCTTCAATGGCTCACTAACTGCAACCATACCGTTCAAATCAAAGACCAAAGAATCTGTTGAGCGTGACAAGGACACAACGGTCCCAATCTCATGCATGAAGTATGACTCATCAATCTCATGACCTTCTGAGACTTCTGAGTCCTGTGGAAGAGGATTGGGGAGCTTTGTTGCTTCCGAAAAGCAAAAAACCGGATCTCCAACTTTTTCCACGAGGTGTCCCACAGTGATTCCATACGTCTCCCCGTTGTGCAGAAAGAAGAAGCTAATTGTGGCTGCTCCACCATCCTTGTTAAGAATCCAGTCGCCGCCACGCAAAGGGCCCGCTCGTGCAGGCATTATCGTGTCTTTCACTGCACCAGTTGAGGCGAGCGCGGCAGGACCTTCAATCTTCATTGTCACCAGTTGATGTCGCCGTTCGCGCCCCGGAGACCACGTCTCCTTCAAGGCTTCCAAGTCAAGTACTGTGTCTGGTGAGGAGACGTCCGTCGTCTTCTGCTTCTTGCTGGCTTGTGTTAGGGACGCCATCGTGCTTTTTTGCTACTGTATTTCCTGCCTCCGAGTGACTGACAATGCTCTCAGCGTGTTTTTGTTTTTGTCGGCTACTAGCTAGGGAGGTCCACCACACTCATCATTTCCTTTGGTGTTTGCCGTTAACTGTAGGGGGGACGGGCGGGCTTGTGCTCAGTCGTGCGTCAAGCAAAAGCAAGCTTTTAAAAAAGCAAATTAAACACTACTAGCTAGTAGCTAGCTAGTATTATGTAAAATGTGTTGCCAAGAACTCAGCAACATGATGGTATTTAAGGAATGACCATGGTACAATGAAAAGACTGTCAATGGACATTGTACCAAGGGGACCAAGTTTCAACCAACTTACTAAAAACAGTTAAATTTGATGGTACTAAGGGTACCAAGAGGTGGTACGGTGACGGTGGTACTAAGATTTTGTCAAACTTAGCACTATGGGAGGTACCAAGTTCAAAGCTAAAATTACACGAGGGTCAAATTTCATACCTATGATATGTCGAGCTCTTTTAAAAATATAGCCTTTGCTAAATAAACTAGGTACATTTGAGTACCTAAGCTAAGTAACTATTTGTAACTATTAGCAGAAAGATGCCAAGTGGCTTTGTCCTTGGGAGATTTTGGCTTGGGCAGTGGACAAAGCAGACTTGGTCCTTGTACCAAGTTTGCTTGGTCCCCACCATGAGGGCAGGAGATGTTAAGTGGCTACAAGAGGAAAAGAGTATCACCCCTAAATCCACGAGAATGACCCTTCTTGGTCCATGGTACCAAGTTCAATTGGATTACGTGTTGTCTAATTGACGTAACTGTCACGAGTCCCAGTGAAATTAGAAGTACTTAGTACCAACTTGGGGTATGGTTTAGGTAAGACCAATGAGGGGAGAGAGTTTGGTTTCACTGCAAATTCAGCCTTCAGAAACCCAACCCTCATAACAACACTTCCAACCCCCAGCCAAGCACCCACGAGGTGAAGAGGTGAATGGTGCGACTGTACGAGATAGATACCGGTAGATAGATGTAACAGTACATGTACTTGTCGGCGTTTATGTTGATGAGCAATGAGCTAGGTACATGCGACGCTGTGATACTGTTACTTTCATACCCACACCCCACATAGGCAGCTATCCAATTCAAAACATCGTATACCGGCGAAAGATTACCGCGCAAGCATTGGCTGTGATAAACTATATATTGGTTGTGATCAAGCGCTCTCCCACTCTCCCAGTTTTTCCAACCAATGATGTTTGATTACAACTCTAACAGTTTTAGCCCGTGATGAGACACCAGCTTCTGGTTGGCGTCCAACACCATCATGGCACAAAAGTCCAAGTCATAGACACCGTCCACTGGCGGGCCAAGAAACGCTCGCGCCGCGGCTTCCAGGGCGTCGCCGTGAGTTACCACCAAAACGCTCTGTTTCATGGCAGCATGTTTCCGTTGGAGTTCCCGAAGAATCCTTCCAAGGCGCATTGCGGATTGTGAATAGGTTTCATTCCACGGCGGAGTGGTGGTATCTTTAAGAAAGGAGCTCTTCATGGTGACCTTTCCTCCACTGGCCAGTTGGACCGTCTGTTCGCAGTCTTTTCCTGTCATCAAATAGTCGTCTTCTTGCTTGTCGCCGTTCTGGAGGTTCCGCACACACCCCATGACTTCACCTAATCCACGATGCACCAAGATCTGTGCAATGTCCAAATGCAGAGCAGCAACGGCGGCGGTTTGCAAACAGCGTCGAAAGGGCGATGAATAGATGGCCGTAATCTCGTGGTTCTGTGGCAACGCCGCTTTCAAAACTGTTCGGGGAAGATCGTAATCCGTAATGGGGGTATCCCATGGTCGCTCTTGTCGATCGGGCCACGGTACATCATCTTCCCCGTCTTCTTCAACCATGTCCAAGCGGACCGAATGGCGGAGAACCGCCAAGTAGGGCGGATTGCTTCCATCCTCCATTGCTCTCTTCCAATTTGTCGTTGCGTCGCTTGCAATTGTGTTGTGTGTTGGGTGAAGTGGTTTTGGTTTGTTTGGCTTCTAAAGTTGGTTGGGTTGTTGTTTGTTGTGGCTGTTTCCTCAGTCGTGGATATTGCCCACGCTTAAGCCCTCAGAGCAGCCTCCAATTATTACGTACCGACAACCTTCACTCTTCTTGGAGCTCTTCTTGGTCAATCTCATTTGTCCATTTCTGTAGTGTAGAGCTGCAGCTATTGAAGATGCATGATCATACCGTAGGGATCAAATGAGTCGCTGCTAAATAACTTGCGGTTGGACCCAAATCGGGCTCTTGTGTCGTCATTTCTCTCAAGTAAGTGAGTGTTGTGTCACCGATGATGATTATTGCCCATTGCTTGGATGGCGCAGAATCGAATCGCAACAATTTGGTTCACTTGGACATCAATTTAAGTAAACTGTTTTCTACAATTTTAGAGTTTGATTAGACACAGCAGAGGACCCACGAAAACCTTTGCACGAACGCGGCTGTTTGTTTGTTTGTCCAAGAAGAACGCGGTACTCTACTGTGATCAGGCAGCAGTCACTGATGGCCGATACTGATACAGTACAAGGCAATGGGCCGTGCAGCAGAACGCCACCCTTCGTTCGCGCCCTCTCTTTTGAATCTCGGTCGCTATTGGTGTGTCAATCCGTTCGTCTTCTGTACCGGCTACTTTGCCTGGCGCTTTCCATCCACAATGCAGCCCCAACGATCCGATGGTGCTCCAAATTATGGACTCACTAGTCCTTCTCCTTCCTCGTCTTTGTTGTTTGCTTTGGAAGTTGATGATGATTTCTTTGTCGTCGTCGTCAATATGGAATTGACTTGATCTCGTAATCGTTCTTGCAGTTCTTTTTTGTTTCCCGAAACTTTGAGTCCTTGCTGTTTGAGGATTTCCTTGAGTCGTTTGACGGTGAGTTGTTCAATGGGATCGGCTACCGAGAGTGGATCTTGTTTGGGTGCCTTCTTCTTTTCTTGAGTTTGTTGCTGGGATTGTTGTACTACTGTCTCTGAGAGGGTTTCTGGATCGACGACCACGGGTGCCTTTGTTGTTTCGTCAATGGCGACGGGCACGGTGGGTGGTGTTTGCTGTTGCTGCCAAGGTGCTTGGGTATCGAGAAAGGGGATTTGAATTTTGGTGGGATCTTTTGGTTTTTTGTTCGTTGTTGCATCCATTGCAAAGTCTTGTTTTTCTCCCGTTTCCGGATTGGTTTGATATTCTCTGCCATCGGCTTGTTGTGTGACTTGCTCCAGATACCCCTTGTCGGTCAATTGTTCGAGTGTCTTTTGGGTGAGATTCAATCCGGAACTAAACATGGTTTCATCGACCATACTTCGGTTAATGTTGTCGACATCGACGCCCAAGGACGCGGCATATTCCTTGACATTGAGCATTTCGGGTTCGTCGTATTTGGATTCCAGAATTTCTTCCTCGGGATAAATGCCCTTCCAATCGTAATCGACGACATCGTACTCGTTGGCGGCTGCTAAATATTTCTCGAGTGTCATGGTAATGGAGCGACGACGATCGGAAAAGGTCCAAAAGGTCCCATCGAGTGACAAGCGACCACGGAGTTTGCGACTGCCGTCGAGGAGAATTAGTTGTTGTTGTTGTTTGGTATTATTATTATTGTTGTTGTTGTTGTTATCCAGTGTGGTGGTATCGACGCGCAAATCAATGCTGTTGGCTCGTGCCTTGAAATGGACATCTTTGGTTTGTGTACCAGGAGGTACTTGGACGGTCAACTCAATTTCCAGAGCGTCTTCTTTCCATGAATAATCCTCAGTAATGCCATAGCCACTCATGAGGGGTGCTGCTCGTGAAGCAGGGTATCTTGGTGGTGCAAAGGAATCCGAGAGAGGCGTCAACAGAAGCAAGCAGCATGATAAGAGGGATACCGGTAGTCTCATTAACCTGACGCTCATCGTGTACATGTACCGGTAGTTGGTTTTGATCGTGTCGATGAGGCAAATAGCGGATGGGATATTATTAAGCCAGCGGAGCTGTGTGACCTCGGCAGAAAGGTTTCAGTGTAGAAGCAGATACCCCTATTAGCTAGCTAGCTAGAAGCAGATACCTGTAGTGCTTAGCTAGCTAGTGCTTAACTTGCGCTTAGCTAGCTAGAAGCAGATTCCCATAGCAAGCTAGAAGCAGATACCCCAAGCTAGCTAGAATACTAGTTATATAGCTTTTGCTAGCTTTAGAGTTTTTCCTGGTAGAAGCAGATCCCCCTACTAGGATGCATGTAAATAGCTTTAGCTGGTTTAAAAGCACCATCCCAGAATACTTATTTAGTTTTTGCTGACTTATTTGTATTCTAACCCTACCCTTATACCTGCAGGGACCACCGTAGCAGGAAAAACAATTAAAGGGGTTGAGGGCTCTGGCAGCAAGACTGCCGAGGTTATGCTACTATATTTTATGCTACTGTATTGCACCAAGAAGTAACAGATGAGAATGGAGTGATGGAGCTTGCTTTTCGATTATTTTGATGGCTGTGGAAGCTTTTGGATCTTTCAGTCATGAATGGGTGTCATCTTTCTTTTGAGCCACGGATCCTCATTTTTCGGTAGCTTTTCTTGCTTCTCCCTCCTTCCTGTGGGCTTGAAGGGCAGGTTTAGTATTGTCATGAAACCAAAATGATTCTCTGCAAAGTACTTCTCTCACTTACCTTGTCCGCTATATTATTTATCAGTCAAAACCAAGTCGCCGCCATGAATGTTGCCCTTGTCACAGGTATGTTACCGGTACGAACGAAGTGGCATGGCATTCATTATCATTCTTTTCTCTCACATGCTGCTCCAATACTGCTTCCGCCATGAACGCAATAGGTGCCAATCGGGGAATTGGAAAGGAGGTACATACGAAACGACAATTGCAATGGTTCGACCAAACTGTAATGCTTATCCTCATCATCTCAACCTTTTTCTCAACAGGTCTGCAAACAACTAGCCGACAAGGGCTATCAAGTCTTGTTGGGGTCTCGATCCTTGGAAAAGGGGCAACAGGCCGTCCAGGAACTTGGACACTCGGCCATTACACCCATTCAAATTGATGTCACCGATCAGGCGTCGGTAGATCAAGCAGCCAAAAAGATCCAATCCAAGTATCAAAAGTTGGATGTTCTAGTCAACAACGCAGGTAGGTACAGAGGGTTGTTCCAAATTTATTTAAGTCGAGCCTTGCATTATGATATGTGCTGGAGCCCTCTCATTTTATAGATATATTCCCTTCTTTTCTGTTACATCTAAAAGGCATCAACTATGACGATCACGAACGTGCCATTTCGGTGGATCTACAAGATGTCCAAAACACCATGGAAACCAACCTGTACGGTCCTTGGAGATGTACCACTGCCATGTTGCCACTCCTCCACAAATCCAACAATCCACGCATTGTCAATGTCAGTTCCGGTGCCGGATCTCTTTCGGGCATGAGTGGAGGGACACCCGCCTACGGTGTCTCCAAGGCAGCCTTGAATGCCTTGACACTCAAGTTGGCACGGGAACTTTCTTCAACAATGCGGGTCAATGCCGTTTGTCCGGGTTGGATTGCCACCGACATGGGAGGAGCGGGAGGTGGACCCATTCCAGAGGGTGCCGCCTCGGTAGTGTGGGCCTGTACACTCGACAAGAATGGTCCCACGGGTGGATTCTTTCGTCATGGCAAAGCAATCCCTTGGTAGGGTCTGCCGTAATAGCTTCTGCGCAAAATAGAATGTAAAGACTATAGACCCAAGCATACCCACTAGATTTCTTCAATTGGAGATAACTGGATCACTTGGGTTGTTAGACTTGCGGTAGATGAGTTAGTGGTTTGTACGGAGTGGTGCACAGAAGATGTATCAGAGCAAAAGACAAAGGGTCATGGATTCACGGGCTACTGACAAGGCACGGCTACAAATACCCACTCCTCAATCAATTGCTTGATATCGGTACGCTTGAATTAGAAACTATAATATAGTCTCATTATTTCCTTGCCTCCTTGATGGCCGTTTGGAGTTCCCCATGTCGTTTATCCAGATTGGGTCGAATCTTGTTGGCCAACTCGAGTGTTTCCTCATCCAATTCCATTGCCGCGGCAGAGTCCAAAACATAGTCTAGCACTGCTGCCATGGATTGCGTTTGCTTGGCACCTTGGCGTTCGATATCCTCCAGGGATATTGTGGGATACAGCAAGGTGCCCAGATCTGTCATGCCTTCTCCTACCACCCGTGCCAAATCGTGTGCCTTTTGCAAGAATTCCAAAACAGTCTTGCTTTTTGCAGGCACTGTTAATTGTTTGGCCGCCGATTCACATGCCTTGAGGACGACATTAATGGACCCTCGAGAACACTTGATCAATGCTACAGCTGGTTTGGCCATTTCTAACTCCTTTGCTGTGTATTGTTCCTCCTGATTTCCAGCCGCCATTTGGCAGAGGAATTCTTCAAAGGTTGTTTCCTTGTCATCATGTTTTTCTGTTTGTGGATTGTCATTATCATTATTATTTTCTTCTGCAGTGGTGGAAGCTGCTGCCCCTCTATCAATCATTTGTTGAAATTCCTGCATGGTTTCATTGCATTCCATCATCCATGTAAACAAATCTCTTCGCATGGCATTTCGATTTCCCTGTGGAACCTTTTTCTGGATCCATTGGTCACAGGTTTGCCAAACAGCCCCACATTTTTGTGCGGCAAGAGTATTGTCTTTTTCCAACACTTTGGCGTCGGGATGATGGAGTAGCATTTCCACCAATTGAATGACACTGGCCACGACGGACCGTGCGGCTCGTTTGGTGTACTGTCGTGTCGATCTGGAACAGCCATAGGCATTGTTGCCAACCACCAAAGCTCCCGTGGCAATCAATTGACAGCCTCGTAACAAGTCCTGGGCAATTTTGTTGGCTTCGTCTCCTTCTTGCGACATTTTCCCCACCAAGGTGAATTTGGTGGATGTGGCGTGCACCAAATTGGCTCCTTGGAGGATACACTCGTAAGATTGCTGAATGTCGCGGGGAATGTCTTGAAAATGGCCCAAGGGGGCCGACGAACGATCGTCCAACTCTTGACAGGAAATACTCAGACGTTGGAGTCCTTCCAAAACAGACGATGTATCGGGGCTGGAGGATGTCATGGTAGGAATGGCTTTTGGGGATGGTCAAATAGTATAAATGGTCAATTGTTAGTTCTTTTGGTTTGGGTTGGATGTGGTCGGTGGTGTCTTCAGATTTGGATGAATGGTGGCTGGAGGCAGTTGATACGTGCATCGCAAATCCATCTTTGCCGTTTTATTTGAACATGAGAAGGCCACGACGGTGGCTGAATCATTTTGTTGACAGATCTCATTGCTGGTGCTCTACAATCTGCAAGAAGTCTACTGTAAGCGTAGTGCTGTATCCGATCATCCAAACCATGGCATCGACAGCAACAGTATCAGGCCGCCAACGCGCTCTTGGTCTTTACCGATCCATACTGCGAGCCCACAAGCGATGTCTCCCTCCCGAAATGAAGCAACTGGGAGATACCTACGTCCAATCGGAATTCAAATTGCACAAGACGGCCAAACCAGAGCATCTCACGGCATTTTTCCGAGAATGGGAAAGCTACGTAGAAGAACTATTGAAGACGGCACGGACCCGTGATTTGAGCTCCATGGTCGATCCTGTCGCGCAAACGACGCAAGCCGCGAGTTTTGGAAGAGATTTACCCAAAGATATGCAACTACAGGAAGAACAGAGAGCTCAACTGGAATTGTTGAGACGGGAAGCCGAGAAACTTGGAAACACTGACAAATAATAAATAAAACAGCAGCGAGTTCCCGACAATGCTAATTAGCTGTCCTTCCTTACTTTGGGCCCCCCTTCGGTACAGTAGAATTTCTGGATTCTTGAAAGCGAACCGCTTACTTGCTTTTAATTCTGTTCTGCTTTCCTGTTTGCCGCCAAGGGCAAGCCAAGCAAATGGTGTTGTTGCACCTCATCACGCAGTCTTTAGGAACTAAAACATAATTCTACATAGCAAAGACTGACCGACTGAACTAAGCGAATTTTCCTGCCTGGATCAAGCGTCAACTCACAGGCCAGACATCGGCTGGTTGCAAGTAAGTTTGCATCGACCCTGTTGTCTCCCATCAATCATGAGAGTCGACTCATCAGTGCTTGGACTGCGGGTGTGCTCATCAAATGTGGGATTGCGATGGCAGGCACCATATATAGATTTCGTTGCATTCGTATGGATCGCCATCCCTGGTATTATCTGGCCGTTTTGATGGAGAGATAGTTGGTGTTTCCACATCAAATGCAAGTACCTGCCGGCAGCATGTATCTCGTTGCTTGCATGCCCTGGCCGAACGACATGAGACTTGGCAATGTTCGACTTGAGTGATGAGCCAACGTTACCCAAGTTGAGTGGTCGACTGAAGCTTCGGTGTGACCAACCAATGGCATGATGGGAGCTACCAGACAACAATGCTTTGCCTTTCTGTGCAAAAAAGTGTGGTTATTAACAATTATTTTGGTTCCGTATGATGAGGGTGATGATATGAAAAAATCTCTTCATTTGCTTTGTATCGGGTGCACTTGTCGCTGGAGCAAGCAACTTGGATAATCCGCGTCCTGTGGCCTCCTCACTTGATTGAGATCGCTATTGCCTCCAGCGACGTTCCAAACAAACATTTACAAGTCAATAGCGAGAGATGGTAGCATCCTTTCTTAGATGGACTTCATTCCCATCATACCACGAAGCTGCTCAAAGATGACAAGCTGGATTGTTGTTGTGGGGGCGAATCGAGACCAGATGGGGAAGAATCCACGCCAGAAGGTCGCGGGACCTTCGTTTTTGGCAATCTTGATCATACAGTCAACGGCATTGTTGTAGATCTTGGCATCGGACGGTTGGTTCATCAGACGGGTTCGGACCATGTCAAAGGGAGACACGGTGCATGTCATGAAGAAACCAGCAGCGACAGCGGAAAGGAATTGTGTGACAATAGATTGTTTGGACAAGCCAGTGGTGGCGACAACGTATCCCTTGGCTTGATCGTAACATGCCATCTTGGTTCCGTTCAAGACCATAGCACGAGCAATGTTGGAGTCAATACCACGGTAGAATCCTTGAATCCCCTGAGCGGCAAAGAGCTCCTTGGCAGTCCTTCCAATGGATGGGACCTATCGTTGTCAAGTGTGATGGAGAATATTGTTAGTTACCATTGGCAAGGAATCGAAGTTGCCATTATTGAGGACAACTTCAGGAATAACCGAGAAGAACACCGCAAACTCACCTCTTTTCCAGCAGAAGCCATCATCTTGGTCTTCAAGACATCAAAGGGGTTACCGGCCAAGGATCCAATGGCTCCGGCAGCACTACCAGCAGCGAATTTCTTGAGGAAGGTTGTGGTTTCAGGGTCATTGGCACCGACGAGAACCTTGACAGGTTCGTAGAGACCCAGCCGAAGAGAGGTGTAAGAAGCCTCACGAAGCCATGCAGCGTTGACTCCCTTCCACAGAGCCATAACGCCTTCGTTACTGGTGATCTTGCTGATGGTTCCTCCCATTCCAAGCTTTCCATATTCCGAAGAGATTTGAATGCGAGTCTAATGATATGATTTGGTGAAAGAAGGAAAAACAATGATGGTGAGTCCAATGCTCCTTTTTAAAAATAAGACTCTGCTATCAAATGACGCCAATGCAACACCAACAATCAATCGAAGTTTTTCGGTTATGTTTCACAGAAGCCATTTCTTGTTTTCCATGACTTCCCATCACCGATTCATTTGGCGGAAGATTTATTTTCCGAGATTCCTGCCAATAGTTTCTCACCTTGACAACATCGATTGGGTGGATGAACGAGACAGTGATGACAGCTGCAGTTCCAGCCATACCAACTTGAGTCAAAAGACTTGGAGGGGCAGCGGCAGCGGTGGCCATTGGTTTTTGTTGTTGTTGGAGACTCATTGTAGTTTTTTTTAAAAAAGAGGCGTAGTTGTTGATGGTTGATGGATTTTGTTTTGATGTTTGATTTATGAGAATCAGTGGCGTCCCGAGATAAAAATTTCCCTGACTCTGACCAGCCGGCGTGTTATCGGAGGACGCACTTGGAGCCGCTACTGGAACGACTAGCTAGCTAGCTAGCTAGAACAACGCCGAAAGGGCGACGCAAAGAGCGGAGGACAGCAACAAGCAACGAAGAAGGACAGCAGTTGGATGGCCACGTCAGGTCGGAATGGGCATCCATCCGGCAGTACACCAAATGGCGTTTTGTTCCAATTTGTGAGCAAGTTGAACTCGGAGATTCATTCAAGACTCAGAGGCAAGTAGGATTTAGAATCTTTTGGCGCGAGTAAAAGTCTGAAGCCTTTTGATTGGCTAACGAGAACACGTCAGGTCGTTGGCAAGTTGCGTCTTCATCTGCCATTTCGCTTGGTTGAGCGAGCCATTGGTTTGCGTATGATGACGACTCCATGACGACACTCTCTAAGACCAAGCACAATGCCAACGCAGTCCATGACGACTTCATGACGACATATCGAGGACCAAGCACTTTGCCAGTGCCAGGCAAGAATGATGCCGGTTGGGAAATCCTCGTAGTTTGCTACAGTGTAGCTTGCTAGTTTGCGGGCTTCATGTCGAATGAAAATTCAAAGCCACAGCCACAGACTCGACTCAGCATTGGCGGTGCGTACCCTCTTGAAGAAAGATACAGTGATGTACTACAACCGCCAGTTGCATCTAGCCTTTCAAGGGGTGTCTTTGCGGCATTTCACGGGGTGTCCTTGGCAGCATCTTTTGCACGGCCAGTCCCATCCATGAATGTCTAATCAGCTAGTGTGAAGCGGATGGACTAAGTAGTAAGTCTGTGCGATGCGTATTGGGATTGCTTGTCAAGCGAGTTGCTAGCTAATTTTAAGTCTAGATAACTTGGACGCGGAAACCAAATTACATCCTTTCCAGTCTTTTGCTGGCAACCCATGATCGTCTTCTGATTGACAGAGTTTAGCGGTTGATCAGATCGGGATTCCAAGTCATGACGGGCTCATTTTCTCTCGCAGTCAGAATATCGTATCCATCCTCCGTGACTAGAATGGTGTGTTCGAATTGGGCACTGCGTTTTCCATCGGTCGTCGATGCGGTCCAGTTGTCACCCCAGGTGAAATCCCCGGGGTTGCCCAAATTGATCATTGGTTCTACGGTAAAGACATGTCCAGCCTTGATGACTCCCTTGGCTTTGTTTTTGTGATAGTGCGGTACATTGGGGATGGTGTGAAATAGACTTCCAATGCCGTGTCCACAATACGTACGGACCACACTGCACTTGCTGGATTGTGCCACCTTGTGAATGGCAGTCCCCAAATCACGATAGAGCGTCCCTGGTTTGATGAGTGCCAACGCAGCTCCGAGACAATTGAAGGAAGTTTCGACTAGTTTGCGTCCTTCGTCGTCCACATTTCCGACGCAGAAAGTTTCGTTCAAGTCACCATGGTATCCACCCCGATTGTAGGTTGTCACGTCTAAATTCACAATATCACCATCTTGAATTTCTCGGTAATCTGGGATTCCGCTGTGTCGAGCATAGTCAAAGAGTTGGGTTAGTCCACGAAAAACCAAAACAGCTTCATCCATCCAAAAGTGAATTCATTCATGGCGATGCATTTTCTTCACTACTTACTGACAAATAACTTCATTGACGGATGTGCAGACGGAACGAGGAAAATTGTAATAATTCAACGGCGACGGGTAGCAATCTCGTTCGACACAAGCTTCATGAACGATCCGATCAATTTCATCCGTGGTGACTCCCGGTCGCAGCGCCTTTCCGGCCACATCCAGTACTTCTCGTCCCATCCGACAGGCATGACGAAGTCCGGTCTCTCCATCCAACTCTTTGGAGGTGTAAATTCGAATATTGTTGTGGGATGTCTTGTCGCGTTGTTCGCTGTAGGAAACCCCGGCGGGATCATTGGCATAGTCGGGTCGACGAATGGACGCGGGAACTTGACGTTGGGGAGAGTAGAGGCAGGGACGGAGGGGTCCCGAAAAACTAAAATTCTTGGCCCATTCGGGCAGACAGAGTTTTTCGTCCTCGGGAGCATCCAAACCACAGGATACCCCATCGCGAGGAGGTGTCTTGCGGTGTTGTGTGCTACCGATTGATGATAATGATAATAGCGAGAGAAAGAAACATTAAGTTAGTTAGGATAATCATCTACCAAACGAAGAATCAACAGAAAGATAACTTACCCTTGAGCGGCAATGATTTGCTTGGCCAAACTGTGTACCTGCTTATGGGCGGAATAGTTGGACTTGAAACAGTCCTGACTGCAGAAATAGGCAGGAGACAACCCCAGCTGGGAACACTTGGGGCAAGCCAAGTTCGACGTTACCGCCTTGTCGCATCCCTGCGATGCACAAATCTTCTTGGCCGCTTCCGTCAATGTCATGGTTGTAAAAGGTAGTGATGTACTGTTGTTCTTTCAATAGACCGGAGTAACGGGGGCAAGTAACGATGAGTGTTGCCGGAACGACCGCCATTGTGGACCCAATGTGCCCTTTGCGCTTATGCTATGCGCACGGTTCACACACTCGTGAACCCAATCTTGTCATGATTGCTTCGTGAATCATTTATTCGTCTCTATTGCGTCATCCTCTGCCTCTCCGACCTCTATTGCGTCACACTCTGCCTCTCCGAAGCCAACGCCCAACTCCACATATTTGACGGCGGCATCCCCAAAATTTCTCCCTAAATAGTTTTGGTTATTTAGAGACACGAAGGCACCGGCTTGTCCTGTTGCCGAACGAAGGAAGCGACGCCGCTCTCGCCGTCTCACACAAATTCAAACCAACTCCCACTCCAAAAATTGTGCTTCGCTTTGTTGTCTACGGAAGGGTACTGTATCATCATCAGATCTGGACCAGCTGTCATCATATCATCAGCATTGCGATTGCTTTGCGTTGCATTGCATTTTCTGCTGCCTTCCGAGTTCCAAGAAAATACAAAATACATGCTGTAACACATACATGCATGTTGTTGTTGTTGTTGTTGTTGTTGTTGTGACAAACGTAGCAGGAGTAGAGGCGACGACAAGAGGCTGAGCTTATCAGCTTAATCATAATACCAGCTAGAGCTACTAGCGAAGAACAAATATACCCACATACAACGGTATCATGACCAAAACCAGCGACAATCTCTTGACCCTCGCGGCGACCGAGTTGGAAGCCACGAAACAATGCGTACCCTTCCACCACGAGTTTCCCTCGGCGTGTCGCGCCATGATGTACAGTCTTCCTGGGAATCTCCTTTGTGTCGATTGCGGGACACCTCGTCCCCAATGGGCCAGTGTCACGTACGGCGTATTACTCTGTGTGCATTGCAGTGGTCGTCATCGATCCTACGGAGTGGGCATTTCCAAAGTCCGATCCGTGGATATGGATGCCTGGACGCAACACGAAATCCTGGCCATGCTCGAAGGAGGCAATGATCAGCTCCACGGATTCTTTGTACGACACGAAATGGGAAACAACATTGGCGAGGGAATGGCACGGCAACGATACCGAACCAAGGCGGCACTCTTTTATGGTACTCACCTCAAACGACATGTCGAAGACATTGCCTCGTCGGGGGTCGCTTATCAAGGGCGGATTCGGCGAAACAGTCAGGAGCGGGAACAACCTCCACCACTAACCCCCACCAGAACGACGACAACCAAGGAACCATGTGCGTTCCATCCGCCTGCTACTCCCACTATGGAAGCTGTCCGTGCCAAGCGGACTCGTAAGCTACCCACTGCTACTATTACACGGCATATGCAATAATATAATATCAAGAATAAAAGCAATCATATAGAGATTTTGGTTTTTGAAACATTCAGGTACTGGTACTTCATTTCAATATACTAGTAGGCTTGTGAAATACATTGAAGATAAGGCCATGCAGCTGAGGGTATTGTACAGTACCGTTGTAGTGAACATGATGCGACCAATATCTGCCTTGGAAGTCACTGCAATGATGTAATGGTGGCTCTCTGAAACGCAAGGTGGTTGAGAACTTAATAAGCTCTTTAGAAGGACATGCTCCTAGCCACGTAGTCTAGCTACCTATGGCTTTGACCGATTGAGCATTGCCCCGCTAGAGCAGCTGCGATATGCCTCCGTGGTTCCCCGTATTCCTGTAACAACAATGAGCTCCTCGCTCGGGGATGATCATGGTGCTCTCGCCCTCTATCAGTTGCCTTTGCCCTTTCCTTCGTTCCCCAATCCCTTGCCTTCTTCTCCCTTCTTTCCTGCTCATCCCTTCAGTTGGTCCACTCCATTATTGGTTCCTGTCTCTCACTTCCTTTGATTGATGCCCTCAATTTTGACTCCTCTGTCTGCTTAGTCTTCCCCAAACCCATAGTAGCCAAATTTTATAACCTACAGGCTCCAACTGTTCCAGAACTAATCAGGCACTTTTCCACTATCCCACTAAAGCACACAAAAGGTCCCCCCATGACCCTGTTCTGCAACTAACTGCTTGTGGAAAGTGGAGGCGCAGGGGGTAGAATCAGAGCAGTCTTTGGTGGTGTTGAGAAGGTCTGTGCAGTCACATTGAGGCTTACTGTTGGCTGATCCATTCTATTCTTTGGTTGGTTGGGTTGATAACCACAAGTAGTTGAAGCATTTATTTGTTTGTTTGAGACCTCCAAAGTAGCTAATCTTGTTTCTTGCAGAGACAGATCATGGCCTTTTCACCCTACACTATTGGGTCAAAGCTTGCTGCTTTAGTTCCTGCTAGTAGCTGGTACCATGGTGGCACTACAAGTTTTTTCTCGTCAGACTATACACTGGCATAACTGGCCCTAGCTAGTTGGATTCTGATGGTAGGTTGAACATTTTTGTTGGTAGCCACATGTCAGCTCTGTGTTGATCAATTAGCCAATGCCAACTTTCCATTCATTGGAATCCGTGTCCTCAGAGCTGCTATGCCAGTAAGTATGCTAAGTCAGAATGTGTCAACCCCAGATCAACTAGCTTGTTGGTGATGGCACAAGTTTCATAGTTCGACGATAAATGTGGCATCTATTTTTCTCGAAGTAATCATAATATTGACGGAAGGGTTACCTGATACTAACTAAAACAAGGTACCTCATGGTCAAAACGCCTCCCAGAACTGTAGATCAACACTGCAGTTCCTGTTGGTCAAGATGGAAGGCAGGTTTGCATTCAAAGTAGCATGTGAACCCATGTCAACAACCACGCTCTTGTGCCTCTCATTGTCAACAAGGGGAGGTGTGCACAAACGAACAAAAGAGAAATCTAGATGCTACTGTACCGTGTCTGAATCATACAATATCGTCACAATCAACACATGAAGCCCCATCTGCTTGCCTTCCTACATGTACATGCCATCATGTTCACCAAAATCACCTTGATTCATCCTCTGTCCTTCACCATCATCACTGTCACCATTCTCCATAATTGATTGTTGTGCTGCAATCATACCTATTTGCTGGTGGGGCGGCGCATATTCATTGGGTGTCCCATACCCAGCATCAGAGCTCTCGTTACCGCTGTCATTGCCTTGTACTTGTACTTGTACGTGGTTGTGGTTGTGGTGGTCACCAGTGTCATTTTCATCAATGTCTTCTTCATCATCCTCATCACTACTGCTGCCATCGCCATTCTCAGCCTCGCCAGCAACAGCTACACCATTCTCATCGTCATCATTATTGACTGGTAAGCTCCACAGGGCGCGTGCAATATCACTAGTACCGTGGGTGGGGGTTGGTCTTTCCATAGAGCCAGGAGTATTGGGAAAGTTCCCACCATTACCACCGTCCCCCACCATTGCCCGTCGAGGCTCCTTTTGTGGCATGGCACGAGGCTCTTTTTGTGGAATGCCACGAGGTCGGCATGCACCCTCATTATCCGAATCTGAGGATGTTGAGGACGAGTCATTATTATGAGCAGCCCCGCTCATACCATACCCAATTGCCAAGGGGTTGTTGAGTGCTGCTGTCACTGCTGCATCATTCATGGCATGCTGATGAGATTGTATCATCTCTACATTGGTACTATCCATGACTGGGGGCTCTGCCTCTGCCTGTTTGGTCGTGTTGGCAGTGTTATCAATGATAACCTCGGACAAGGATCCACCCCAAACCTGGAGTATTTGCTTGGCAAATTCAATCACCGGCATGTGCATGGCCTTGGCCGCGAATATGCGATGTCGCAACTGCAACCGTATCCGTCGTTCCTTTTCGGGTTCTTGCTGTGCAATATAGGTTGAGACGGGCTCTTCCAGAATAGACGACCAAGCCTCAAGGCTGTTTCTGTCAAGAGTGGCATGATTGTTGCAGACATATGAGATCAATTCCAAAGCATACGGATTGATTTGCCCACTTGCACCCTGTTGTGCTTCATAGCGAACAATGGGCTGACTCTGCTGTTTCTTATTGTTAGCATTCGCAGGAGAATTAGGAGAGTCATCTGCTCGTTGTCGTTTGCGACGTTGGCGCTTGGGTGACTGGGTGGCACCAATGGTAGTGGCTGACATAACTTCGTCTGCCGCTGGCTTTGCCTTGGCTTTTGGTTTCGGCCGGACTGCCTTCTTGGTGCCCTTGCCAGGCTTGCTGCTAGGTTTGCTGGGCTTACTGATAGGCTTGTTGATGGGTGGTGCCAGGGGCTGTGGAGGTGGTGGTGGTGGCTTGGGTTCATCGCGTGGCATACTCCGTAACTCCCGCAGTCGTTGCTGTTGCTTGAGTGATTGTTCCTTGGTGGGAGTGGGTGGATTTCCTCGTTTGAGAATGACCAAGTGCTTATTCTTGACGCCATGGAAGACCTTGTGGATGCTAGCCTTGTGGTCCATGAGGGTACAATAGGCGGGGTACACTTCTCCTTCTTGAATCTTAAGAAAACGTCCACCACGTTGCTCGACGACAATGTTTACAATCTCAGCAGCATATTGGTTCTGCAGTGCTGTATAGTCAGCGGCTCCAGCCGAAGGCATCTTGCGAGCATATTGTAGCAATAGATTTGCGTATTCCAGGTTTCCGGGATGTCCTAGATTCCAACTTCGTAGTTTGGTGGATATCACATCGTGATCTGTGGGATCAAAGGGAACGATTTCACCCTCCGTATTAGCGCCCCCTGACATCATGCGTGTTCTGTTCTGTTTGTGATTCGATTCGGGCGAGAATGTAGCGTGGGAATGTGAGAATCTGCCTTCGAGATAATGCTACTCGGCGCTTCCAGACTAGAGTTAACCAACAGTAATCAACCAAAACAGTGGGTATCCTTTGATTAGTGCCTATTATCTTTGTCTTGGCCAAGTTAACACAACGTCGAGATAGATCGAAACTCTACTGTATCGAAAAAGGTCCGTTGCATGCTGTCGTCCAAACTTTTGATGGGTATCCTAGCTACCAGATATAGCAATAATATTGTTATTTTGGATCAGCGATTGACCGGTTCTCTTTCTGAAGGAATCCTTAATCCTAAAATAGATTGTCCAGGTAAGGTTAAAGATGCCTACGAATACCCCAATAATAATTCTTTAAGTCTAACTGCTGCCGTTTCAAAACTTCCGTCTCCTTATTCAAAACGTGACACTGCGTGTTCAGGAAGCCAAAATTGTTGCGGCTTTGGTCTATTCCAATTCGGCCACGGCACCAGCACAAGCTAGCTAGCAAAGACGTTCCCACGAAATGCAAAAACCTTGCACCGTACATGGCAATTTCTCACTTTTCAGCAAACACACCAAGCATCAACCATAGTAGCTAGCAATAATAGCTGTCTGCGAGTGCTATTGTTGTACCTGGATACCCTTTTCTTTCTTCCACAGCACCGTTTTCCCATGCCTCCGAGCGGTTTCACCAGCAATAGTCCCAATAGTGTGATGGACGACCACAATCATCTATACACCCCCAGTGTCGAGAATGGCCAATCCAGAGTACAGAGACAAGATGCCAAAGATAGCGAGATGCAGCGCTCTCTCATGTTGAGTCGATCCGAATCCAGCAACGAAGGAGATAACTACAGCAAGATGGACAAGGGGCACTACCGGGGCAATTCACTGAGTCCAGATACCTTTGCTCGGTGGCAGATCTTTCGCAATATGCTCGATTCTCCCAAGAGCAAGTTAGCTGCCGCAGTGGTATCTCTTATCGCAGTCCCTTTGATGGCCTTTGGAACTCTCTTCCCGGCCTATTCACCAAGAAACTATGCCATTGCTATCTGGACGGCGTGGGATGGTCTCCTTTCCAGCTCCAGTCTCTCCATTATGTTTTTCACATTTGCCGGTGCATTCCTGTACGTGGAGTTGGCGACATCTATCCCTGCCACAGCGCCCTCCTCCTCCAGATCTCCTACTGCAATGGATACCAGTGGTGATCCCTTCTTTGTCATCACCAGTTGTCCTTCAGACCCAGCCAAACTGGCAGCAGAGTTGCCCGTTCAACCCATTTCGGGATATGTCAAAAAGGCCAAGGCTTATGCCCTCTCTTCGCGCCAACGCTTATTCCACAGTATTGCAGGGGTGACCCTGTTCGTCCTTCTGGTTATCCTGGGAATCATTGGTCCCTACTCTATTGTCTATCCCAGTTGGTTGTGGTACCCGTTGGCATGGGGTAGCTTCCACGTCTACGACTACCAAGACATCCTACCCGCCATTAATAACATTTGCAGGGACCGCAGTGATTTGTGTTTGAGCGACAGGGAATGGGAAGTACTCAGTTCTGGAGCACTCTCCCCACATAATTTCAAAGACAGAAATGCCGTCGTGGCGGGGCAAAATTACGCCAAAACGCATTCCATTGTCGTCAACGTGCTGGCAAGAAATATGCGGGAAGATATCCCTGCACTCCGAACCAATATCGAGAGTATCGCCCCGTTCTTCCGGGAGGTTGCTCTCGTGGTGTTTGAAAATGACAGTAATGACGGTACGCGGGAAGGGTTCAAACAGTGGGCCGCCGAAGTCAAAGACAAAAACTATTTTGTCGACGTCATGGAATGCGAGGGAGTTGTCGATTGCAAACTCAACCGTAAGCATCGTGACGCTGCCACCGGTCCGGCATACGACTACAGTGGTGAAATTGGAGAAATGCACAACTACCGCAACATGGCCGTACAGTACATTACCCATGACCCAAAATACAAGGATTTCAGCCATGTTTTGGTCATGGATGTCGACTTGGGGGTTCCATTTTCTCCCCTTGGAATTCTTCATACTTTAGGATCCAAACCGGATCATCCTGTGGCATGCTCGGGACACCAACTGTGGATTACTGGCTATGGCGGACTCTCCACCCCCTATGATTTGAATGCGTTTCGACAATACAGTACCCCTGAGGACGAGGGGCTCGAAGATTGGACCCATCGACTCTGTGAATTGATGCCTCCGGGGGAACGATGGCGTAGCGAATGCGATGCTCTTTCTCCTACGCGTGTTATATCCATTATGTGGAACGATCGAAAACGCATCGACGAGGACTTGTATCGAGTCGTTTCGGCTTTCAATGGAGCGGCTTTGTATCCCGTAGAACTCCTCCGTTCTACGGGAGCCATGTACGATGACGGCGATCCAGGTGAGTGTTGTTCATGCTATGCGTGTTTGTAGAATCGGAACAAAGCTTCTTCTAACTTGATTGTGAACGATATTGCAGCTGAAGGAAACGTCGGTCAACGATGTGAACATGTAGGACTCAACAAGGCAGTCGGCAAAGACAAGCCAATGTATGTGAACAAAAAGTGGAATTTCAACACTTCTCCCACAGATCCTGCTGGTGCCACCGGCGCCCGTGCCCAGAAGGTCACAAATCGCATCATGGGCAAACCAAAGCTGTTTTTGACAATCTTCTTCATACACCTGTTTACAGTGGGTGTTTTTGTTTGGGCAACGATGACCATTGGCGTTTATGCTGTCCAACCCTTGGTATCCTCCATGCTCAAGAAAATACCTCGAACTCGATCGCAAAGTCCCCGGGGAAGGAACAATAGGGCGCGCAACCCATCAGACGTGGATGCCGATTTCAAATCCACACGCAAAATCAGTGTTTAATAACAATGGCACTATAATCTGTACCTAAATTGATTCATTTCATCCTAGTGGTTCGCACAAGCAAACATAAACATGTAGTTCAGACATGGTGCCTTCCGCTACGGTACGCAACCTGCACTATCCTTTCTCACGATAGCCTGATACCTACGAACCTTGCGAAGCCAATTCAGCCCTTCAGGGTCCAGCCACAGCAGAGATCATGCCGTCGTGCATTCCACCTGCTCGCTTTTGCTGACTGTATCAACTTCTAAAGACTCTTATACTGTGGGTATGGTGGTGCCCCTCCAAGGCACTACTAATGAGTCAACACTAATTAGGTCGGACTTGCTAGGAACCACACTCTATCGTGGCTGGGAGGTTATAATATTGGTAGCTTCGAAAAACGAAGATATGTTCATCGGGGTAGATTGAGGTAGCATAGGGGAATACCAGGTGAAGCTAGATTTAAGAGCTCTTTTGTATACAACCTGTTTCATTGACTTTGCCTTTCGCAGACCCCGGTAGCTCCTACAACGGTGACAGCACCATCCCCTCTTTGATTGTTTCGTCATTCAATTGTTTTGGCAATTCCCATGGTCCACTTGTGGGGAGTACATTTGGTTTGGCTTCGCCTTGTTGCTTTCGTTTTTGGATGTATGCCGATCTCAGAATACAATGCAGGGCAAATTTTTCAAAGGATTTGACATTGGCATCTGGAGTTTCCGACTCGTCATACTGAAAGACTTTGGGATCCGTGTTTTGATAAATGGTAATAGCGTCTTGGCACATGTGATCGCACCAAAAGCTCTTTCCCGGCATGAGTGGTGCTTCTTCAAAATCCAATCGCAATTGAGCCGGCTGGAAAAAGAGAAACGTCGCCGAGGCACCCACAATGGTGCTCACCAAAAAATCATGAGGTGCCTCGGCCGCCTGGTGGACACGTTCCACGTGGGAATCTCGTTGTTTTTCCAAGTGACTCTTGAATTGTCGCAGCCGTCCACGTTGCTGCAGTTGCGCCAATTTGGGTTTTTGCTTGTCGGCAGTTGTGTTGGTGGTGGTGGTGTCGGCTTTCTTCTTGGGTGCTTTTCGTTTGGTGGAACGCAGCCCCCAGGTGAAGATGGGCTTGATATACCGCTCGGCCAATGGCTCAAATCTGGGATGAGCGACAATTCGTAGGGTAGCAAAGACTACCAAGGACATGACCACGCCATGTTCGAAAACTTCCACATGTTCTCGAATAATCTGTTTTTCCACTTGACAGTCTTCTGGCTCGGTCTTCCAGGCTTCGCCACAATCCTCCCGGACCAGAGGCCACTTGTCACGGAGGAGTTGCCAGTTTGAATTCTTGAACAACTGACGAAGGCGGGCCAATTCTCGCTGTTGCACTTGCAGTTCCCGTTCAGTTGGAGGGACCTTGGTGCTACTACTTATAGTGGCCTTGCTGTCGCTGTTGGGTTGGTCGGGAGATGCCATCATCGCGGTGGAATGTTGTGGCAGCCAACCAAAAACTCAAACTGGTCGGTTTGGATCCACCCTTGGATCTAATAATCGAACGAAATTTTGAGGCGAATCGAATCGAATCGAATCGAATCGAATCGAGCGAATCGCATCTTCAATCAACCTTGGCTCGAATTGCCACGAGTTATCAAGCCTGAAAAGCACCAAGGATTTAATGGTGCAGGGGAATGGTTACACAAGGTCGGTATCTATGGGATGAGGCACAAAGTTTCGCACCCTTTGCCCTCGGCGAAGATTGTGGGAGAAAAGTGTCACTGCTGGAACCTGAGGCGGTACAAGACAGTGGCTTCCTCAAGGTTTCAAAGAAAAGGAGCCGTGCGAACTGGCAAACCGAGCTGTCCATCCATCTACTACATGTAGCTAGCTAAGTAATCATCCTATGATACATGATTGTATAGACAGAGAGACCTCCTCGTCAATCGCATTGCAGATCCCGTCAACCAAAATGACATCATGTTCTACATTTATGCATATTAGCGGGCTATGCAGATGCACTCGTAGTGGTTCGTTGGTTTGTTCATGTTTCCGTTGCAGCCATCACGAGATATCGTTAAAAAATTGTCATGTCGGCACATACTGGCCCCAGCCAACAAACTAGCTAGATCGGGTACTTGCGTCCACCTAATTAAACCTTTTGTTTCTTGGCACCGTCTTCAGGAAGGGGGTCGCGGTCGGCCATTCTCAAAACGCTTTCGGGAGCCAAGGATGTGCCATGAGGTTCCATTTTAGCGTCCAGCGGAACGCGTTCGTAGACACGCCTCCACTTTGCGTCGATTTCCTTCAGATAGTAAGTTCCGGGGAACAAACGTCCGACAGTTGGGTAGACGGGGGTGTAGGGAGCCCCTGCACCATGCATTCGTGCACGAGTATCCAAAGCCATATCCAGTTCGCCTGGGTGGACTTCTTCTCGTTTCGCAAGTCGTTCCGTCAGCTTTAAGGCCTCTGCCATCTTGGCGACAGTGAAAGTAGATTGCTCCGTTGGTTCCCGACTGCGCGACAGCAAAAACAAGAACTTATTAGGCAACACAAACCAAGCAAACGGCATGTCCACTGGAAGGAAGGACTTACACATGCAAACGGTACATGGTGGCGAGTGCACCAGATCCGTAGGAAAACACACCAATGGTTTTACCGGGAGAAAGATCTCCACGCGATCCTGCCTTGTCCACTAAAGATGCCAGGCCGATAAAGACGCTTGCTGTGTACGTGTTTCCATTCAATTTGCTGGCCGAGTTGGAATCATTGAATCGCTGTTCGTATGCCTTGGCCGAAACAGTTTTCAGGGCCCTTTCCAATGCTTTGTCACTGTATGTTTCCTCAATTGGTTTGGTTAGCCACTCTTCCAACGGATTAGCAGTATCCGATTCTTTCTTTTCTTCGCTCTCCTCATGACGACGACGACGAGCATCAATCAAAAACATCCGCCCGTATGACTTTTGGACCAGTTTGTTGTAAGGGGCATGGAACACCCAATAGTCTGGTGATTCTGAATCAAAGGGTTGGTCATTGCTGTTTTCGCCCCTGGCTTTCTTCACATTCTGTGCCAAGCGTTGGTACACATCCTCAATAGCCTGGTAGTAGCAGACCTGGGACAAGGCACCTTTTTATTGCCAAGGATGAACGGTCAGGAATATCATTGGCGTGCGATGACTTGTCGACCACCATGATGACAATTCCAACTTACCGTCTACGGTAGGATACTCGACAGTGTGATCAGGTTTGAAAAAGTCCCATACATGGGCTGCGTGGGTAGCTCGTTCCCTTGGGTTAAATGCCAAGGGTGCATCACGGCCCACCAACACGGCAACAGCTCCGGCTCCACAGGTGGGACGAGCCGGTCCCTTGGCATAGGCTGCAATATCGGCTGCCACAACAATAGCATATCGACCATCCCAACCATCGGATTCTACCCATGTAAATGCATTCAAAAGAGCTGCAGTTCCTCCATAACAAGCATTGACTACCGTAGCTCCCTCAATATCTGTGTTGCCTGGAAACAATGACATGAGAACCGTCTTGGTAGATTTTGACTTGTCTACCAATGTTTCAGTTCCAACTTCCAGTCTACCCACGGTGTTGGGATCAATGTTGTATCTGGAAATATTGTTGATGAAAGAAAAAGTTCATGGTGAGATTCATTAGTTGGAGGCAAAATTGCCGAGCCAGCAAATACCAAATACATAAGAAGAACCCACTTTTCCATTAAAGACTTGACCACGGTCAAAGCCAAGGAATTGATATCTTCCACGTCACCACAAAGTCCAATTCCTTCTTGACCAAGACCAATAGTGTATTTTCCTTGTGCCACACCATAGTGCTCTTCCAGCTTGGACTGCAGTACAAATGTAGAAGGGGTATAGACCTCAATGGCCATAATACCGACGTTCTTGGAACCAGAGCTCATCTTGCTTGACTTTTTCCCTTGTGGATTGATTGCGTCTTTCCTTCAAATAAACCTTCTACGAATACGAAACGCCCTTCACAACAAAATGATCGAACACGGCTACAGAATGCTAATCGGAAAAGTACCAGTAGCGTACAATGTTATTATTGTAAACCACCAGCCAGGATTGCCACCACGTGCGGGAGGATATGCAATGTGCATACCAAACGGCTTCGGAAGGAGCAATGCCGTCAAAAAGAAGACGTGGATGGGGTGACGTCCTAGCCTGAGCCCTACAATAAGTAACAGTCGGTCAGTGCTATGTAGCTAGCCAGCTAGTGAACTGTTTCATTGTGACGAGTGGCGTGCAGCGTGGAAGAACTAAAACCCGTATTCGTGGAAATGGGTGCAAACACACAAGGTCAACTATGAACTTCTGAAGGAACAGCGCCCGTGCTGGCTAGCGGTAGCTAGAGCAGAGGTGGGCATTTGCATATTCTGCAATGGCTGCGTGCCATGCCTCAAACATGGGATGGCAACGAGGTGAAGTGCCTTTGGAATGGAAAGACTTGCGCATCGGCTCCCCCCAAAAATGGGCTCTTGGAAGTCCAAAAGTGGGCACATGAGAATGGGTGGAAAATGATGTGTTAAGCTGCAGAAATGGACCTATCGTGTTTCAATGGGAACGTGACAATGGAAGGCCAGAGAAGGAGTATAAACTGACTACGAGATTTGATCAAGAAATAGTCAGAAATGTAGGTACATTGGCATTCCTTTACTATACTGGTAAAGTAGTGATGCTTTCATGTGATCTTCGCTAGATGACTGAAACCCAATGCATGCTTCTAGAACTACACTTTAGAATATACAGCAACACTATCATGGGCAGATAAACATTCAACGGGTTGACTTGGCTTTCATGGAAGATCCACGAACATGTACATCTTTTAGATGGATTTGGCTTGGAAAGCTGTAGGCCTTGCTTGGAAGTTTACTCCCTTCTCGATCTCTTTCATCACTCGAAGGCATTTTTCATCCTCAAATCCAGGTGTCATGATGCTGATACTCATGGGCAGTCCCGCGCTGCCCACCATTTCCTCCGCGACGGTCTTGGACATGATGTCACGTTGAATCTTCGGAAGATCCTCAAAGCGGTAATGCTGCTCGTCTTGTCGAACGGTGGTGATTGGCAGTGCACCACAGGGCCAACCCAATAGGTTGCCAATAAACATGTAGGCGACGGACATGATCTTGCCGCATTGGCCATGACGAATGGCAGGAATCGGCAACGATGGAAAGATCACAGCATCCACTCCCGTGTCATTGAAGGCATCCGACCATTGTTGCTTCATCTTCAACAAGTCCGCACACAAGTCCCAGATTTCATAACCTGTAAGCCCGCCATTTTCTAATCATTCATCGGCAAACCAATGAGCAAAACAGAAGCAATCCAAGCCCGCACTCTTGATACACAGTTTGAACTTACTCCCGCATCCCAGAAGATGCCCAACACGTTTCGGCAAGAACAACTTTGCAATGGGACGGAAAAAGTTTGGTAGAGCTGCCACACCAACTAGAGGAGCGTATTCCGGGATCATCATTTCTCCTTCCAGTCCTTCTCGATAGGACCTCATGTTTCCCTCGGCCGCAGTGATGCCCACAAACCTGTCACGCAAGCAAAGAACAGAAGAGTTGAGCGCCCTCACTGTACCAAAGCCAAGCACATTCCCCTCCTTTCAGTGCCACTTACAACCGGTTGTGATGCCACCCGTCCGTGGGGGGCTGGAATGGCACCACCATGTGCCCTTGTTTCTTGAGTGCCTCAATGGCCTCCTTCATGGCGCGTTTTCCAGTGGGACATGGATCCATCCAGCCATCCGTCATGAAATAGCCAATCTTTAGCTTGCGGGTGTCTTGATAATCAGCTTCATTAAAGTCGAGTGGAATCACATTGCGATCCCCACGGCGTACGGTTGGAGAGCAAACCGCTCGCATAAAATTGGCACAATCCTCCACGGACCGAGCCATGGGGCCCATGGTGGCGGGGACCACCAAGGAGGAACCATACTTGTCGTCTTTCTTGGGTCTCATGGAGTTTTTAAAGGTGAGGCGACTGGGAGATGGCTTGAATCCAACCACACCACAGCAGGAGGCTGGGATACGAATGCTTCCGGCTCCATCAGCCGAAACCGACAATGGTACACAGCCAGTGCTGACCAAAGCGGCATCACCACCAGAGGATCCACCCGGAGATCGACTCAAGTTCCATGGGTTGCGACTGTGTATGATAAAAGATTGGTTGATGGATAGATGCATAGTGAGTTGATTGTTTGATTGCGAAAGCTCATTGACTGAAGAAGACCTCCCAATGGTACTGAATGACTGACCTACGACCCCAAATTCTGTTGACACTTTCGCTGATTCCCATGCCTGTTTGTTGGCACAAAGTAGAATTGTGAAGTACGGAGGGGTAGATTGTTGTAGATTTTTGTTCACCATGTGATGTGAAACCAGATTGAGTGAGAAAAGCATGACAATGATTATTTATTGGACCAACAAATGGCAAAAAAGAATAATAGGAAACAACAAACTCACCTTGACAAACGTTTCCTTTGCACAAAGGAATAGCTCCGGCCTCTTTGAGCGCCTCCATGATGAGTGAATCTTGCTTGTCTCGTCTATTGAGCCGACAAGCCAGGCCACCGGTGGACAAACTGCCTTCCAGCCCCACGCAATCCTTGACACACAGGGGAACTCCCAAGAGTGGTGGTGCGTCCTTGGCGTCCATCTGCTCCAATTTTGTCTCCAAAGCAGCCGCAGTCGCATAAGCCTTGGTGAACAGAACAGAAACAAAACAGAACAAGGAACCAAAAATGAGAAAACAAGCAAAAAGTGGCGCATGGGTACCGTGGTGCAGGCATTATCACATTTTTCTTCTTTTCTTACATCATCATATAGCTCTTCTGTGACGGAATTCACTCCTTCTTGATTCGTTCCATATTTGCGACAGCGTTTGGCCAGAAAGATGATATTCTGTTTGGGGTCCAACGATTTGTCCAGGATTTGTTGTCGGGTTTCGGATGCTGTCAACAGCACAGAGTCATTTGTGGTCGTTGCCATGGTCAGAACATTGTGCACTTTTTCTTGCCCTTCCATTCGAGTCTGATGGATCCATTGGTTCAGTTCCGACTGTCGACACCACATTTCTCGTAGTTTGCGCAATAAATGAGTGGCAGCAATGACAAGAATGAGGACCACCAATCGCTCCGCCTTGGCCGGCAATAATACGGGATCTGCAAACGTCTCCATGGCGGAGGTAAACAAGGCAGGGGATGTCATGTCGGCAAGTAGTAGTTGTTGTTTGCTCTTATTCAAGTTATGCTGCCAACCCGAATCAATCCGAGAAAGGTCGGCTTGGAAAGAAGACTTGTGGATGAGAAATACTCGCAACAATGGCGACAAATGTCCTGCCTCCAATTGTGGCATGCAAAGAGATGCGTGGGAACGGAAGGAAACAAGGAAGCACGAAGCCAGTACCGTACTGAAACCTACGTAGAAACTGGGTAAGTATGTTGGCAAAATTAGGCGGCCCAATTTGTGCGGAAAATCTGGTGGACTTGTTCGCCACCGGATACGGTCGCCACAGTCCAGCCCAAATACGATACGGTACATCGGATAGATATATGCATGTAGATGGACTGGAATTCACATCTCAGATGACAGAGCAACGGCCACTCTAGCTAGCTAGAGCTATCATTGGCGTCTTGTCCCTTCCTGCTAGCTACTTGCGTGTGGCACATGCAACCACCAAGTCCTGTACCGCTAAACACTCCTCCACAATCCCTTCCTTGCTTTGGTTCCATCGGTTTGTGACACTCCCTCTACTAGCTAGATGTGACGGCATCAGCAAACTACAGTTGTAAGATGTGTTCTGGTGGGGATATACCAGTGCATGTTCATTTTGAAAACTAAATCCCGGCCAAGAATGGTGCAAAAAGAGCAGGCAGTTTCACTTCACAGGCGAACCCAAACTGACGCAATAAACAAGCCATTTCGTTCAGGGGTTGACAGACCACTTCATTTTTAATCCCTGGGCCAAAACAGCTTTCGTCACTGACAGACATGCCGACGGGGACAATCTGAACCTGTATTTTTTTGTTTTGATGGGCACAATTTTCAAATTGAGATCCAATTCGGCTTGCATATCGGCATCCAGCCTTTTCTTGCCATCTTCAGTATTCTGATATAGGCTTAACCACCTTTCATCTCCAGTAAACTTGCTGGGAGGGTCCAAGAGAGTCCTGGAAAAATTGAGGTAGTAGCAACGAACCATGCCACTGCTATTGGAGCTTCTTCGGCATGTGATTTGAAAGTTTTGCATGTCTTTCCACTCCACCTTTAAGCAATTTGAATAGAATCCCTTGGAGGAACAGGCAACGTATCCAATACCATTGCAACTTCCACAACTAAGAGCTAAATTTTGAAAGGCTCGCAAACCTTTTTCATCCACCATTTTCTGGCTCCTTTCTTCCCACTTCCAGTCTGAACTAATACCATGAAAAAATTGGATGTGCTCAGAGAAATAGAAGTAGTCATCTGTATCCAGTGTACACACGCTCATAAAATCCAACGGTGAATAGTCAAACCGTGAGCAAAACTCTTTATTTGGGTTTTGTTGGGATTGGGGAGAATCCTCGACAAGGCAGTGTCGGCCCTGCGTCCCACAGTAGCGGAACGATTCTCCCCGACAACAAGAACAGGGTTCTAGCACTGCCAGCCCACCAAAGCTGGCAATAAGAAGCAAAAGAGCCGCTTCTACTCCCCTGAGGGTTGATAGATGACTTGAATTGTCCTGCATGCATCGTCGGAGTTCCTCCACTCGAGGGCTACATACAAGGATTGGGAAAGCCCCTCCTTTGCGCGACCAGTGGTTGGGTGGAGGGTCGGGGGAAAAGCAGAACTTTGCCATTCTTCTTTGTTGCACTGGAGAGAGTCTGATGAGGAGACCAGAAGCCCTGAAGATCATTTAGTCTAACTCATGTAAAAGGTCCACAATGGGAAAAGATCCAAATGTAACCCAGCTGATCTGCCTTGTGTTACCAGGTACCAGACCGGTACCCTCCGGTATCCGTGTTTAAAAAGATCCGACCGGAAGACAAGAAGTCAAGCAAAAAGAGAGACGAGACCCGATGAGCCTACTACAGCAAGCATAGATATAATCCATTTTCATGGCATCCAACAACAATCGGCGTCTCGTCCATCCACTGCTATTTCTGGGTTGTTTACTTCTCTGTTTCAATGAAGCAGTGGCTGTGGAATACATTGTCATTGGCGTGACGGGTTTGTTCGAGGAAGGATTTCCCAGTCATCCGATTCTTCACTACACTGCTGCTCCTGACGACTTTGACGATGGCAACATCAAAACCATTGATGAGAGAAACAGTGAGAATGACAACACCAATGCAATTTTCCTTGGACGCGGTGTCGTGAGGGGATACAGAGCCTTTCTTGACATTACGGAACCAGGATGGCGAGAGTATCATGTCAACCACAACCCTTCTTCCATCGGTCAACAACAAGCATCACCAATGGTGAATTCCCATGTCATTGCCAGCGGCTGTCGGGAACATGCACATGAATTTTCGCTGTATCTAGTGGACACGCGCCAACTAGCTGTCATTCTACAGAGTATGCCAAGGTTTACCAGCCTCACGGCGGACACGGGAAGTGTCGATCTGGATGCAAATGGCACAACACCGCTGGTATCCGACTTTTTTCGAGCTTTTTATGACGTTAGCCGCAATAATAATATCCACACTGTGGCAATTGCTCTCATGACATGTGTGCATTTCCGTGGAAAGAGCCATATTCCCATGCCTCCCGTCCACAAATTGGACGATGGCACCATGGTGACCAGTTTTCCAGACAGCTTGGCATTGTGGGCTCAGGTTCGCGATGGCGACCGCACGGCTGTGGAAGATACTACCCGCCGCTGTAGTCGTCGTCAAGACCAGCCATGCCCTCCCAAAGTTTGGGTGGAAGCCATGAAAGCCGAACAGCGCTACTGGAATGGGATCCGGGAAACCATACGACAGGCGGAGCAGTACCGTCCCAGCCAAGAGTTGGTACAGTTGTATGGACCTCCCTTTCGCTGCAAGCAAAAAGCTCGTTTTGGGGTTGGAAGGGAGGGTGATAATAATGACGATACGACACCAGTTCGTCTTCCACGCTCCTTGACACCCGCGGTGGTCAAGGCTGCCCTGAATCAGATTGGCTATGAACCAAAGTTTCCATCTGGAAGCATTGAAGCATTGAGTGTGACGACGAATACCCAAACGAACGGTGAAGCTCCTGACTTGTAAGCTTTAAGATGCCAACTTGAAAGTCACACACCATACAGCCAAATCTAAGTTCTATTCGCCCAAGATCTTGCTCTGTGGTTGGTTGCAAACTGGGTCTTTGTCAACCAATGTCAACCAATTCCATGAAAAAGGAACATTATAGCTACCAGTAACAGTAGCTGGATTTTGTGTTCTGTGCCAAGTGCCAAGGCCTGCTCTTCCAAATAAGCCAGTCGGTCTGAAGTTTGTATCCGTGACTGAGCAAGATTTGCGAGAATGCACCAGTATCAGAATTTCTTCTTCGATGTCACAATACAAGTGCATCCTGTCGATTGCATCCCAGAGACCACATTATTTGAAAGAGACAGAGAGAGATTAATTTATAAAAATAGAAGAAACCATGAGATTCACGACGAAACTTCTGCCCTCTCTTTCGGGTAACTTGGGTGTTCTGCAGTTGAATAACCCCAAGGCGCTGAATGCGTTGGCCATGGACATGATAGACTGTTTTTCGGATACCCTGGACCAATGGTATCATCCCAACAGTCAAGTACGAGCCATTCTGCTCAAGCCAGCGGATAATGAAGAAGCCAAACGCCCCATTTTCTGTGCGGGTGGTAACGTCAAAGCCATGTATGAATCTCGCATGGAACAAGAGGGGACGCATGGACAAGGCGTGGAGGGACTGGCCACGGCCGATTTCTTTCGCAAAGAATACAATATCAATTATCGACTGGCCACTTCCAAGAACATTCCACAAATATCGCTCTGGAATGGCATTGTCATGGGCGGTGGTGCCGGGATTTCGGTGCATGGAAAGTATCGAGTAGCGACCGAACATTCTCTCTTTGCCATGCCCGAAACCGCACTGGGATTATTCCCCGATGTGGGATCCCTCTATTGGATGCCACGACTTTTCAAGGGAGGATTGCCGGCATATGTGGCATTGACGGGACATCGACTCAAACCAGAAGATTTAATGTACACGGGGCTGGCCACCCATTACGTTCCGTCGGAGTATTTGGAGGAATTGGAAAAAGCATTGGTCGATGCGTCCGTTGTGGCCAAAACAGCTCAAGAGACATTTGATCCGTTTGCCGCAATTCTCATGAAATTCCACGAAATGACACCGGTGGATCCAAGTGATTCCTTCTTGGCCAAACAACGCAAGGTGATTGATGATGTTTTCACCATTGCTCCCAAAACTACAACAACCAGTGTGGGTGATGATAATGTCAAAATGGAAGATATCATGGCCAAATTGGAAACCCTCAAATCCACACCCAACGAGCAATTTGCCTGCGAAACACTGGAAACACTGAAAAAGGCATCCCCCACCAGTCTCAAAATTACGCTGGAAGGACTGAAACGAGGTGCCGCTGCGTCATCCTTGGGAGAAGACTTGCAAATGGAATTCCGACTCTCGCAGGCGTGCACACGTCGAAAGGATACCGATTTTATGGAAGGTGTACGGGCTCTGTTGGTGGACAAGGATAAGAATCCCAAATGGAATCCCAGTACGTTGGAAGAAGTGACGGAGGAAATGGTGGAAAGCTACTTTGGTCCCGTCGAACAAGAATGGAAGATTCCTGCACCGACGGATGCTACAGCGGCAAAGCTGTAGTTCAAACAAAAATGTGATTATTGATAGTGGGACCATAATAACGACAACAATGCATCTATCCGAACAAAAATGGACGTGACAGCATTTTGCACAAACTAGCGATAGAAGCACTGCTGAAGATGAATAAAATATTGTAGCAACCACCCATTTTAGTTAGAGTTTACTCCTTGCAGGATGCTGGATACTGCCAAAGCGTTCTACCAACAATCGTTTCAGCAACTTTCCTGATGAGTTTCGTGGCAGTTGCTGGACCCAAAATACCCGCCGTGGCCGCTTGTACCCTGCTAGTCCCTGCTGGCCACACCACTGACGAATCTCCGAGAGTTTGGGTCGTTCTTGTTCGACATTATTTTGACATCCCACCAGCGCTGCACAGACTGTCTCCCCAAACTTGTCATAATCTTTCAAGGCAAAGACGGCGCATTCGGCAATTGCCTCGTGTTGCATAAGGACCCGTTCCACTTCGGTGGCCAGCACGGTTTCTCCTCCCGTCCGAATGACATCGGCGACACGCCCCGCAAAATAAAAGTTACCCAGGTCATCACGGTATCCCAAGTCATTGGTCCAGAACCATCCATCCCTCAACGGCGAGTTGGGACGACGCCAATACCCTGATAACAAATGCGGTCCTCGGGTAGCGAGGATCCCAGTTGTGAATGCTTTGGCTATTGTTTGTGGCATCTCGTCTCCACCCGTAGTTGAAGGAGCAACAAGTTGCAATTCCACATGAGCCGGTGGTCGTCCAATGCAGTCTCCAGCCATTCTGGTACCATTGCTGGTTGATTGTCCACTGTCCATCATTCTTCTTCCTCCTCCTTCTAAGCTTGTCTTTGTGTTGTTGTAGGGATCATGTCGTTGCCAAAATGTCAAGGAAGAAGCTGCTTCTGTACAGGCATATGTCTGCACGATGCGAGCACGTGGGAACCGCGGAATGATCAACTGGAGGAGTCGCTCTGTAGCAGACTGTCCACCAATGAGGATTAATTTTACGTGTGGAAACACAGCAGCAGTCTTTTGGCTGTTCAATGTCTCTATCATGGCGGATAGCATGGCCGGTACGACCACCAGTGTATTGGATGCTGAGGGTGATATTGAGAGGGATCCCCAAACTTGATGTGGTTGGAAACCACTTCTGTTATGATACGAAGCAGGAAAGATCAAGGTTCCTCCCGCCATCCAAACGGCCAAAGAACTGTTCAATCCACCCACATGAAAGAGTGGGACTGTGGTGGCTAGCATTTTGGTAGACTTGTCGTAGGAGCATGGAGGAATCAACTTGGCCCTGGATTGAATGATTAAGGCTCGATGGCTTAACAGCACGCCCTTGGCTCCCGTAGTCGTTCCCGAGGTGAAAATGATCACTGCAGTGTCATTGATAGGGTTGTTGGATGCTTTTCCCGTGTCTTTTATCTCGTCAACTTGAGACGTTTTTGTCGTTATTTTATCCATCGCTTGTCGATGCTGATTGTTGGATGTTTCCAGTCGAGTCCGGAAGGACGCTGAAATGCTGGGCAAACTCAAGGTAATCACGGAGACTAGGTGGGCTTCTTTTCGTAACAACTCTGCAGCTCTCTGAGCCTTGGAAGCATGCTGTGCATCGTGGACAATCAATATTGTGGGATGATCATTCCTGTCGGATGGGTCCAATGCTTGTGCAATTTCTACCGGAGTCCATCGTGTATTTAGCAGCACAGGAAGCAAACATGATGGTTGCAAGGTACACGCCAGGATGGACAGCAAAAAATCAACGGAATTTCCGGCCAAAAATGCCACAACAACGGGCTGATGGTGTGAACGATTGTTGTGTGGTTGATGGCAGTGTCGCTTCAGGAAGAATCGATGCTGCTTCATGGCACGAGCCGCTGCTGCAAACGTCAGGCAAGTGGCCACTTCGCTGGTCTGTTGTGGCTGGTAGATGGCACATGGTGAATCAACAGTAATAGCACTGCAGGCAGCATCATGGACGATATCCGAAAGTCTCATGGTCTCTTGAACTCTTGTTGGAGGCAGGTTGTTGTCCATTGAGTGCGGCGGAGGCATGACTGAAGCCAGAAAAATGAGAGAAAATGAACGGGATTCATTCACAAGTGCGTGTTCTCGTGACTCAGAAGCCGATGGATCTTTTGCTTGCCACGAGGAAACATCCACGTCATGCGCAGCGAATGCTGCCACCATGGCGTTGGACGGCACATGCATGGATAACCAAGCCGGTGCTGCCTTACTACACATCGAATCAAACAGCCCACCATGAAGTCCCCTGTTGCCATCCTCGCCCTCGTGGCTCTTGTCTTCTCTTCCGCGGTCGAAGCCTCCGTGTTTCTTCCCAACAGCCGAACTTTGGCGCCCCGCACTGTCAGCCCCAACGATTTCCGCAAGGACTTTTCCTATGGACCTCGCCGTCCCATTACGGGATCCATGAAGGGAACCGCCATGGCCATTCCCGGTTACGGTGTGGCTGAACAAGTCATGGTGGGTGGATTTGCCAACTTTCTCTCCATTTACAATATCATCATTACCGGACGCATCCTCTTGTCGTGGATCCCACAAGCCCAGGGCATTGGATTGCTCCAACCCGTCTACCAAATCACCGATCCCTACCTCAATCTGTTTCGAGGTATTATCCCACCCGTCTTTGGATTGGATCTGTCACCCATTCTGGCATTTTTCTTTTTGAGCTTTTTGGGAAATGTTACCACTGCTGTGGGAGCCGAAATCCCAGAAGAACTGCAACAGAAACTGGCCAAATCGCACTTTGGACAGGCATCGGCACGTGGACACATGATCATGATGAAACTGCAGCAGCAAGGAAGCAGCAGCAAGAAGCAGCAACCAGCATTTTAAAGGAATGACGGAATGGTCTGTGCGTGATAGTAGCCACTTCAGGGCATTGGGGTACCCGTCAGGGGTCTCATCTGACCTAGAGTGTGACACCAAACAAAACTGCCAAGCAAACGTAAGCAACAGCTAAGCAAGAGTTAATTGCCGTAACATGCACGCTGGTGTGGATGGTTTGCAAGGTACATGTAGCACCAATAGGAATCCATTATCATTCGCATGATGTGTACACGATACTTCTGCCGGGCCACTGCTTTCTCTCGTGGCCTGCATGCGCCTGTAGAAGCTGCGGTAGTTTCCCGATGGAGCGAGCACTATGGTTTGAGCTGAAGCATGTGACTGCGCACACCCTGACCCTTGTTCTTTCTCCTCTAGCTAGGAGAGTTGAAGCGTGTGACTTCACACGTCCTGACGCTTCTTTTCTTTCTCCTCTAGCTAAGGTTCCCGTTCCATTGGTCGCTCCAGACTGATGATTGAATCAATCAATGAACTACCGATCAGATGACATTGTGATCATGTTCTCATACATTACTGCTGTTATGCCAGAACAGAGTAGCAAGAATTTCAAGCATCTTTGATGGCCCGTTCCAGATCGACTTTTCTGGCAAGTTTGAAGCTTTGAATGTTGGGTGTCTGGAGGCATGGTGGAAGCAAGAACAGACATGGTCACAAGAAAGTAAGTATAATCTGTGGGGGTCATTCCATTTTTCCTTGCCCTGTTGCCAAAGTCGATATTGGCTAGGATGACAATAGACAAGAGCCGCACATCGAGACTGTAGCTGGCTGACAAGCCTCTTGCCAGTAACTTCGAAAGAGCGGAGGATCAAAGTTGCTCCTCCACAAAGAAAACTATGGTTTCGAATACTGCTGAGACAAGTAACTGTCGTATCCTTCCAGCCATGGCAGCTGGAAGCACAAGGGAATCACATCAATGGGCAGTGTTTTGTTATCGTGTTTTTTCTATGAATTTTGTTAAGTTCATGGGTTGTTTTTCTTTTCTGTACATGTTCGTCATACAACCTATAGTCGTTGCTGCGCTCAATAAAGCTTCCTCCTTCTTGTCCTTTCTGTACATGCTCGTCATACAGCCTTTAATCGTTGTTGCTGCGCTTACGCTTCCTTCTTGTCCTTCTTGGGCTTGACATAGGAAGCCACAAAGAATTGAGCAAAGAGGTAGAAGAGCGACATGATGTAGACAACGTAGGAAGCAGTGACTCGACGGTTGCAACTTTCGCATCCAGTAGCCAAGAGGTAGCATCCTTGGGACATCATGGTAACGAATTGGACGAGCTGCAACATGGTGAGGGATGACTTCCACCAGATGGGCAATGATTTTCCAGTCTTGGGGTCCTTGGTGTGCATGCAGATGAAGTAGTATGTGTACATGACGGTGTGGATGAATCCATTGAGAGCCACTGTGAGGAAAATGTCACCATCATAGAGGACGTTGGCGTTCAACCAGTAAAAGAGAAAAATGGTAGTGTGGTGGTAGACGTGCAAGAAGGAGAGTTGTCTCCACTTTTTGCCGAGGACAATAAAGATGGTATCCCAAAAGTCCCATGCTTTGCTGACGTAGAATAGCCACAACAAGTTGGCAACGGGAGCATTGGTGGTATCAAAGGCGTTGCAAGGCATGGCAGTGTATCCGTTGCGGTATGCCACCAAACCGGCCTCAATTGTCATGTAAGCACAAAGCATGATTTGCGAAACATTGTAGAAGAATTTGATCGGGTAGGGATCAATGGGAGCGACTCCCGACTTCATGACGGCAGATCCAACAAAGACAAAGACAAGGTAGGCAACAGCCACACTGAAGGCGGTGGTGAAATCGGTCATGAACCATCCCTACAAAGAAAAGGAGAAAGTGAAAAATTTGGATCAGAACCCTTTTTTGCAACAACAAAAAATGATACCCAAGTGTTTGTTGGCGTACCTCAGTGTGCCCACGGAATTTGTTTTCGGGGTCAGACCATTCCAGGATGGACTCCCCGATGTTACTAATAGTTTGTGTGTATACCTCCATCTTGACTTGACTTGTTGTGTAGATTGTTGTTGTTTTTCCTTCCTGGATCGAAACAATGGGTACAACGATGGCAAGAAGATTTCGCGATGCTCGTCGTCGAAGCAAAATGTGAGCAGGTGAGCAGGTGTACGTGGATCTTGTGGTGTGGTTGAAGTGATTTTGGTGGCGCAAGCCGCTCCGTCATCATTTACTTTACACCAGATTCAAGGGGCTGCGCTTCAATACTTGAAAGGATATTACCTTTTGCAGCAGCGTTACCGTAAATAATGATGCTTAGCCAAGCATTTCCAAGAACTCTATCAAAACAGTCTATCCACAGCTCTTTTGGCTTTTAAAAGCACCACCTGACCGTTCAGCACACGTACAAGTCGGACGTTGCGTTTGATGTGATGCAGTTGGTTGGTTGATGGAAGTAAAGTAAGTGTGCATGTAGTTGGACATCGCTGGTGAACCACGTCGGCATTGGTCACGGACTGTGAGGCGAAAAGGTATCCTTCACCCATCATCACTGGATTCTCGCCCTTTTTGAGATTTTGCGTTCTGTCTCTGTGAAGGACCAACGGTAAAGCACCCCAACCGAAAAAGCATTCTCTTTTTTTAAAGGTTGAGAGACAATGACGTCCCTCCTGGCTGTCCCTCCCTCAGATGACACCAATCGGATACCAATTGTCAATTTGGGGAATTTTCTGCTCCGTCATACTTGGTCCATTCAATGCCTGAGCGAATTTGGGATTCCGTTGGATTCTTCCTCATTGTCATCCTTGGAGGAGGAAATGACAATGTCATTGCGAAATCAGTGGGCGAGCCAAGGTGGAGAAGACTGTTGTGGGAGCTGGGAGGAAGGGTCCTTTGTGCGCTTGTGTTGGGGAAAATCTCAAGACGATGATGATGAAAATGACGAACCACGCAGAAAGAAACAAAAATTGAGTTTTCTCGAGACTATTGGCAGAAGAAACAATGACACCAGGCAATCCACTCAAGACAAACATTCACAGGATGAATGTCATCATTTACTAGTCGACGTGACGGTCCAAGAGGAGCCATCCGCTCAAATAGCTTGTTGCTTTCCTCAACATAATACCAAAGACAACAAAGACAACACCAAAATCCAACGGTTTGCATTTTTGCTCACACGGGGATCCAAACGATCCTTGGAGGCGATTTGGCAATGCTTGGAAACCAAGACAGCCTGTCGTGTCGCCAAGTCCCTCTTTCGACCCAGCATTGTCGACATGACACTGGCCGTGACTTGGTGGACTTCCCAACACTTTTCCAAGTTTGGCAAACAACAAGACGACGACGACACGAAGCAACAATCCACCACCACCAAACCTCTTACTCTAGTCTATCAAGTACCGTCCGCCGTTGCTGGTTCTGGACTCGATTCGGTATCACTCATGGTACCGCCAGTGGCGCTGCTACGGTTAGCGAATGATATAGTTGTGAATGGAAAGAAACACGCACGGGAATCGACAACCGACGACGATTCCTCCAATGATGAAACAGTACCACTGGTGCTGGCCCTGCAGGATTTTCTGCGAGACACATTCAAAATTCGAATAGAACGATTCTTATTGACCAGTGCTTCCTGTTCGGTGGCAATGTTGGGGCGGGATGGACGGTGCAAACCGACGTGTGCCGAGCTATTGGATTGTGCTCTCCGGGAAATCAAGGATATGGTGGAACGACGAAGGGTTGGGAACGACAATGACAGTAGTACAAAGGCGAACGACAGGGAAGCATCTGCGGTTGCTGAGGAGACTGCCGTGGCATGAGACAGAAAGCAAAAGCTGGACCCAAGAATCGACGCTCCACTCCAGCTCTACAGGTTGGTGGGCACGGCAGCAAAGCCAGCTACATTTCTATGATCTACTCTGAGGAACCTTGAGGAGCTTCACAGCTATTACCGGTAGACGTCCGGGAAAACCGGACACCTAACGGTAGCGATTAAGGCCAGTAGACATCAATCTATCTGTAGATCTACGAAAGCTGATATACCAGTATTTGCAGGTCCCATGAAGACTGCAGTGACTGCTAGCAGCCATGCAACGGTATCCACTTGAAGGCTGCACTGCCAACATCCATCCCACTCCTCATCATGAGGCCAATGCTGTTGTTGTTCTTTGGGAAAACAACGAGGAGAAGTGGGTCAAGGATATCCCTGGCAAGCGCTAGCCCATCATGGTAGGCAAGTTCACCAATGATGCTGGCGGCCAATTCTGCTTGGTTAGCTGAGGGTCTTGTTTGAAGCCTACAACTCATACAAGAAGGAAGTGAAAGCCACCCAGGCGGAGAAGCACAGGGGCAACATTGTCAATCTGGAGCAGAGAACTCTGGAACTTTGCCTCTGAAATGGTTTCTCTTGCAGCTTGCATGCGCCACAGCAGAAGCTCAACAAGGCCAACAAGCAGAGAGCCAAAGACAAATTGGACCCTCTTCCGAGAAAGTGAGCAAGGCTGTTTCCACGTTGGATGATCATGATCATGATGATGCACATTCATGCCGTACACAAATTTTGTGTAGTTCTCATGACTGAATATTGCTGACTAGTGAATGGGTCTTGTGGTTGTTTGAGACTGAGCTGCATGGAGGGCTGCTGGAAGTTAGGAACCAGCATCCAGATTGTTCATTTATACTATGAAGTTACTTCCTCTATCCCTTCCCTGCCAGGCAACCTGGAGAGCTCAACACTATAGCCACATAGCATGATACAGACACCAGCGGTAGGAGCAAAACAGTTCCACCCCGTGAAAGTTTATCTTCTTGTACTCCCCAACATGAACAAAAATCAACAGAAACCACCCCAGGTAGGCTCCCATAACACACACGGGCCGACACGGGGCTCAATGAGACAAAGTTCCAACTTTCAGTAAAGTTCCGTTTTTCTTAATTGCTGGGGGTTGGAACTTTAGTGAAACTATCTGATGGTACGGTCTACCTAAGCCAACAACGCTGCGTCATTGTGGTCTCCACTACCGGTGAACTTTTGAGCATGTACAGCAGGCAAACCAATGAGAAGTTCGTGGTCTTCAATGGTTTGTTCTCGTAACGTCTTCGAAAGGGGGAGGAGCTGAGATCCGGCACCCATAGATCCAAGCATTAGAACGGCGCCGGGATGGAGCACAGCCCCAGCACCAAGATACACGGTGCCGTGGTTGAGAGTACCGCGGTCGACCCGATGTGCCACGCAATGACTTGCCTCGTCGACGACCGCAAAATTGCCAATGGTTGTGTTTTCCGCGTCTCCCGGGTCGACGAAACCAAACATGTCAATGAAAACAGACGTACAGTCGCCAATGTTTGCCCCGAGTAGCTTGTAATGCAACGTCAACGGGAAAAGACCGCCAATCAACGGCATAGTTACCAACTCCACCAACTCAACAATGACTTGCATGTGATGAAACGTTACGCCGCGAAACGTTCGAAGAGAGAACTTCTCAATGACGGTCTTTCCAAACACGAGTCTCTTTACCAGATGCAACTCGAGGACAACGCCCGCAACGATCAATAGGTATACAAGACCGACTCGAATTGGTAGGGTGTATTCAATCTCCAAGTCACCGAGGTCGACGTCTCGAACAATTTCTAGCGTCAACACTGCCCCGACAAAGAGATAGCCAAGATGCAACAACAGGAACGTATTGCGTAGTAAACCAGCCACATGCCAAGACATGCTCTCGTCGTCGTTGTCCGTTTCTGCCTTCTCAGCCTTCGTCAGCGTTGGGCTGACAGGATTCCCGACAACGATCTGTCCAGGCGCAACTGTCTGGCCGTTCGGCACCCTGGTCAGTGTAGGCGTCGCAGAGTCATTTTCCATTGTGACACCAGACTCGATGAAACTGCCAGCTGCACATTCGCATCGGTTGCCAATCGAGATATCAGGCTCGGCCGCGATGGACAACCACGGACAACCAAGACGACCGCACGATCCTATCCATTCCCACACATTACTAGCAACACCAGGGCTAGCTGTAGTAGGGGCGCAGCTTGAAGAAAATAAAACACTGTTCGAACCCACGCGGACGCGATGGGCAAGAGAGGCCGAGACGACGCCAACACATGATGAAATGACGGATCCTCGGCCAAGCCTCATTCCAAACAATCGATGCCACCACTCTTGCAGTACCGTTTTGGGTAGGAACGGGAAGTAAAGAAACACAATCAGCGCTTCCACCCGATCCACAAAGTATGGGCTCACGAACGACCACTTGAATATCACGCAGGTACACAATAGCAGGAGTCCAGCAAGTTCGTGAATCAAAACGTATGACCCCGACAAGAGGAATGCAGTCCAGTTCCAGTGGTCGTAGTATACAGTTAATCTGTATACGTGGAGGTTGGCATCGCGCACATCACTTCAGCTGCTGCTCACAGAGGGTTCAGGAGCTGAAGGTCCGATTTCGTTCGCCACCCACCATGCAATGACCATCAACGCAAAAAGAGCAAATGGGGTCAAGCAACGAAGCAAGAGTCCCAGCGGACCAATGAGCGTCGGAGATGGCGAATACGATTCGCTCTCAATCATGGTAGCCGGGAGGCCACTCCACTTAGCATTCTCAGCTTTGAGACTGCCGCCCGGTGGGACTACTGTACGGCTCTCGATGCGAACACGGCTAGCCACGTTGCTGCCGGCCATGACAACAGCACCGCTACCAACGACGGATTCAGACCCGACGACTACCTCTTGAAAGTATGCGCCGGTCCAGTGCATTGTTCGAGGAAAGATGTGGCCTTTGATCTCGCTCTTGGCTCCAATTGTTACAAGATCCCAGCATCGAATCGGGGTGTGGAGTCGCGCCGTGATCGCAATGTTCGAACCCATAAGGTTGTAAAACACGTTTCTGATGGGCGTATCCGATAGGAAATGTCCAACTGTGGCCTCCCATACGGCGACAAGGCGGGTCACGGTCCACCATCGAGCGAAGACGCCTGACCACATGACATACCGGTCATCGGCCTTAATGCGGCCAAGGAGGAGCCACTTGATAGCAATACAAGCAGCCGAATAGGTAGCCATCCAGATTGGTATGGCAAGAAAGACCAAAGGACCAGTTCTCGAGTTGTGAATCCACCATTCCGACTTGTAGTGCCAGTTATGTTTGATGTATACAGCCGACGGCATAATCGAGACAAAAATGACTACAAAGGTCAGAAGAAGGACCACCGTTTGCCGTGGCACTCGAAGAATCCTCGATGGGATCAGCTTCCGGACCAATGTGCTGTCGAACGGAGGATTCGTTGGAATCGACAAGACGACATTCTCCTGTTTCTCTCTCAAGGAAACCAGAAGCTCCTCCACTGTCAATGATGACGCTTGCGAAAAGCTTAGCTGGACTTGAAACTTCTCTCTCGCAACTCCTTCCAACGCAACTAGTTGCATGGAGTCAATGCCATTCTCGACCAGCGTACGGCTTGGGTCTACTGCTCCAGCCAAGGAAAAGAGTTCTTCGAGAGTAGCTGCGCGATGCAGACCGCTGCACTTGCTATCGAGCGAAGGGGTCGTTCCAACAGGATCGGGCAATTCGCCACACTCCCAGCGGGATTTCATTGCCTTGCGTTTGACTTTACCGCTTGTCGTCTTGTATACGGAGCCCTTTTTAAGAATCCGGACTTCGTCAACTTTAATCCCACTCACGTTCTCCTCGACGTGTAGCAGAACCTTTTGTGCGAGCGAGTCAAGAGCCTGAGGATTCTTGGTAAAATTTTCCCGCGCTTCACAAAGGAGCACGGCGGATTCGGGGGTGGCTTGGAAGGCACAGCTTGATCCTGGCCGTAACTTGTCTGGAAACCCCGTTTCAGCGGCTCGTTCAACGTCCGAAGGGGCAATATTTTTCCCGTTCATGATGATGAGATCCTTCAACCGGGAGACAAAGTACAGTTCGTTTTCACGAATGAAACCTATATCGCCTGTGCGTAGATAAGAAAGATCTTCAGTGTCCGCACCGTCGAGTTTCGCCTTCATTTCGGAATTAGACAGCTCGGGTTTACCCCAGTAACCAGCACTGACGCATGGACTACTTAGCCAAATCTCCCCTTCCACGCCTTCTGGAACCAACTTGCAGCTGTCTGGATCGACAACTCGAACGTCGACGCCACCAATCATTCGGCTGAATTCAAGATTGCCAATTGACCATCGCAAGTCCGAACATGTAGCATGGGGTGACGCTCCTGATGTGGCAGCGAGAACATGCTCAGCGAGTCCGTACATACTCGCGACAGCCGTCTTTTCGATGCCCATAACGTCGTCAATATCTCCCAGGAGACGAAACTCGCTAGGCTCAGATCTGTTACTAGAAGTCTATAGAATCATCTGATTCTATAGAATGGAAAAAAAATCTGTAGAATGGTCTGATTCTATAGAATACTTGAGGGAGGTATACTAGAATTCTATAGAATCAGATCAATCTATAGAATCAAAGTATGTGAGAATCTGTAGAAATCTTATTCTATAGAATCACACATCATATTCTATAGAATCACACATCATATTCTATAGAATCAATTGAATTTTCTCTTGATTCTATAGAATCATCTTCAATTTTTCTGATTCTATAGAATGAAACATGAAAATCTGTAGAATGTTGTTGCTCTGTGATACTACCGGTAGTACTGTTGTTGCCATTGGACGACATTGAGGCTGGTGATAGGGCATGCATCAATCCACAGACTTGACTCTCCTCTCTCCTTGTTATCCGGATCGATCGATCGATCGATTGATCGTGGACAATGGTTGATGGTTGATTGTTGCTCTTCAAATTCCACCAAACTTGAATGTCAGTGGCCAAGAACTGACTGCCATCCCATGGTCCATAGAATTCAATGAGGGATGGCTTTCAGTTCTGCACCGGAGACGGTCGGCTTGAGTGAGGCTTGATAGAAGAGGTGCAACGATCCCATTCGAATAATTCAAGAACAACTCGCCGAGATCTGACTGCCTTCCCTCAGTCCATAGAAATAAATGAGGGATGGCTTTTGAATCTGCACCTTCAACAACACTCTTGATAATCAATCCATTGATAGAATCAACAATACCGGTACATGTACTCTATTGTCGGTCAAGCTCCATATTCAGTCAATGAAGGAGAGAAGACAGATGAGGCTGTCAATTCTATGAGAAGTCAGTGCTTTGCCTTCAATAATACACTTGATAATAGACTTACCTTATTGCAATACGACTGTAGTAGCAGTAGCAGTAGTAGTACATGTAGCAGTAGCAGTAGCAGTAGTAGCGATGGATTGATCCACTATCCACTGATGAGGCTGTGGCACAACGCCATGTGTTGCTGCTGTTGTTGTTTGTTGCTCTTGCTGGTGCCGCTGTGGAAGGGTGCTGTGACCTTTCTGTGCCCTTCCCATTCTATAGAATGAAAACCGCTGATTCTATAGAATGGTCTCTGATTCTATAGAATGGCAAATTCCATAGACTTCTAGCATCAGATCCAATGACGACGAACTTTAAGGAAGGAATACGATCCTTCATTTCCAGGGTACCGGTAGGTAGACCATTCTTCTCGTTACGTTCTTTCAGGCGCTTGCAGCACAACGAGAATCCAAAATCGGGACCGTTGGTGCATGTTGCCTTGTACCGGCGCATCGCTTCTACCCAAATGAGAGGATGAAGAAACGTTAGTGGCGACATGGCGTATGATGTCCCGCCGGTTGACAGGAAACTCAAGAATGATCCGAACAACCCCATATCATGAAACTCGGGTGTCCATGAGACGTTGACAAAGTCTTCCGCGTCCGTCCTGGCCGACGTTCTTGCGTAAACATGGTGGCATCTCTCGAGGTACGATATTTGGTGGCGAATATTGCCGTGGGTTATAATGACGCCTTTTGGGTCGGTGGTACTGCCCGAAGTATACTGCAACAAGGCAACATCGTCGGCTGTAGGTTGCCAATCTTCAAACTCTGCAGGTGCCGAAGGCAGAGTCTTGTCCGTCGCGACCCAATCGATTTCTTTAGGCCAGTCTCTGTTTATGAGGCGAGACGCCTGGACGATTCTCAGATACCTCTTCGTCGTCAGCGCAACCTTTGCGCCAGAATCTTGAACAAAATGAGCAAACTTTGGAACGTCGACGTCCAAGTTGGCTGGATTCGGAGGGTACGTTGAAACGACGATTCCACCAACTCTGATGATTGCCACAAGTCCTACCAAAAATTCAATACCAATGGGATAGACAATCATGACACGACAACCAGGTTGAACTCCGTACTTGGTCTTCAAAAGAAATGCAAGATCCCTGCTCTTGTCCCATAATTGCTTCCTCGTGTACGAATCCACAACGTTGGCCTCTTCGTCGAGCCACGCATACATCAGCCTGTCGGGTTTTGATTCCGCCAGCGTACGGAAGCACTCGATGGTGAACCTTTTTTCAAAACCGTTAGAGGCCGCATAGTCCGTCGCATCACGGACGAACACATTTTCTCCGTCACTGTCCGAACCATTCAGGAGGGTCGATGCGTGATCATCTGTACGAGTACCTGTATCAACGGAAGCGCCTTTGACCAACGCCTCTTCCGAGTTGGAAGACGAGCGACGACGGCGTCCCCTGAAATCAACAAAGGCGATTAAAAGCAGAATGCAGATAATCGAGCTGGACACAATGGCAACAACGAGGGGGCAAGAGCTAGGGTCGTCACATTCTGTAGGCGAAATGGTGTCGCTGGAGTATTCGAGAGCTGGAGTCGCTCCAAACTCGACCTCGAGTGGAAAGCCACCAATACCGCAGGATGAAGCCGACGACGTAGGAGCATTGGCTTCCAGGGTCGTCCCATGAATCACAGGGTCGTAGTTGCAATAGGAAAAGTTGTCGCCGCCAAGAGCAGACAAACGTACGCTGCCACAAAGTTCAACTTGAGGGTCTGGCGAGTAGTAGGTCAGAGATACCAGGCACATTTCATCACCACTTCTCTCTCCCCACAAGATCCCGTCCAAATCTTTGCGTTTCGAAGTGTCAAAAACGCAGTGGAGTCGAAGAATATCTCCCGGTTCCACGGTGGCATCTACTGCTGTCGTCTTTTGGAACTCAAAGTTCCAAAACTCTGTTTTGCTGATAATACCCTTGAAGTTTCCATCGGCGTCGTAATGGGAAACCCAGATATGACGGCCATGCGAATGCATGTGCAAAAAAGCAAAGAGAACGCGCATAGGATGTGGGTTCTTACGGGTACAATGCGAGGAGCATGTGGCCTGATAGTGAACAAGATCTTGACCCGCCGGGATGGTTGCTCCGACTTCTTTGTTGCTTATCATCAAGACGCCGGCGGAAAACTCTCTTTGCTGACTCGTCAGGTAAACACGAAAGCCGCTAGAATCCACACTTCCGGCTCCGACGTGCTTCACAGCGCCAGCGCCATCTTGGTTGTCCTCCTCGTCGTCAGTAGTATAGCTTGTCCATATGGGTGGGAGGTTGTAGTGACCTTGCAAGACCACATATCGGACGTTTCGCAGGCCTACCTCTTCTGGTAACACAAGGGCATTTCCTCCCAATGCCCATCCGAAAATATAGTTGCAGTGGAGCACCGCGGGCTGAATACCAAGAAACGTTTGTGGTTCTTGATATGCAAGCCAGTCGCTATTGGTAGGGCCATCGTCACATCCGTAGACAACGAAATGGTGTACAAAGTTGGGCTTTGTTGCCACTGCATCAAAGTCGAAACCCATGATATCGTCTTGGAGTTCTCCAAGATCCATCGAGTAGTGCACGTATACGTCATCCCACCCATCGGCCAGGGTAACGTTTGGCATGGTAACGTCGAGATGCCAGTCCGCATCTGCAAACGGATCTTGTTCGTCTTCCTTTCCAAATTGAATCATGGTTGTACCACGGTGCTTGGGTCCGTGATAACTCAGGTATGTTTCTTGACCAAACGCAAAGATGACGCTCATCCTTTCGTCTAGATTCACGACGCGATCTTGATGTTTGTCTCCAGTGTCTAGCTTTCGCTGTAAGACCACTACAGTGCCCGTGTCGCTACTGTAATGACCAGCCAACACGGCCCAATCCTGCTGTGAATCTCGTACGGGAAAGGGTGGTGTTCCTTTATCCAAAGGAGAGGATTCCCAGGGGACATAATAATCGGTTGCGGTTACATTTCCTACGCATGGCAGATAGATAGAGACGGACATACCGGCAACATAAGCGAGAATATGCCACATTTGCAACAACCAATCTATTACCATTCAAGTACCACATACCTAGGTTAATGTCATCGGGCATGACAATGACCACATCGGCTCCCAACATGGACCCAGATGCCGCTTCTCCAAATCCAAATCCAATCCATCCTGCGACAGATGACGCGGATAGCATAATGACAAGATCTTGTCCATCATTGATGACTTTCCATCCATGGATCCGCAAATTAGCAGGCTCGGCCAGCAATAAGAATTCATCAGAAGTGGTATGGTCATTCTGATGATCCCAAGGACCATACATCTCCTCTAACAGTGATGCGTTCATCATCAAAATGATGGCAATGATGGTATTGGTATTATGACAATTGCTAGCTAGCTACGGTACGGTAGCAAGCTTGTTCTCTTGTTGCATGTAGCGTTTCTCTATCGTCGTGAGATATCGTTGGCTGCTGCTTGGATGGTACGGTACACGTATGCAGTCTTTGTCGTTGTTGGAGTTGTTGTTGGAGTTGTTGTTGGAGTTGTTGTCGGAGTTTTTGTGGAGTGCATTTGTTGTGCCGCTGTCGAAGAGGTGGTACCAGTTCGATACAGTCAGTACATGAAGATTGTGTTGGGATCCTGAAGAAAAACGAGGCTGGATCCGGAATAAACAATGTTCTCGCTATGGTGTCCGCAAAGAAGCTTTTATTGTTTATTATAGTATTTAAGTTTTGCTTTTCTTTGCCAAAACATGAAACATAAACAGGTACCGTAAAAGTACTTGAGTACTCGTAAATGAGTAAACTCACTTATTTATACATGTACTGTCGGTGAGGATTCGAGAAGAATTAATGGCCCAAGGATGAGATCACCATCATTTTTGTGCTTAAGGGCAACCATTTTCAAGTCAAAGAAATCGGGGCACGAACGCTAAGTAAATGTAGAAAGGAAAGGAGGAGTCAGTTTTTTTGCGCGACAAATCATAAAGGCTTCTAGTCCCGTGAGAGACCTTGGTTTTCAATGACACAGAAATTGATTTCAGCTCCGTACTGCTGTCTAAGGAGGTCACTACAGGGTGCAGAAATGGGACTCAAATTCCGCACCCTGCAGAAATCAAAAAGGCTTCATGGGGTCAATAATTATTATTCTCGAATCTGTAGTAATATTTTAATTTAATAGTCACTTTTTGCTAAACTCGTAAATCTACATGTACTGCATGCCATACCGGTATGCCATATTGGAAAAATCATTTGTTAGTAAAGTCTGAGTGAGTGTAACAACACGAAACCGCTAGCGAAAAAAAACAACGACCGATTGTTAGACCATTTCTCTTAATAGACCTCAAAGATAAAATATAAATGAAAATTATAAGCTTATTGGACAACTAGAAAGGAATACCTACTCTAAACCCCCGTTTATCATCCAGAAAGGAATGATAAGAGAGGATATTGCGAGCCCAGGGGTAAAACTGTCAAGCGATTGATCATTATTCCAAATGTTATAATCCGTAAGATACTGCACAGTGCACACAAATGTGTACTGGGACACCGGTACGTACACGTAGCTACGGTACCGGACCGGTACGGGAGTGCTTTCAAGTGGACAGACTCGACTCATCACTCGACTCGACTCACGGAGTAGAACAAGACAGGCAGCCGGTTTTTCGTCAAAATGGCCTTAATTTGGCAGTTTTTCGTGTAAATTTGGACCGAATGTCTGGGCTGTGCCCGAACCACATTCAAAGGCAACGCCCACAGCGTACGAATGCTGTGGACCTGTTGGACCTACCTTCGAATGCAGGTAGCTCTGTCTTTGAATGCTGTTGGACCTGCCTTCGAATACAGGTAGCTCTGCCTTCAGATGCTGATGGACCTGCCTTCGAATGCTGTTGGACCTGCCTCATAATGAGACGTGTTGCCATATGCCATATCTGCAGCCCCAGTTCACTTCTTGGACGCTCTTCCACAAAATCATGGCCGGCTTGAGTTGAGTGGGTGTTGTGTTTGCATTTGAGCATTATTCAATGAACCCTGGCATGATTTGGTGCATGTGTTCCCCCAAAGGAGCAGTTTGATGCAGCGTCTCCTGCAGCTTCAACATGATATCCACCTTGACCAAAATGTACTGCTTACGCAAATGCATGATGATCACAATGTTAGGCAGGGTGCCTACACTTTCAGTGTGAATCTGTTTCAGGAACTTGCTTGGATTTGGCCTTCCCTGCCGTTGTGAGCGCAAAACTAGGCAGCCAGTGCAGCCACAGGCATCGATGCCTTGTTCGACCACTTGGATAACCAAAAGTGTAAAGTATCTCATAAAATCCATGGGAAAAGGATGACATCAAAACAATGCAGCTGAAAACAGATTCCTTGACGAGTTGAATGACGAGTTGAGAGGGATCTAGTTAGTAGAGATGCTATAGCACCGGCACAGTCGCAGCTGGCCAGAGCAGCAGTACTGTACCGGTAGCTAAAAACAAAGACTGAGAGCCCATCATATTCCATTGTGTTGGTTTCCTTATTGGCTCCCTGGTACTTGTGAAAGACATCGTGGGTTCCTTCCTTTGCGTTTGGTTCAGCAGGGCTTGGTTCAACACAGCCAAAAAGATCAAATAGTGTTGGTGCCACATCGCTTCATCCATCTCCATCCCAGACAAGCACAACACCCATTGAAGATTCCCTAGCTAGCTAGGCTGTCACTCTCTATTGGAAGTATGGACACAAAAGGCTGGAAGACTCGCTAGTGCCTCGGAGTGCCCTGTGGACAAGATGGTTGTCGGCAAAAGTGCGTACAGGTGTCGGCGTTTGCGTACTGTCGTCTGCAAGCTGCGAGAGGCCATGCAGTGGCTTCAGAGTGGTGCTAGGAGCCATCCTGGGTCCAGCAGAGCAGTCAAATCAATAAGAGCATCTATAGCGTCTCATTATCAAGTGATCTAACCATCGACTGGTCGCCATTGTGTTTGTTGTTGTTTGTTGTTTGTTGTTTGCATAAAAACTTGAGTTTTACTGGATATCAAACCGCGGTCACACATGCGGCACCGTGACAGTTGGCTGCCACCACCGGCAACATTGCCACCATCAATACAGAGCTGCTGCATGTTGCCCTTTCTTCTTTTGCCTCTCTGCATACTCCTCTCGATGGATGGCAATGCATCTCTTGTTGTTATTGGGCCCATACCTCGCAAGATTCGTCCGTGCAGGAGTGTTGGCACTGCAAACAGCAATACCTTCGATGACCTTTCCATTTGTCCAGAACTTGGTTGCCGACATACAATCCGGGTGGCTGCATTCGTTTCGAGTGTCCTTGCCACACACGGTGCATCTTCGTCTTGGGAATCGACTCACTACAGCATCATGGTGGTGGTGGCTGTGCTCATTATTTTGACTCCCAAAGAATCCATTCAATGAGGCGAAAGAAAGAGGTGATGGGTTACTTGATGCACAGCACGACAATGCCAATCCTTCCACAGTTGCTGCAGCGTGATCTAGCCAAGTGTTTGATCGGCCTGTGCAGCATCATTGTGAGGAAAGAGTAGTGGATAAAAACAGTCAATGACGGAAGCAAAGGAAACTTACGGTCGTCTTTTCCGTCCGGAGCAAGGTAGCTTCGTGGGTCCCGTTCATTGGCATTGTCGCTGTACGGATTATGGATGCAGTCATACGCAAGATAGTCAGCAAATTCTTCCACTGTCAAGTCCTTCAAATTGGGACAGTGGTACTTTACGGCTCTGTAGCAGTCAGTCGCTGACATGCCAATGATCGTGAACTGGTTTCTCATCCAAGGATTGGGAGTGAGCCAATGCCTTTCAAGACCAAGTAAGTGCTGTCGAACATGATTGTGAGTGTCAATAACGTTGCTGCGGCTGAAATAAATAGAAATAGCCTCCGGTCGTGGCACCTTTCTTTGACAGACATTTTGCCACTTGTCGGTAAACTTCGCAACGTATGGTTGCCCTTGAAACGTAGACGCGGCATTGGCAGTCATTACAAAGCACTTGACTGACTTCGAATTCCACTTATGGCCAATGGCCTTGAGCTTGATGTTTGTCTCTGGTGTGATGCACTCCATTACAAGGTGTGAGCCAGCCGGATAGTCCTTCATCTGCTTCTCCAGTTGCCGCAAAGGAAACCAACCATAGTTGGCAATAACAGCCGCAATAATCTCCGGAGCATCCGGATTCTCCCCTCTATCCTTGTCGATTACATAGGAGCCAACCTTGTCGTAGTTTGGATCTGTGGGTGGAACTCTCCACATTAATTTCAAATGCTCAGCAACCCTGACGCTTCCGAACCAAGAATCAGCGAGGACAAGATGCTTCCTTCCTGTTTCAAGCGCATTCCGTCTGGCTGATGTCGCCAAGCCTGTGTTGATACCACCGAGGATACAACGGAGAGTGCATGCTGCAGTAGCCCCGACTTCGTCTTGGAATTCCATCGCCCTCATTTCCTTGACAGTTCGTTGAGTCTCGATGAAAAGAGTCATCTTCGTTTCTGAGCATGCTGCCATTTTGAATTCGGTTCCGAGTGGCTTTGGTTTTCGCTTTACGTAGGAAATTTTTGAAAGCTTCGACATTTTGGTTTTCCTTGGCTGAAACGAACTCATTCCTTCGTCAAGCACAATGACAGTGCTGCCGGCAACCAACTCCTTCCGAGCCTTGTTAAAATCCTCAACCAAACTTGTTAGGGGATGCCATGGATCAGATACATCGGCATCGTCGCTGTAGAAGGCTCTGAAGAGTCTCTCTTTGATCTTCTTGAATCGATCCCATGACATGTGCTTCTTGAAATTGCCCTTGCCGTCAAACTTAGACTTGTCAATGAGGAACTCAAACGGAGAGGTCACTCGCCGTGGATATTTGTGATCTTTGAAAAGCTTTTCTCCTCCGGTGTGGTTTGGACACGCAGCGAAGATAATACCCCATGTCACCCACCACTCCTTCTCTGAAACCAGTGCAATCTTCCGCTTTGGATTCACTCTGTTGTGAGCAGACATTGCGGCGTTCAGGTTATAGAGATGCTTTCTCCAGTTGCCAGGCCACAACTTTATCAACAATTGAAGCCACGGGAAGCCATATTCAGAATCCATTGCTGTATCCAACTTATCGGCATCGAAAGAATGGAACTGCAAACCAACGACTCCATTAACTTGGAAAGGAACAGCAGATTCTTCTGGATGAGAGTCTTCCACGGCCTTCCAAGTCATCCTTCTCATGTCCCGTACAAGCGTCAAAGCAGTGGATGGCACCTTCGATTCTGTCGTCGAAGCTCCATCGAATTGTACTTCCCAAGTTGGCGGTCCACCTTCCTCGCGATCGCTGGCAATGATCTCTCCAGACCGCTTTCGGCCATGTCGCTCCGTCACCATCTCTCCAATGTCAATGCACTGTGACATTGGAGCCTTCCTTTCCACGGTCCATCCTTCCCGAATCAGCCGAGCCTTGTCTTCCTCGTACTCGCGCCATTTCTTGGCATACTTGTCTTCATCCTCCATCCCTCCAACAATTAGCAAGTCGTTGGGATCTATCACTGGCTGGCCATCTTCATCAACAAGATCAACGTCGGTGTGTCTGGGAATATCTTCGTCAAGCCTTTGATCCGTGTCTGCTTCCTCTTCGTCGCCAGAGTCTTCACTGACGCTGGTGTCAAGGTTGCCGGGAACGCTGGTGATGCTTCCTCCTACGCTTCTTGCTTCGATAAATGAATGGTTGGATGACTGGACGGATACATGCTCCTCTGACTGGATGGGATCAGTGTTGGATGATTTGATTGATACATGGTCTGAAGGTTGGATGGATGAATGGTCAGATGATGAGTCGAGCGATATTGGATGTTGTTCCTCCTCCTTCCTTGCTGCCAGTTTTGCACGCCGACGATTGACTCCAGCCATGAGAAGTTCCTCGTCGTCGCTCTCATCGCTGCTCTCAGATTTGGAATCCGCATTCTGTCGCTGTTTTGGTGGGGACGGAGCCATGGGGGGATCAATGGCTGCTGCGGGTGGATTGGGAGGCTCGACAGCTGCCGCGGGTGGATTGGGAGGCTCGATGGCTGCAGGTGGATTGGGAGGCTCGATGGCTGCAGCGGGTGGATTGGGAGGCTCGATGACTGCCACAGGTGGAGGTGTCGCTTCTTCTGATGAAGACTTCTTGGCTGCCGACCGTTTGTCCTTGCGCTTTGGCTTTGGTTGGTGTGGTGGCACCTTGGCTTCGGGGAATGCTTCCTCGGGCTTGAGGTGTCTCAATTGTTGTGATTTCAACGTTTTGACATCGGAAGGGATTTCATTTCCTTCCTCGTTGACGGGATGAACAACCCAGGTCTTTTCACCACTGGCCTCTTTGATGATGGCTGGGACGTTGCCAGCCTTGATGATGACCTTTACGCCCTTTCCGAAGCGTCGGTTTCCCATCGTCGATATCCGGAAAAGAAAAAGAGTGGTGATCGATCGAAGCAACTGGTCGCACCAACCACACCAAGCATCCGTTGGCACACCATCGTTGCTCACTCATAAGCTTCAAGATCATTCCTTGGCTCGTTGAGGGCTCCGATTGCTTCGCCATGGCCATGTGTTTTCTCTTTGCTGCGCACCTTTCGGAATGATATAAACATCTTCGTGCCTAATAAAAGTGGTATGAACCGCGAAAAATCGAATTTGCTTCCAGTGGTGTTTGGCTGGTTGGCGCAGAATCAGACTAAGTAAAATCTGTATGACGTCATTATAATTTAGCCACTACGAATATTCAATACACTCGTTCGCGGAAGATTGAGCTTCCAGTCGTCCACAATCGGCAGCAGCACCACACAATAAAGCAACTGCACGATGGCAAACAGATCAAATTGACTGCAAGCAAGATGGCGATTCTTCTTTCCAACCAACGACTACAAACGATGTTTAGAATGTGCTGGAGCCGGGGCTTTCAAGGTTAGCAAGCACAGCAGAAAGATTCTCGACTTTTTCCTCTTCATAGTCGAGGCAAAGTTCCGAAGCAGTCAAATAGGCGGTCTCTTGACTGAAGCCCTGGTCGTAGGCATGACAAAGGAACCTCCGGCGGAACCTCCACCTCCGGTGGCTTTGAACGGAGATGGAGATCCCATGCTTGTGTCGGCAGGAGACGCGAAGGGCATGGGGGTGTTTTCACTCTTATTACTCTTGTTACTCTTGACGCTCTCCGGACTGAGAAATCCAACCTTGGTCACACGCTTCGCCATGGGAGTCTCATAGCCTTCATCCTGACCTTCCTTCTTGTGGACAGATGGCATGACAAACTTGAGCTCGATGGGAGGGCCGTCCTCCATTGTAAAGACAATTGTATCGTCTTCTTGGATCTTGACACTTTTGGCCCCATCGATAGACATGGCCATTTTGACGGGCTGGTTGGTGGAAGTCATGATGGTAGGCTGCACTTTGTTTCCTTGGCTTGCTTCGTTTTGTGTGATGCTGCTCACCGGTACTTGCTTCTTTCTTCTCACCAAAAACCTTGCAGTCCGAGCGGTCGGAGCCACCCGAAAATTTCTGACACATGAAGAAAGATTCTTTTGGTTCCTTTTTAAAACACTTGGTTTTGGCGGTTCCATTCGGCGGGTACAGATTTAAACCACCCAGAAAAGATAGTGGACCGCATCAACGGAGGCAACCGAGGATGTCTACTCGCTCTCATTATCCACGATGGCTGAGTTTTGGACAGCAGTCGAAGTGCCCAATCCTACCAATGGAGCGGCTGCTCCTTTGCCGATTTGCTCCAAACCTGAGGGGCCGCGTCAAGCCCATGCCATGGCGTCTATCCGCTGGGAGATGTACATTGGCTCCAAGCATCACTCCAAGGGTCGGATTGTGTTGCAGGAGCGACACGACAAGAAGAAATGCATCCCTCGCTATCGTTTTCTTCTTGAGGCTCGCCGCATCTCCATGGATGGCTTGAGAATGAGTGATGCAGTCTACTTTGAGAGTCTTCGACTTCCAGTCATGTGCAAGTGGAAGTCTGAAGCCAGTGTGGAGGCTACGGTCATGAGCAAGAATCGCCTTGGCAAGGTTGTGTTACTTGAGTTTCCTCCGAACGTCTTTGGCATCAAGAAGATCGAAATCAACACGACATTGGCCGGAGGACACATCATGGGAGAGGCTGTGAAGCTTGCCGAGAAGGATCGCAAAGCTATCCTCTTCGGTGGAGCCTGAATATCAACACACAACAACAGCAACAGCAACCATGGCTGCCTCTTGTTGCGGCTGCATCCAACAACCTGCTTCCACTGGTTTCAGTTTCCCACCGGTGTATTTTGGCGAAAAGTGAGACTTTTCTGGGAAGTTTATTTTGTCAGCAGCTGCGCACAACACAATTCAACGATGACAATGGCCATGCTATCGACGGCAAGATCTCCACAACTACTAAACCAATAGTCAATGCGACTGTATCAGCAGTTAGCCCTACATGTCTACTTTCATATACCATTTGGAAGCCACTGCAACGGAGGTCTGTAGCCAAAGCCATGGCCTCTGCCGTAACAGCGCTCGTTGTCCACACTTGTGGATGGCAGTCAGCACAACACTGCGAGGCACTAGGACGCACCCAGCTCAGGGGAGCGAGCCAAGAGAATTCATCACGCCATGACTACAACATTATTTGTGGTGTTGCGGTGGATGCTTGCGTGCTTTGCTATGAAGCGTCCATCCGGTAAATCAAATCATACTACATGTAGCTAGTAGTTTAGCAGGAAGGGGACAATCACTATGGCCCCGTGCATTAACATGACTGGCCAGCAGGCATACCGTACGGTGTGTTACGTGGAAGCAAATAAATATCGATACTTCAAGCGACACAGCAAGGTTTGGTACGACAACTGGATGATTGAAGATTCGAGCTAGCTAGCTCGATAGAGGGATCCGATGTCCGCTTCCCTGCTGGGTTGTCCGAGGTGTGGCAACGTGGCTGCGCGTTGGGTGTTGATGCCTCGCACCTCCTCGGCATACTCCCTGACATGGTCCCTGACGGGGACTCTACTCTATTCAGGAGTTGTCAGTGATAGCTTTGAAGTCGCTTTGAAGTCGCTGGTGGGCACACTTGCTACGATGTCCCAAGACCTCTCTATCATGAAGCATCTCTTCTTTGTTTGCTTCCGTGCACGACCTGAATTCTTGTTGCTTGGAACTTGTTCTGTGACATTTTTAGATAAATTTTTTGTTGTTGGAACTTTGACATCGGAATTTTTTGCTGGGGACTTTTTGGCTGCGCGCAGGCACAACGTTCCGAGGAGGGATTTTGGGTCACAATTGCGGGATCAGACCGCTGTCGCAATGCGTTGTTTGTCCGTGTTGGAAAAGGGGGAGTAGCAAACGGCAACAGCCGCCCCAAAATCTGCTTGGCGGGTGTCAGAACAAGCGACGTGGGAACGAAGGAAGTGTTTAGAATTCAGACGCCTTCCGGAGGAAAGCCATCAGAATTTTCGCGCTCTGCAATTTCACAGAGAGCGAGCCACTCCCGAAATTCTAAAGTCATTATGACTGTAAACATTCTGATTGATGTCATTGATTGTTAATTCATGATGTACCAGTGACCACGGGATTCAAGAATTCTATTAACAAAAGGCCACAAGAGGCCACGTTGCATCCGAGAAACACAACAACTTCTTTCGTGCTCTTCGTCCAATCACATTGCTCTCCGAATTGTTCGGAGACTCCACCCAAGCATCTGTTCGAGGACCTTCCGCTTCCAAACATGCATCGTTGAGAATTTTAGCTTCAAAGAGAGAGCGTCATCATTCAAGAAACAAGAGTGCTTAGGAAAAAACCCGTATGAGCGGACCGGACTGCAAAACAGCACAAGACCCAATGTGCCATCTGTCGACGGAAGGACCGAAGTTCTTGTGCGAACTGGACAACAGAACCGCAGCAAACAGTCTCTGGTAGTTGACTCAGACAACTCATAAATTTCGAGAACAGAACAACCCTTTCATCGAAACCCACTCGACTATCCGTACAATCAAACAGACAACCAGAACTAGACTATGAGATCGCCATCACGCAACAACAACGACAGCCTTTCTACCATGGGCTACCTTACCATGATTGTAGCCTTAGCACCCAGTGTAGCTGCCTTTTCGGGTGTGCAGACGAGAGCAGGGGCTGTATCTTTGCAAAATTCCGATGCTTTCGGTACCGATTCTACGTGTCTTCCACGCAGCCGAAAGACCCATCTCCACTATACATCGGGTGCTAGCCATGAACACACCATTAACGCTTCAAGCTCTCCCAAAGAGACTACTTGGTGGAACTCCATCTTTGCTAGAGAAGAGTCTTCGGCAGCGGATGACTATCTAGAGTTCTTGGACAAACGCTACAACCGTATCTTGCACGATGAGAATGAGCAACCCAATGCTTCTTCTTCCCAAGGCTTCTCGGTCCTCAACTGGCTCAACAAAGGGGGCAGTCAGGAACTAGCAGAAGCTGCCGACAAGTCCGACGATGCCCTCTACGTGTTGGGTGTCGCCAACTTAGCCAGCAAGAAGCTCCTTCAAAAGCATCATTTGTTGGGACGGCAAGAACAGGATCTAGCTTCCATGGCGCCCAAGACCATGTTCACCGACGCGGAGATTGTAGATTCCACTCCAGCCTCTCTCAAACCCGTGGTGGCCTTTCTCCAGCACGTGGCTCTCCGCCGACAAGCTTTGGTTCAGAGACAGATGCAGAGCGTCCGCCTTTTCCTCGCCTTCCTTTCAAGATCGATCATGACCGGCCCATCGACAGCTGTCCGAAAGCTGTTTGCCATGGGCGGTGGTAAGAAATCGATGGCTTTGACGATCGCAGCTTTGGCTGCCATGTCCGTCTTACTCCGTCCCTTTGTGCGAGTTGTAGCCAATGAGACTATCAATGCCGTGAGACCCTAAATGGATGTCTGCATCAATGAATGACTGGATCGCCATTGACTGTCAATGTACGGTACGACCTAGAGTGATGAGCGCGTATATGTTTTGATTGTTTCGCCATGGATCAGTACACCCAAAAGATAGAACGAAAGAAAGAAGAGTGTCTCCGCGTTTGTTTGTTTGACTCAAAAAGATTTTTCATTGGGAGCTTGAGACAAGAGAGTCTCGCTCCTACCACATACACACACACACATTAAACCACAAATACAAATAATATAGAGCAAATTTCATACAAAGACTTTATCATCTCTTGTTAAGCTAAGGACCAATAGAATACAAAAACCTATCATCTCTTATTTTTTCTAGCTCTGGTTACCTGCTAGTAGCTCGCTAGCAAAGGCAGTTCGGGGCGGCTGACTGAGAGAGCATTCGGCTCATTGCCGAGGGTGTCTCTTGCCTCTCGACCAAGATAGCTTGCCATTAGGTGCCAGCCAGTGCTAGGTCGCTCCTCGTGGCACCAACGAGCTCATCGTCTTGGTCAGGTTGACACCCCATTAGAAAGCTAGTAGATCCTGGTACTGGTACGTACTACAATCGTCCAACAAGCTCTATCAACAAGGACCAACTGCCTCCGGAATCTTTCCTGTCCATGAGAAGTCGCTTACGGAAGATGATAGATGATCAGCACACCGTCTTCCGTAGCAGTGTGCGCAACGTCAGAGTTTTCAGCGACCGCCGATTGTAACGGTCATATTCAGTCCCTCTTCCAGTCACCAATGCTGAGGGGAGGCACAATTGTACAATTGCACAACCGTTATTCAAAGGATCCAAAGATTTTTTCAGGCTTTGCAACTCCGACCATGTTGACGCCCCGCCCTTTTGTCCGCTCAGCTACCGGGACGGACGGTACAGTCGTACGGAGTAGCTACGATACTGTAGCTGAATCAAGACCAAGCTAGAGTAGCGCAACGGTTGCCGAAAGGATCCAAAGATTTTTCAGCCCTGTGCAACTCCGACCATGACACCGCGGCCTTTTGGAATCGAATCAAGACCAAGCTATAGTAGCGCTACAGCGTGGAAGCAACTCGGGAAACGGCGAGAACCCAGTTGCCGTGTCCTGGTGTCAATGACCAACGGAATTGGCTGGGTTGCCTCCTCCTTGGGTCGCTTGGGTCGCTTGGGTCTGGATCTTGGCAATGATGGGCTACGAGTATTTTAGCTAGCTCCAGTACCGCCAAGCCAATAAAAGACTTGATTGCTTGGCTGCAGACTCCGATGTGGTACTTGGAGCTCAAACGATTGATTCGATTCATCCAAATTTCGCTGGCTGACGGCTGAGAATGGAGGGCTTTGGTTCCTGCTTGCTTCCTGCCTGAGGCCACGCACTGATAGTACGTATTAGTACGAGCAGGGTTAGTCGCGCGTCGAGAGACCATCGGCGGCCACTCCTGCCTCTCCAGGGTGGACCTAGTACTGACACATGGCTGTGCCTACTTTGCAAAGACAAGGACTTCTTGATCCCTTTGTCTTTGGTCGAGACGTCGAGACTCCGAGACTCCGAGTTGAGGAACTCGAGGACAGCCAGGAGAACTACTCTTGTATGAAAATGCAAGGCTGAGAATGGGGGGTCTGCTTCCAGCCTGCCCGAGGCCTGAGTCGAGTCCACTTGCAGCCACACCGAACTGTAATAAAGTACCCGTACTACCCGTAGTTGCAGGTGGAGAGACCATCTGCGTTGTCCCGGATGGACCTGCTCCTGTGCAAGACAAGGCCTTTGTCCTTGGTCCAGACGTCCAGACTCCACTCCCAGGTGACGAAATCGAGGACAGTGAAACTGTCTACTACATGTAGCTAGCTAGACTGTTGGCATCACAGTTTCTTTTTCTACAAAAAGCATTTCCTCTTCCTTTTACTAACTTAGCCGGCTGAGATCTCCTTTCACGCACTTTCCGCCACCATTATTTTTTACAACTCCGCTATTTACGTACTGGTAGTCTACAAGTAGACTAGATCCAGCATCATGGTACCGGTAGCTAGCCCCATTCAAGGCAACAAATTTGATTCTATTGTCTCTTGGTACTCTACAACAATACCATTGGCTGGAGTGACGAGCTCATTGGAATACTCGAGTTTGATTTGGCATGGTTGATTCTTGTCCTCATGGCTCTGAGTCCTAATTGCGCCAATGTCTACGGTACCGTATGAATACTACAAATACATCAACGATCGATAAAAATAAATCCAACAGACGAGGCAGCAGGTGGAGCACAACAAGCGGCTTGATTGATCATTGTATTGGCATACTATGTTGGTCCACTCGTTCGTACCGGACGGGTACGAGTTTAGCGAAGAGTGACTTCACTGGCACCAAGACAAGGGCTGAAGGCTAATTTGGGGCCTTCGGCCCACTCCATCGGTTTTAGTTCGCCACCTCGGAGTCTCGACCAAGGCAAAGGGATTGGATTCAAGAAGTCATTGGCATTCCTGGGAACGCTCATGGCGCCCATTCCCCTTCTTTGGGCACCGCTGTAAGAAGCACTTCGTCTCCAAAGTAAGCAAACATCTAATGCACAAGCAAACTTCAGCAATCTGCAAAGAGAGGAGAAAAAGATATGGTGGTTTACATTAGGAAGAAATCCAGCTATTTATTGAACTGAAGGGATGCTGCCGGGAGCTGGCTAGCTAAGCGACCACATGCCACATATCAAATGATTATCACATGCAGCTATGACATCTCGGACTTCCGGGATTGCTCAGAGGACCTGCACTATCACAGCACAGTAGAACGACACTGCTTGCACCTTGGCCAGTTCTTCTCAGTTTGTTGGGTAACACACGTTCTACTTTTCCTTCATCGTGAGATCGGCGCCTTTTCTGTCAAAGCCCCATTGCTGATACAAGATTGCTGATTGTGTCCTATTGGTTTGAGCCTCCTCTTCCAAGCCCCATTGTGAGAAAGCAAATGCCAAGCGCTCATGCGCCAGCGCCATTTCATGCACGAACCCCGATTCCTCAGCATACTGGATAGCAGAATCAAACTTTGACGAGGCGGTTTCTCTGTCACCAATCAACACAGCCCGCTCAGCTTCGAGCAAATAGATTTTGTTGAGCACGTTTTCCTTCCATGTCATGTTCCTATTCAAGGCCTTCAGTTTCTTCAGCGCCCTCAAACCAGCGCTCCTTGGCTTCTTTCTGCCAGCATGCGCAGCTAACACATTAGCCATGCCCAAGAGAAACTGCACTTGAACGACCAACATTGGACCATAGATTTCACCAACAGGCAAATGTCGAAGCCGCCGTGAAACACGTAACCCATACGAATAATCGTTTGTGTACACGGAAAGAAACAGTTGACAGAAGCAACTCAGGACCAAGAGAGATTTGTCTTTCCTGCCCCATTTGGCTTCATCGAGGTCTGTCTCTTTATCGCAAAACGCTCCATAAAGAGCGGAATCAGTTTCATTGCCCTCGAGCAGTCTCTTGCCGAGTTCCAGGCCCAGGCCCACAAATGGCATCTTCTGTTTTAGCTTGGAAAACTCTTTGTATTGTTCTGCCATTGCAGAAACGTGTTCCTGTAGCCGAATCCCAGTGCAGAAGCCATGCAAACAGTAGAATGCTGCGTGACAGAAGGCGATTTCGACGTCACCACTCAACAACCCTGCTTTCATCCCGGTGACTTGCGGTTCTACACATGATCGAAATGGACTATGCCAGCACTGCACATAGCCATATTCGAACATGAGCATTCGGCACGTGTACTCTGGTGCATGGTATCTTTGATCGATCATATGAGCAATTTGGGCCACACGTTTGGCATCTTCTGTCATACCCAAGACGGTAGTACCCAAAATCATCGCCAATGCAAAGACGGTGGGTGGCGTCATGCCAGAGAATCCATATTTGATGGAGATTTCAACACCACGAATGGCCCACAGAGCACCATATTCGGGCTTGCCCCGAATTACAGCAGAACCAATCATTTGCAGGAGGCGAAGAGCCGCGAGTTTATCCCATCGCTGCATTGGGTGTGTCTTCAAAATAGTTTCCGTTGATGTACGGCGCAGCCACAAAACGGTCTTGGCAATTCTAATTACTGTGTGAAGTTTGATTGCCCTCCTCGGGAACGGTTCTCCCAGTCGCTTCAGAACCTTGAAGCCCAACTGGACCGCCTCCAAATCCAGGTGTCGAGCACTAAGGGAAGATATCTTTGCCTCATACGCCCTTAGCTGGTCTTCCAACCCTTTCGTGTTCTGAATTACGATCTCGAAAAGCTGATCCGACTGTTGAAATCGGCCAGTGCAAAACTCCATCTCGATCGCTCCGTTGTGTAGTGCCAAACACAGGTCATATTCGTTTAGCCACGGCTTCTCGGGAAGCAACGAAATGCCTTGTGAAAAGAAGGATACCGCTGATTCAAATGCAGAAGACGAGGCAGCCCTAATGCCCGCCATTCGGAGCAAGCGAGATACCTGTATCCGTTCTCGGGAATCCACTAGGATACTCAAATCCTGGAGGAACATGTTTGCCACCAAATATGCATCCTCCTCCAAGTCGTTCGGTGCTAACTTGGCGAGCAGTTTCCGTCCCACATTCACACTGTACTCTCGTCTCGTCTCCGCAGGAACGAGAGCGCTGCTGGCTTGCTGATATTTGTCGTGTCTCCATCGATAGTAGCAGTTTATGGATTCGTTCTCTTGTAATACCGCTTCTTGCTGCTGAAATACCCCGTCGTTGACCAACACGTGGACTGCGTTTCGAATGCCTTCGCGATCAGAGTTTGCCACCAGTTCCAAGTGCTTCTGGCAAAATGAAGCCCCCAAGAACGATGCAACTATGAGTGTTTCCTCCATGGCCAATGACGAATCCCCTAACCTCCGTATCTCAGCATCCAGCATTCGAGTTCGTTCGTATTCGTCACCAGTTGCATCAAATTCCTCCTCATTCCAGAGCCATGATCCATCTTTTGTTTGGTACACTAGCTTCCGGTCGCGCAAAACACGCAGATTTTGCTGGATAAAGAAAGGATTTCCTCCCGTCAACTCATGAACCATTTGCGCCAGAGATCGAAAGGATTCTTGTTTGTCCGTTGCCGAGGACGGCAAATGAAGTAAATCGGAGATCATGGCTTGGACTCCATCGACCGATAGCCCCTGCAGCTCGATATTTGTGATTTGTACGTTTTGTTCTTCCAATCCTCTCAGAACCACGGATAGAGGATCATGAGGGGAAACCTCGTTCCCTCGGCAAGTCCCAAGAATCATCAATCCCGGTAGATTGTTTTCGGGTGCCCCCAACACCATTAATAGTTCCAGGCTACTCTGGTCCAGCCATTGCCAATCATCCAGCAGAAGAACGACAGGATGTTGTATACAGCAGAATTCTCTCAGAAAGTTGCAAAACAAGACAATGGCGGGAGATTCCGCAGAGCTTCCAGAATGATGATTATGATGATGCTGGACATTGTGGCCGTTGGATTTGGAAGAATCTCCCAAGAATCGGGCACTCCTGTCTTGTGATTCACAGAATAAGACTTTGCGAAAGACGGAGAATATCCCACACAGCAGCGTCACACCAAGCTCTGTGTCTTTGGTGGCCTTCTCAATGGCCTCCTCGAGTCGTTCGGTCTCTTCTCCCGTGTCGTCTCGCCGTAAAATGGTCTCTACCAACTGTGTGACGGCGGCATTGAACGGAGCGAAAGGCTCGTTGCAATGCTGCATCTGATCGCACTTGCCCCAACAAAAGTATCCTCGTTCGGCTTCGGTTCGTCTTGCCAAGCTCTTGGCCAACACGGTTTTCCCAGAACCACTGGGCCCTGTCAGCAGAACGATCTCTTGAGGCGATGGCATTGGGTCATTGCGACGGCGGTAGGCTTCATACAGCTGTTGTTGTTGCAGCTCTCGACCGCAAATCTTGGAGGTGAGGCGAGTGGATCCCATTGTGGATGTGGACATGCAAAACGACTCTTTCTTTGTCTCCAATCTCTTTATCCACTTCTCTTATAGATGAGAGTGGTTACGAATCTAGCTAGAGTAAAGAATGCCATTAGTTGGGGGAACACAATCGTACCGATGGGCAGAGTTCATGATGCTACCGTAGCAGCATAAGCTGGCGGCCCATGCCAACTTTCCTTTTGGGAGCTCGCTGACGGATGTGGATGATGAATTCAGGCGAACAGTTCAATCATGGTTGACACACCGCGCAGACCGACGCGCACTTCGGGAACAGCTCCAGCACCAACCACCAACAACATTCAGTATTTTCTTTTCCCACGCTTCCAACTCATTTTTTCTTTGCTAGCTAGCTCCAAAGCCAAGCCAAGCTATCGCTACCATGGTCAAGAAGAAGGGCAAATCGAAGCGTACCACGCTCAAGGACAAGTACAAGATCGATCGACGAGTGAAGGAGACTCATTTGAAGCGCAAGAAACAGGCCAAGAGGGATGAAAAAGCAGGCAAGGTGGTACCGAAAAAGAAGGACCCAGGAATCCCCAATTCGTGGCCCTTCAAACAGGACTTGCTCAAGGATATCCAGCGCACACGAGAGCGACAACAACAAAAGCAGGTGGAATTAAAAGAAAAGAGAAAGAATGAACTCAAAATGCTACGAGAGCACCAGGAACAAGGAGGGTCGGCCCGGACAGTTCAGGAATTAGTGGATCGAGCATCCCAATCACAAGCGGCCTTTGAAGAGAAACAACCCGACAACGAAATGTCCGATGGAACCGTCGCGGCAGGACAAGCGTCTCGTCGGGCTTATTTGCGAGAACTCAAAAAAGTGGTGGACAGTGCCGATGTCTTGTTGCAAGTTCTGGATGCCCGAGATCCCTTGGGCTCGAGAATTCATCCCACCATTGAAGATACCATCTTGGCACAAGCCGACAAACGCATGGTGCTGGTACTCAACAAAATTGATCTAGTTCCCAAACAGGTCGTGGCCGATTGGTTGCAAGTGCTTCGCAAATCGCATCCTACCATTGCCATTAAAGCCAGTCAGGAAAAAAGTGTGGAAGAACATGCCGATGCTGCTTCCACGTCGATTCCTGTGGGAATGGATGGTCTCTTGCAATTGCTCAAGAATTATGCTCGTACTGGAGGTACGGGAGGAAAGAGCAAAACCACCATTGTCGTTGGTATTCTGGGCTATCCTGTACGTATCAAAGAAAAGAAGAAATATGGCAGCAACCAATCCTCCTCCTCCTCCTGATTTGCATCTGACTTTTTATTCGCTTGTCGCCTTGTAATTCTTTTTCAACTGTCTATTCTCCAGAATGTTGGAAAGAGCAGTATCATCAATGCCTTGAAACGCAGCCGTGCGGTCGGTGTAAGTTCTCGTCCTGGCAGTACGGCTTCCATGCAGGAAGTCGTTCTCGACCGAAATGTACGCCTCTTGGACAGTCCAGGGGTCGTCTTTAATGACAAATCCACACTCTTGGGATGTGTCGATGCCCATTCCATGGATGATCCCATTCCTCCCGTCGAAGCCATTTTGGAACGATGCGATCATTCCAGTTTGCTCATGACGTACAACATTCCCACCTTTCCAGCTGGCAATGTCATGGTGTTTCTGGCCATGGTGGCCAAGTCTCATGGACGCGTGTTGAAGGGAGGAATCCCCGACAAGGTTGCGGCAGCTCGCACTGTCTTGAGGGATTGGAACAGTGGGAAGATCCCATACTACACTCCGGCGCCGGATATCGAAATGGATGATTCCACCAGCAACACGAACAATAGCAACAATACGCAGGCCGTCATTGTGTCTCAAATGAGCAAGGAACTCAACTTGGAAAAGCTGGATCAAGAGGTCATGAACTCGTTGGAGGATCGCGATGAAATGGATTTCGTTCAATTGAAGGAAGGCAGCAAGAAGGAGACAACATCCATGGATGTGGATAGAGCTGTCAAGATTCTAAAGGGAGAAAGTAGTGGCAATGACGACGATGGTGACGACAACATGGATCTGGATGATGGCAAGAAGAAACGATCAAAGCTGAATGAGGCCGATGACTATGATTTTGATGACATGTAAGCAATTAAAAGTTAAAGATGGTGCGTACCGCAATGCAGCTGGTCTCAGCATAGAGCCTAGTAGCTCTTATAAACGCATTACAATGTATTTTCCAATTATCATGCATGCGACATGCAATCTCCAGTATTAATAGCTACCAGGGACATCCAATGTTGACTCTTTGGTTGCACTTTTTTTATTCTGCAGCCAAGTTTTATCGAGTCCACTCTGCTTTCATTGTGTGTACTTCATACAGAGAAACTTGATCTATCCTGTCCAAGCTGGCATCCGCCGCGTCTAGGATCCCTAGTCTGTCACTAACATGAGCCCGCGGGACTTCTTCAGGGGTTCCAGCTTTGTAAGGCGTTCCTTGGGGTCGTTTGCAATCCATTGTGGCTGTTTGAAAGACGGTATAGTTCAGTGTCGACGCCTCCAGTAGTTTCAAGGTACGACGATGTCTTCCATTGCTTTCCAAACTTCCAGGAGGTGAAAGGGTGGGTCAACGTGGCAAACCGTTGATGGTACAAAAATCCGTGTTGGGATCTCGAAGTCCACAGAGTCCGTAATGGAATACCCGAAAATTTTCCTACTATGAGGTGGCTGGTCGTCCTTAGTCCTGGTCGCTTTCGTCCCCGATTTCGTCGTACAAGGTGAATAGCTCACATGGGGACAGTTCTTCGTTCGTTAAGTTCAGATCATACTCCTCTGTTGTCTCTTGCGAGCCTGTTGGAGACAATGAAACACGGGCTGGGGTGATTGTCGGGCGTGGATGACTGGCCAAGACCCTTGGCAAGATCATCCAACGTCTCTGGGCGGAGATCTTGTTCTCGCAACTCCTCGCAAAGGCTCTGCGTATCTCTTCCTTCAGTGGGTCTTCTGGAGGCTTACAGGCCGGAAGAAGCTTCAGGCCAGTCATCATGTAATACCAATTGATGGCTGCCTTCATGGCAAGAAGCATGGGATCGGGGACTTCGTAATCCAAGCTATTTTGAAGTTTCACTTTCACGACATTGAATCCAGTAACGTGCCCCCCTGGCACACGAACCCTTCCATCAGCGAGATCTGCAAGAACCAGCACCATCTCTTGTTGTGCATTTTCACTCTGATCAGATCTAAAGGGCGAACACAACCTTCACACGCGTAGCGCTCTCTGCAAGTGCCTTGATCGTTGCGGTCAGCAGGTCCCGCGCGCAATCCAAATCCCCTGGTTGGGCCTCTGATACAACCCGTCCCTTTTCGCGAGCGTTGAATCCCCTGCCACCAATCATGTGTGGGGCAACATCCTCACTCTTACAGATCAGAACAACCTCATATTCTGTACCAGGTGTCCAGTCCTTTGCTTCGTTGGGAGGGATGCATGGGAGAACAAAGAATCCCGGGTTTGTATCGTAAGGAAACTTGTGGCCGGCTGGAACCCTGGTCTTGTTGATGAGCAAGTTTTTGATAGCATATTTGTTGTCGTTTGCAATGTGCTTTCATGATTTTCTTCCTCAGCAGGAACTCCTCGTCATCGGAACCCTCTATAATGCGAGGAGCGCTTGCATCGATATTGTCAATTTCCTGACTAGCTGCTCGAAGTCTCTCGAGTGAGAGAAGGTCAAGGTTCGAGCCGATGACGCACTGCAAGAATGGACCATACGATGGAGCGCACATTTCGGAGTCGGGGACAGCGTGGGCATCTTCACCACCCGTGGTACCCAAGATATCAAGCTTGCCCCCTTCCTCCAGTGGGTTCTGCTTTGCGCGCAACTTGTCGCTCTTAAGGACGCTGCTTTTCCTTGAACCCCCCTTACTGTTGGTATGTGTCTTTGTGAGACCTATCTCGTTGAGAACCACGCGGTAGTGGTGATTCGTCTTGGTTCGTCGAATGGCATCGAGACCACCAGCAAACTCCACCCGTTCGTTCGCTTCCCCAAAAACCTGGTCCACAAGACTATAGCATTTGCCCTTGACCGCCAAAATTGCTTTCTTGCCTAATTCCGCGGGACCAATCAAACATGTCCATCCAAAGTAAAACAATGGACTTCTTTTCGCACAATTGTACTTTCAGCATAGCATCTGGCTCATTAGCAACCGTTGCCGCAAGTATGTGGAATTCACACCCAAACTATCATTGATACGGTATCTAGTAGAGTACACTACAGCGCTATACCGGTAGCAACATTTGCCCATCCCCTTTACTGACTTTTGGCGAATTTAACAGAAAAATCTCAACTTGAATTGATCATTACTCAAATCGCTCGTAATGAATGCATCACTATGTTCAACACTTTCATCATTAATTCATTATAAATGATTAAATTCATTACCAATTCAATTGTTTTCATCACAATTCATAATGTTTCAACACAAACGTGTTCTGTACTTTTAATAAATTTCATCACCAATTCATAATGAATTGATCATTATTTCAAATATTTATGATAAATGTTTCACCAATATACTTACTTTCATCATTAACTCATGATGAATGATTAAATTCATCACCAATTTGTCAAATGCTAGAAAATTCATCATAATTCATCAGAGGAGACGTTCCAGAGAAAACAACAAGTTCGAAAAAGTTCTTGGGGGACCGTTCAAAAGAGTGCGGTATCTTTGGGAAGATTGCTGACGAAACAAAAGACCCTTACTGCTTACGTGAAACAAAGAGAACTCGTCGCTGCCACCAACCTGGAACCAGGGCCGAAGCTTATTACGACTGTACTAGTACGCACAATGCCCGTTGCAATGTCGGATCGAGGTCAGAGGCAGTTGTCAGTTGGCTGCTGTTATCTTGTGTTTTACTACATGTACTTTAGAGCCTTGGGGGTGAACGAGGACCCTCTATTGATCCGACTTTGGCTTGAAAGACTATCAGCAATTTCCTCCCAATGAAACCTTGACAGTTGACAGTTCTGCCTGCTTCGTCGAAGGCCGTGAAGACCGTTTGGGTCCCATCTGGAGGATGGAAGCTGGATATGAGAATGATTTCAATCAACCAGCGAGGTAGGTTTTGTTGATTGTGCATGGCTGCTTTCTTCGTTGGTGAGGTTTCTTGACGGGGAAATGAAGAGTACCGATACACAAAATGCATGGCTTATCCGAAATATTCGTGTGGATGTGTATGAATCGCTACGTCTGATCCTGACTTAACGAGCGCAAAGACCGTCTGTAGCTTTAGCCCTGTGGTCTCTCACAATCTTTCCAATATATATGATGATGTCCTGCTCCTCTTGCCAGTCTAGGATTTTCATCGTCACCAAGCCCCACTGGCTTGCTCTCTCGAAAACAAGAGTGCGTAAAGCCTTCTGGCCTTCTCCCGCTTTTGCTGTTGTCCTCTGCGAGATTTTCTTTGCCAGTCGGTGGCAATGTGGCAATCACTTTATGAAAAATTCAACATGGAGTTGTTGGTACGAATTTTACAGGTCATCTGGAATCGAATCAAACGGTGATGAACAGCAGCTCCAAAGGACCCCGGTTCCTCCATGGATTTCTTCGTCGCTGGCCCAAAATCTGGAAATACACCCAAGCGAACAATGGAGCGTGGTGGCCAGACCAGGAAACATGGGTGCAGACCATCATCCGAGGCATGCACAGGAGAGAAAATAAGGCAATTTTGGATGTTGGAGCCCCTCCTTGGCTCCTCCTTGGCACGCTAAAATCAAGTACTTATTATAGGAAAGAACTAGAATGTAGCATAGATTTAGTTTTACTTTATGAGGAGAAGCTATTATGAAGTGTTTTGCTGCTCTAGCCGGATGAAGGAGATTTTGAGCTGCTGGAGGAAGTGATGGCTTTTATCGGCTTCGTGTTCGTTGTTGCTTCTTAATCATGTCGGCCACTATCAGCGCATCGCCTTGGGCCATCAACTGGGCAAACTTCGTTGAAGGTAGTGCCAACGAGCGGTAATGAGATGCAATCATTTCAGCTCCTTTTCCGCTCTTGTCTTTGTCAGCGTTACTGCTCTTTTTCCATGCGTTTAGTGCCTTCTGGCTCTGTAGAACGTTGGCAATGACATGCTTTCTGCGTTGACGAAAGCAATATGACATTTCACGTTCAAGACCACGCATGGGGCTATTTGCAAGTTGGGCATTGGCACGATTGTTGTGTTGAAGTTTGCCACAGGCAGCGCCGAGTACTTGAAACAATTGCTGCTGATAGGCTTCTCTAGGTTGGTTGTAGTGAGAGAAAAACTTGACCCAGTGCGCATCACATTGGCGTGTGTGCCGGAACTCTTCATTAGAGTACCACACAGCAGAGGCATCGAGTGCGCTGATACGAGGGAAGATGTGGACTTGTTCATGTGGAGGAATGGAATCGTCGCCAAAGGAGCCAAAGTGGACTTGCTTCTTCAAAGTTCTGCGCCTTTTTGGTGTATTGTTGGACAATCCTTGATAGTCTTCCAGCTCACGTTTGATGCTAATAGGGGCTGTCATTGCTGTTGTAGTAGTGGTTGTGGCATCAATGTTTTCAAAAGTGTGTGCTTCTTCAGGCGCCATAGACCTTGTACTTTCCATTTTTATGGTTGCAGGAGTCATTTCACCTCCTTGACTATTAATGATTTGTACTGCCATTGTTTTGGAGCTTGCTTGTTTGGCTTTGTAGTTCTTGTGTTTTTATGAATGAGGTTTGGATCGCCATCTTGAAGCCCACTGGTGTGGCTGGATAGCAAAAATCCAGACCTGAACCCCATAGCAAAATCCAGACCTCCATAAGGCTCGGTTCCCGAGTCCAAACTGACGGTGGCAAAAGACCGAACATCGTCGACGGCCATCGGAACTCGGCAGCCATCCGGTACGGTTTTGGCAGCGCGTGGAAGCCACGATTACCGTGGGAATACTGTAAATCCAATCCCACTAAAGCTCCTGCACGCATGTCTGGCTATTCGCTACACGTTTGGAAATTAAGCACGACTCATAACTGTGACTCAAAGAAACAAACAATGCGACGAAGAGCTCAGCGAACGAGCGAACGACGACGGAGGCCGCTGTTGTTGAAGACGTAACCATCCACCAGCGGTGTTGGTTCCATCCAAAAGTGTCTCTGATACCAGGAATTGAATCTAGCTCTTCTGAGAGACAGTCAGACATGCTACCATTACACCATATCAGATTGCCAACTTTGGCTTAGTTGCCGTTGTCTTCATGTTGGGTGATCCCGTCCATTTGATTGCTGGACTGATAACGTCAAGTATGCTGTCCAAAAGGGACTCTGACGCCAGGAATTTAACCCAGACCTTCTGAGAGACAGTCAGGCATGCTACCATTACACCACATCAGATCGCGACCTTGGCTATATTGATGTAGTCTCCCCCTTGGATGCGCCCAGCCTCTGGAAACTGCAGAGTTTTGAACTGAATTGCAGTGGCCTTCATCGCAAATATCCTGGTTCATGTGGCCTTGATAGATTTTCTGTCTGAAGCAAGCTGCTGATCGCGTGGAACAAGATGAACGAAACCTCAATACAGCTAAAGAACACATGGTAAATTGGGATGTTGCTCATCTAGAATAGCGACTTTAGCACATACTGGTATAAAAGCCTTCCAAAGGCCTACCAGCAAACTTGTTAAGAGATGTTTTGCCATAGATCTCCACACCCAATGCAACAAGTGGGCCACAAAGTGTACAACACCATTGTAACTACCCACACTCTGCCGCATTTGGGTTGATCATTGTTTGGCCTGCCAGAAGAAAGATGAAGACGGAGAGTTGCTATTCCTCCGCCATTTGCTTGGGAGAACGTTTTTTCAGTTTGTTGTAGTGTCCCCAACAATCTGCAGAAACTCCAGTCGATTCCTCCAGTACGCTAGCTGTGCTTTCTGGTTCCAATGGTACCTCGATGTAAGTCATAGACGGATGGCTGGAAGCAAAGTCACGGATCAGCTGCTGGTGCCACCTATAAAAGCTGCGAAAGTCTTCCAGAGTTGCATTCATCCCAGGAAACCCTTTGGTCTTGCATTGTTTCCATATATCAAAGATGAATCCGTCATGGTAATGCTGAATACTGTTCAACCACGCGTCCTCATCTCGAATCACAAAAAGAATTGTTGCGTTCGGATATGCTCATAAATTTCATCCAATGCTTCTATCAGTGGGTAGTAACAACCGACTTTTTCCTCTTCGTTTGTTGATCTGGTGACTGTCACTCCTTTCTGGTAAGAGGCCGCCACGAAACCTGTAGAATGTTGAGGCCGGGGTTGCATGCTGAGGAAAAGGGTGATTCGATTCGCTACAAACAAGGCGTCTCGTGCACGTACCTGTATCAGTCCATATATCTGTGTCACCACAACCCTGAAACGGAGGCATATTTCTCGCCACATTCCTCTTGACACAGCGTCCAATCTTATTTTTGACCTGTCCGTCGATTCGATAGACGTGGTGGGCCGATTTTTGTCCTCCGCAAAGAAAGTAATTGTGCACAGACGTTGTACCACTTTTAGGAAGACTTGGGACAAAGATTGGAAGGGGAACCTTAAGTGGTGGTGGTGGTTCTTTATCATCCGAATTGTCGAGCACTTTCCGTTTTCGTCTTCCTCGCTTTCGTCTTCTTTTAGGCACGGCGGTGGCGTTCATGGTCGATAGCTGCACGTTGAGCATCCCTTCAATCGAGAGAGGCGCATTCTCCAGTCTCTTCGCAGTTCCGTTTGATTGGGAAATAGAAGGGAGGACCTCGATATGTCGCGTTGTGTGTTGGATGTCATTGAGGGCTCTCGTCATGTGTTGAAAGCAAACAACCAACGTGGCAAGTGAGGCCATACGCAAGGTCAAAGCTACGAAGCGAGTTGTCCCTGTCATTATTGCTGGATAGACTTCTTGTGTCTTTTGACCTGTCTTAATATTCGCCGACTCTGGAATTCATTGCGGTTGCCAGAGACTTGGAGGTGTGTGACGACAACAAGAGAGCGGAACATCCAATTTTGTGAGTTTCTCTCCTGGACGCCGGCATCACCATTGATCTCCAAGGCTTCGATTTTCCTGTTTGCAACGGCGTTGTTGCCACCGCTCCCACAGCGCTCTTCAGGTTCTTGGCTTGTTGAAGCAAGGTTGGCTCTCACGGCTACCACAGCTCCAGTATTTGTAGCTTCAGATATCCTCAGGGAAAGTAATCCGAGCGAAACAACATTCTTCTCAACGGTCGAGGTGCGCGATTGCCCATTGATGCCCAAGTTGTCGTGAGTGAGATCAGCTCATCTTCATTGTCAACAATCGGATGATCGAGGACGTCCTCGACATGGCCTTCACGCAAGCACAAGGGTTGCAATTCTAAATGATTTCGGAAGAAACAAACGTAACAGGATGTGGCAAAGCTCAAAGAATCGAAGGACCCTCATGAAGGTGGCATTTGTCTGTATCGCGACGATTTCTGGCACCATAACCACCTCGCAACTCAGATCGATCGGGATTTTCGTTGCTGACGATAGTATCATGGAGACTGTTCAACACGAGAAGGCTTTCATTTACAGATCAATTGTTGGCAGTAACACTACGAGTCTTTTTTCCACTGAGAAACAACGTTCCAACAGAAGTCTCTCCATCAAAGCAGACAGCATTTCTGTGAGAAAGAAATCTACAATCAGAGCTCCAAATAGAACCAAAGCAACCTTCAAAACTCACCCACATTTCTCCGAACAACTCATGGATTCATTCATCGTTGGGGCCAAGGAGGAAGCTGTACGAAGAAAGAATTTTAAACAGCAGCTCAAAAGGGTGCAAAAGAAGAAGAAGAGGGGAAAGACGAGCAAGAAACCAAAAAAGGCGAAACTGAAGGTTCCAACCCCCATATTCGTTCCCTCTCTGCCCAAGAGCGGGACGACAACGGTTCATCAATACTTTCTTTGTGGAGGACAAAAGTCGGCGCATTTGGCTGGGACAAAAGGCGACGGCATGTTTAAGATTGGTCGTTGTGCGCATAGCAATTTTCGGCAACGTAAACCACCCTTTGCTGATTGCGGGGACTATGATGTTTATTCTGATACCGGTAAGCAAGGATACGGCCCAATGAAGATATGATGGCTTGTCGCCATTGGTAGCTAGCTATCCGCACTCACGTCTTCGTCGTTTGCTTCTCCGTCTACTTCCGTCGCCCAGGCTACGTGGCAGCTAGGTATTTCCCAGATGGACGGGAACTGAGGACGAACAATATTCAATGCTTCTATCCGCTGATTGATGCTCTGGAGGACGTCTATACCTCCTACCCCAACGCAACGTTTCTTTTCGTGGTACGCGAGACGGAAGCATGGTTAAATAGCGTAAAGAGCTATCACGATGGCTTTATCATGGAAGTTTGGAAACGATGTCGTTCCCGTGGCTTTCCCGATCTTCAAGGTGGATTGGAGGAGTTTCGGGAGTTTTTCGAGTGGCACAAGGACATGATACGGAGCTTTGCCCTGGATCATCCTTCGTGGACGTACATTGAAGTAGATTTGGAGGATCCAGATGCAGGTAAATACCTGGAAAAACACGTGGGCATAGATGCAGGGTGCTGGGGCCATTACAACAAGGGTGGAGAAGGCAAGACGTCTGCTGAAGATGCAGTGGACGTAGCTGAGAGCGAAGAGGAAGAAGAGCGATAGCGAAGTTTGGTGTTGTGGCTATAGCCACAAACTGTTGTGTATACAATGTCGTTAAAATCGCAGACAAAAAACTAGTGCAACAGGAAAACTGAATGAATCGGTCGCAAGGGCGTACAACACCGGTGTTCCGATTGCAACGTTTTATAGGAAGCTCGAGAAATTTGCCCGATACCTTACACACACATTCGCAGAGTGCTGATGCCCGTGTGGATTGCATGATTGTTGATGGATATTTGCGGCCAAGTCTTACATTCCAAAATTCTGGTTCCGACATGACCACATGCATCCAACATATGCATAGATACGCGGCAGCAAATCTTATACGCTTTCATGTTAGCAAGAAAACCTGAGTGAAATTTCACCTGACGGATTTGTGTGCACCTATCCGTACTACGTATTCGTAGAACACTCGTGCATTTGGTGCGTTGTGCCGAGGATCTCTCTTAGTTCCGCATTGTCGTTTTTCTTGCAGTTGCCGAGGCGGACACGAGCGCAATCTTGAGCCTTCTGAAAGTGCGCAATGAGTGGTCTTGCTCGTGAAATCATGGACTATGTCAAAGTGAAGGACCGAACGTCGAAGCTAGAGCTTTTGGTGGTCTGTCCACACCCACTGTTGATCACGGCACCCGTAGAAGATGGTGTCCAGGTTTGGAAAGTGGAGTTACTCAACGCCTATGGGCAGCAGACTGGAGAGCTACTCTCCTATGGAACGGAAAACATTGACGCCGTCGTCGCCCTGATCTTCGGCAAAGGCGGATCCAACTTCCCAAACCTGCAGTGCCGATTTGTCGCGACGAAGAAGCGAATCTCTAGCTGGAGCGTCAAACCGGAATGGGATGTATCCACCAAACTTGAAATCATCAAAGGCGCTGTGAAGACTGTCCTCGCCGAGTGAATGCTGAAGACAGCCCTCGCCGATGCTTCAATGAAGGACACTTGTCGAGTAGCTTAACATCTAGCTCAACAAACTGTCCAAATCATCATCGTCTTTCATTTGTTGATGTTGCGGGGCAAATCCCAATCGTTGTTGGAAATTGTTCGACATTTTTTCCATGAGATTCGTAGCACCTGACATGTTGGTGGTGTATTTGAGTGCTTTGAATGCTTTTCCCAGTGGAGACTTGTTTGCCTTGGGCGAATGGGCAGTCTTGTGGTTGGTCGCCGTAGGACTCCTGGGAGCCGGATGATGATTGTCGTCGTCGTCGTCGTCATTATCATCAAATCCCCACGGTTGAAATTGCAGCGGTTCCGGCGGTGGCGAATCGGTGGTGGAGAGTCGTCTTTGTACCTGCAGTTTGCGGCTATTCACGTTGTCCAATAAACTATCACGATGTGGATTTTGCAACTTTGGGTCACGCGGTTTTCGTTGTTTTGGTTGTTGTTGATCGCCCTCATCGTCCGTGCAACCCTCCAAGAGGGAGTTTTCATCGAGTAAACTAAAGATGGGCATTTCGCCACTGCCGCCGCCGGCACCACCAATAGTCGACAGATCCAATTGCAAATGTGTGGAATGTCCCTTGGCGGAAATATACCGAGGGGCGCCGGCTTTGGTTCCCTCATCGTCGGAATCCTCCTCGTCCGACGCACGTTGCAAATCCTCCAATCCCAACGAGTGTGCACCGGTGGAAAATTGACCCGAATTGTGGACATTGCTGTGGCTGACGCGTTTGACCGGTTTGGGTTTGCTCTTACTACTGTTGTTGTGATTGCTGCTACTGTGTTTGCTAGGAGAAACCTTGCCCGTTCGTTTGGGGGATGCAGCTCTGGTAGGTGACTTGTGTCGACTTCCCTCGAGCTTCCCTTTTGGTTTGCTGTTGGATGTAGATAATTCCTTGTCGCTGTTCCCACTGCTGGGGAGCCGTCGTTTGGAAGAATTTTCGGGACTTCTACCTCGGGAGGAGTTGGTCTGAAATTTTTTGGGTTCTTCTACTGTTCCGTTGCGTTTGGGTGGTCGGGGAGACGAATCGCATTTCTTCTTTTTGCGACCAGCAGCAGGTGACTGATCTCGTTTGGAGCTTGTGGTAGTGGATTGTGGTTCATGATGATGATGGCCGTTGTTATTATTATTCTGATGGCTGGATTCCTTCTTGGGTGATGTGCTTCTACCCGGTCGTTTGGCCTTGGAGGGCGAACCACTCTTATCTCGCGAGGGATTGCAGGGTAGGTCCTGAGACTTTTCCTTCTTTTTCGTAGTCTTTTTGGCGGACGTTGCGGGGGGGGATCCGCCGCCATTGGGAGCCGGTGACCGTCCTCTTGGTTTCGCTGCTGGCTTCTTGACTTTACGTTTCGGCTTGTCTCCCTCTCCACCTCCGCCATTCTCTACTACCTCGTCTTCTGCCATGGCTTTATCTATACTTTTTGAAGGTGTTATTGTTGTTGAGTGATGTCGTTCACAAACATAGGATACGTACAGCTTCTATTTTATATTGGCTTCCCAGTTGCCAGGTTTGGTGCCTGAAGTGTGTGTTGCTGCCGTTCAGCCGTTGCATGTTGCATGTCTCTCTGCGATCTTTGTTGATGCATGCGGTTTTGGGAGTTGGGTGATGGTTCCACCGTGATCTACATATTCACTAGGTCAACCTGCTAAAACTTCGAGTACCGTCGTTTATGCTTTAGTTGACTGAGGTGGACAACCCACCGCCCGAATCCCGTTCCACGTTCAAGATAGAATACCTACGGTACCTTGTGGTCGTTTCAGAGATTGCTCAAATCGGTACCGACCAAGATACCCCGCAAGTCCTCGTTTGAATGAAAGCAAGTTCATGTTGGGCCCTGGATAGCAACAGCAACGTCTTATAAAATTTGCACTTTCCCAAAGTCCAAGATGGCATGTTCTCATCATACGATTCAGCAGCATCAAGCAGGTCAATCGTCCGCTTCCCAACGACCGCAACTCATAGTGTCACCAAGCTCAACAGGTCTGAAGTAAGTGATTGGTGAACGATCTCGTGCATCTTACTTCACACCTTTTCATGTTCCAATCGAAAAGCAGCTCGCCCTGGTTTTCTTCGGACTTTCTCCGTCCACACAGCTACAGAGGTACCTACCGAAACATCGCCACATAAGGCACCATCTCAATCCAGTGCTGCTTCCCAAGAAGAGATGCCCACAGTTCCAACCATTCAACTTGGCATGGCTGAACCTTTCTGGTGCGAGGCGATGGTGACAACCGTGAATTCCCAACCACGATGCTCATTCACCGGGATGCTCATCGCAGCGAAAAGAAGAATTGTCTTTGCCCGGTACGCAAGACAAGGGCGTACGTACCGTGGCTGCAACGGCGTGGATGCACCTCGACGCTTCTACCGGCACGGTACGGTGAGGCTACCGGTAATTGCAACCGTAAAGGGCCTTCGTTGCGTAACGGTGGGGCAACGAGTGATGACAACTAACTGAATGGGATGGCTGCTATCGTGACGCAAATCGAAGCGAAACGCCGTGCCCGCTCCACGTTGCTATTTTCCACGATCTTGGCATATGTGTTAGGAGATGAAAGAAAAGAGACAAGGGGGTTCATCAGGCACACAATTTTCTGCTCGATCGAAGCAAATGTCCTTTTGGCAGTGGAAGCCGACGGTAGGATCTCTAAAAGAAACAAAGATGGCGACAACTGAAACAGTCAAGTTGAATGTGGGTGGAACCCAATTCGTAGTGTCGCGTTCTCTCATTGAACAGCATTCCACCACCATGCTGGCTCGGCTTGTCTCTGACACTTGGCAGAAGGATCCCAAGAAAGAGATCTTCATTGACCGGGATGGAGAAACATTTCGCTTTGTCATCCAATTCATGCGTGATTCCAAAGTGAGCTTGCCCATGTCCAAGGTATCCAAGACAAGCCTTCTTGATGAGTTGAGATACTTTGGCTTTCAAAATGTAGACTCAAATGCAATCAATGCAAGCTGTGTGAGCCGTGAATTGGTTGATCAGATTAGACTTAACAATGAGAGTCATGAAACACGGAAGACAGAACTCAGTCTAAAGCTCTGCTATGAAGTTCTGGCTCATTTAGCCTACACCGAATGTTGCAAGTCTGGCAGATTTGGTCCTGTCGCCATTGATCATTCACTTCCAAGACCAAAAATCAGCACCTGGAATGCAGAGATGTTTAACGAGGCTTTGGCGAAATACGGAATACAGGGCAAGCTGGAGGGTGGTTCTTACCCCTACAGCAAAGTCCAAGTGAGAGTGACTCGCTTGGAAGATTGAAAACTATGTCAAGATTCTTTCGACGGCCGCGATGATGAGTTTGAATTCTCAGAGTTCAACTACCGGCGTGAAGTTTTTACTATGAATTGCAGCAGTGCTTCCTTGATTTTTTAAAAGCACATATTTTATTAAGAAAACAATAATGACAAACTCCTACGACTTTCTCGCCTTGCCCATACCCTTGGTTATTCGTTTCTGTAGTTTCTTGACTCGCTTGTCCACCTTGGCTTCGGTGGCAGCTCGTTTGCTGACTCCCGGCTTGCTGCTGGGATCATTCTTGTTCTTCTTCTTTTCTCCACGCATGCGTTTGTTTTGTTTTCGTGCCACTCGCTTCATGGCACCCGATGCTACCACTGTGCGTGGCTTCTTGTTGCTGCTGCTCTCTGTATTGTTATTTGTCGCAACATGGCGCGTTCGTTTCTTGTGGTGTTGCCCCTTGACGTTAGCACACGCATTGACTCGCAGATTGCGTCTCATGTAGACGGCATCCTGCATTCGTTGCAATGCCGTGGCGACCATGGTGGCATCTTGAAACAAAACATACCCAATGCCTTTGCACTGAAATGTATTCTTGTCGCGAATGATGCGTACTCCCACAATATCATTCATTTGCAAGAGGCACTGTTGGACGAAAAATTCGTGCAAGGAAGCTTCGTCCGCTTGATAGGGCAAGTTTCCCACAAAGACGGATCGTTTGGGATCTTCCGTGGGCGTGGCGGTATCGACGCGAATGCGACGGACGGCGCGAGTGGCTTGCGGATTGGTGTCGGCCAAGGGCGTATTGTTGAATTTGGCAATGGCTTGTTCGACGCAGTCCTTGTCGGCAAAACGGACATATCCTTGCAAGGATGATTTGGCTTCCACGTCGAGTTGCTGTGTATTCGTACAAACCTTCTTGACCAGATTTTGATTTCCCGCATGGCTGGGTGGCAATTTGACACCTGTCACTGCGACGGACCGCAATCGAGCCGATTCAACTTTGCCTACTTGGGAAAACAACTTGATGAGTGACTTGCGTTTCGTACTGAGAGGTAAATTGCCGACAAAGACGGTTCGTTCCTCCTGTGCTTGTTTTTCTGCGGGAGACAGGGTATTGCGTTTTGTTGGTTTTTTGGCTTTTTCTTGATTTTCAGTTTCATTTTCGTCGTCGTCATTATCGGAGGAATCTACTTCATTCTCAATATCTTTCTCCTTGTTTTCGTTGGAGGAGGAACCGTTCGAAGAATCCTCATCGTCACTGCTGCTGGAATCGTCATCCTCAACCTCCTTTTTTGGATCCTTTTCTCCTTCCTTTGAAAACTTGTCAAAGAGATTGGCCAATCCACGATCCTTCTTCCCTTTCTTTTGGGACTTTTCTGCTGCTGGCGCGTCCCCAAAAATTGATTGAAGCAACGACATCTTGATTGATTGATTGATTTGGTTGATCGTTGGGTTGATTTGGGCAGGTTCAGAAGTCAAGGAGAAACAACTTTTGGAAAGAAAAATGAGAAAAGCTACGGCTTGTTGGCTGTGGTGGTAGGGACAACTTCGCACGGTCGCGCGATCTTGTGATCTGAGAGCTTCTGTGCGTCCCCGGTCGTCTTGGGACCACTTACCGGTACATGTACCGGTACCGATACAGCACTGGTACGGTGGTACGGTACATCCCTCCGCACAATAGCAACTCGATGCTCAACAATAATACAGGCTGATATGAAATGTTGCTATCTGGTAACTGTCGGTAGCTACCTTTAGCTAGCTAGTAAAAGGTGAAACATGAGTTGTTCGCTACCCAGCTAGCTAGCCGTGACTTATTTCCAATAATGGACCATTGTTCTTCTGTCGTTGTTCTGCCAGAAAGACTTTAGTATCATTGGCCTTCTTTTCCAAACAAACCACGCTCTTCCAACAACAGGGTCGATATCGAGGATCCTCTACATCCTGCAAACACCGAAATTCCCCATCTGGATGAGCCCCAAACCCACCTGCCATCATATGCATCATGAGCCTGGCAAAGTTGGAACAACAATTTCCAATGGTCAAACGCGCATGCATTTGCAGCTGCAGTGTTGTCAGGGCAGAAAGGAGCTCTTCATCCCCATGGTTCCCTAGGTAGAAACCAGTGTCAGCAGGATTGTCATGCTGATTCACAATAAAAGATACTGCTGGTTGTTGTTGTTGTTGCTGTTGGTACTTTTCCTGTTCCTGCTTGATCTCTTTGGACTCGGTGGAGAAGATAATAGCAGGTGGCAAGGCTGCTTTTGCGTGGTTGGTGGTATGGTTTTGTCGCATCTTGGTCCACTCGGCTTGCACAACCTCCAAGTGTTGCTGGAATGTCAAACATTCACTTTCGTCTTGACACTTATCCGATGCCCGAATGGGCAGTCCCACCGTTTGGTGGGGATCAAATCCCACGGGCAAAGATTCCTGCACATTCGATCGTATCCGTTGTCGCACTGTGGGTCGCGGCCGCAAGGAGTAACTCATGTAAGCTGCCAGCATGGTCCGCAGTGACCCTGCCGCACGGCCAAATCGCCATCCCTCTCCGACTACCTTTCGAAACAGTTTGATGCGAGCATCTCGTGTTGGATCGTGGTCCTTTGCTTGGTAGTTGTTGTCCATCAGATTGGCAATGACACGTTGTGCCTGCTGTTCTGCTTTGAGTTTCATAGGACTCAATGAAATCCAGTCTGGATCCCACTCATCTGCCGCCACCATGACAACGCGGGGGAGTCCTGCTGGCAGAGTTCCTTCTTTACGGAGGACTTGCAGTTCCGTGGCATTGAGCTGATAGCCATTTTCTAGGTCCTCCAATGTGGGCACACACGGGCTTGGTGGGGAAAATGTACATTGATAATCCCCCCGTGGACACGATGCCAGTTGCCAGCCATCTCGATAGGCTTGATGTTGTGTCAGGTGTGGAGGAAGTTCTTTATTGACAAAGTGGACCACTCGGTTGACTGCCATTCCGGCCTTGAAGAAATGAACCATGGACCAAAAGACATCGGCACCAATCCCATAGTTGAGAAGATTTGCCACAAGGTAGTTGGTTCCTGGACATTCATAGTCAAATAATAATGTGCCAATTTGATGTTGTTGATGTTGTTGTACTGATTGTTGAAAGGCTTGTGGTTGTTCTTGTCGTGCCCGTGCTTCCGGAAGAGCTGGTAGATGTTGATGTACATGAATGGCTAGATAGTGGAGGCGAATATTCCATAGGCGCCGCTCTTCCAAGGATACAGCGGCTGTGGTCGTGGAAAGGTTCTGGTACGAGAAATCCAGAATTTGAGAACCCTGAATGGCCAATGTCTGTTCCAAGAGATCCTTTAGATACTCCTCATTGTCCAGCAAGTGGGGAATACGGAGGATTGTTTTCTGCAAGTACTCTTCATCATTAACGATCAAGGGATCATTGGAATTGCGGAACCGAGGACCCTTCAGCCATCGCTCGGAATTGACATTCCATGCAGTTTTTGAATCGCTTCTACTGCTACTGCTACCGGTAGTGATGGTTGTTGTTGTTTCCGTCGCAGCACGATGAAAGGACTGCTGCAAGTTCCAGGACAAGGAACTCCTGCTCTCTTTCTTTCTGGCTACGAGTAATCCAACAATGGTGGCCCATACAATGGCTATGGCACTAACTCCGCCTTTGAGGTCCACAATCGAGAGCTTTACCATGTTGATTGATACTGGATCATCTAATGGTTCATTTGTGTGTGAAAGCTTCTGAGGAGATGACTGACTGTCACGCTTATAAGTAGCGCTCACGAGGCATTTTGATAAGCCTGACTTGGTCGTAAAAGCTTTCTTTTCAAGCCAGCGTAGGCTGGTAAATGGGACCTGGGTGCTAATAGGGGCTATATATTTTTTGACGGCCAAACACACAGCAAAGATCTGGTTGACACAACCGCACAACGACCAAAAGCAACCCGTGGAAGCAACACTACTAGACCAAAAGGCAACAGCATTACAATGTCCAACATTAGCACTGGCAAGCACCCACTCGATCATGACACCACCACTGCTGCTACTATTACAACAACAAACGCCAACACTCCTGGTTGCAAGCGATACCGCTATGCCGCACCCGATGACAGTCTGACCACCAAAGCCTTGTCGGAACACAAACTGGCCACTGCCAAGGAATGCTCTGGCATTCCCAAGTTTGATGAATTGAAAAAGTGTTTTTGGGATGAAATTGGTGCCGGAGATTTTCTCATGCAAGAAAAGATTGCCTTAGTGTTAGAAGTCTGTCCGCGCTGTCACAAGAAATTGCCGCCTCCCGACAAGAAACGCATGCAACGCTGTCATGTGCGACAGTGCATGAAAAAGGAAGCCAATGAATTCTGTCAATCCATCTATCGACACTCTTTCTTTGAAGACAGTCGAGGGGGGCGATATTTGGTGCTGCTCTTTTTGTATCATTGGGTCATTGGATCCAATTACAAACAAATGGGGATTGTTACCGGATGGTCACGACAAAAAGTGTTTAGTTACATCAAGTACGTGCAAGATCTAGTTGCCACTGTGGCAATGACACATCATGATTTCCTCAATAATAACGACACTACAACCCCAATAGCAATAGCACCCATTGGAGGCGAAGGAATTGTCGTGGAAATTGACGATGAGCAACAAGTCTTTGACAAGCGAAAATTACATGTCCAGGAAGGATCCTGGCTCTTTGGCGGTGTCGAAAACACTCTGACACGACGCTACTTTTGCGTGGCGGTGCCCGATCGCAATCCTTCCACGCTCTGTGCCATCATTCACAAATTCATTGCACCGGGAAGTCTCGTACGAAGCGATTGTTGGACGGCCAAGGATATCGTCGAAATTGATGACAAGTGCGAATACATTTGTGGAGACGCTTCCGACCAGGGTATGCTATGGGACGATGACGATCCACTCTTATTGCCACCCACATGGTATGCCAACACACGACCCGCACCGGCACGCAAAAAGGGAAAACGACAACAAGCAATGCTGCTCTTCGAGTACATTTGGAGACGACAACATGAAACCAAATTGTGGGAAGGATTGTTGGATGCCCTGCGGCAAGTCAAGTATGCATCCAGCAATGCCACCCTGGCGGCAAACAAACATGCCAAGAAAAAGGAACAGAAACAACAGCAACAACAGGCTGCCAATAGTGATACGACGACGAATGGTGGTCCCGGCAAAAAGGTCAAGCTACTAGAACAGCCGCAGCCGAACGGAGTTGCTGGAACGAACATGACAAAGGTCAAAGAACAGACTGGCGACAATGGACATGACAAAGTCTTGGGAAACCCTCCACCACAGCAGCAGCAGCAGCATCTTCAACAGGGCAATGGATTGAAACCATCCGACGGAACTGGTGCCGTTAAAGGAGAAGATGTGGGGATCATTTAGCTAGCCGAGGGAACAACGCGTAACTACATGTAGCTGCAGGAGTTGGCACAGTACATGTAGTGCTACCGCAGCCAGAGGGGATTCGTACACCTTTCGAGAATACTTTGACGGCAACACATAAGCGACGACACAGCCACCGGAACGAACTTATGTGGCTGCAACTTTTGAAGTGGAGGCCACTGTAGAGAAGCCGACGATTATCCTTCTCAAGATGTACGCTGGGGCTTCTTCGCGGTACCACATTGAAGGGGCCCGCGGTATCACACTGGTGTGACGATGGCAGGCATCTGCTTCGTGGCTCCCTCTAGGAAGAACGCTGGAGCAACACTTCCGCTGATGGAGGACGACTTGGTTGGAGCCTTGCGCGGGGCTGGGATGATGATTGAGCAACTCAAGAGGTGCTTCGGAGCGCGATGAAGACCAAAACGATTTTGACGCTGGCGAAATGATGTTGAAGGAAGGATAGACATAAATTCCGTCTTTTCTTGAGCCGGCTGCGTTACCGGCACGGTGGATGTGCCGATTTCGACTCACTCAACCTGCCTCGTTTCCATCGATGCCTCCTCACTCTACTAATCAAGCTGGCTTCCGTCTACTAGCTACCAGTAGTACCGGTAGACCCCTTCACCAACATGCTTGTTACAACGGCACCGGCAATTCCGATGCACTATAAAGTTTCATTATTTATGTTACTGAGTTGCACTGGTTCCCCAACCTGCTCGCCCTGAACAATAATTTGAGCCCACTTTGGTTAGGTCTAGTTTCCCGATTGATTATTCGGTGGATTGTTTGTTTCCTGCACATAGGTGGTTCCACGTCTACGAGATCTTCCGACGCGAAGAGCCACGAGGACGCTTCTTGGGAGAGCAAGCATCAGCGGCCAACTGAATGGAGGCCCTGAGCTTGAGAAAAGGACACTTGCTCTTCTTGTTGAGACAAGCGCTTTGAATTGAAGGGGCACTGCAGAGAAACTGCAACTTGATCAAAACCAAAACGAAAGCCACCACCTGCAACATTCCTGCTATTTCGAGTGGCTGCCGTAACAACATTTCGATTCGTCCTTCCCGGCTGGCATATCCCTGGGGGTCTCGCCAGTAAACAAAGCACATGGTCGTCACCGCACCTACCATGACCCGTCGCACTTGATTCATCTTCTTCTTGCGTCGTCTTACCGTGCTGTGAATCGACGTATTGAGACTCGTATTGAGAACAGACGTATTGCCTGCTTCAGCTGCAATAGAAACATCCAGGCTTCTAGACCATGAAGTGAAGCTTTGATCAATGCTGCGGTTCGCATAGCTAGTCTCGCTCGTATCCGTGAGAGTCGTGGTTGCCAAAGTCAGGGAATCCTGTGATCCAGATTCCTCAGTACCAGAGACGCTTGCTGCAAAGAAAGAGCCGTTCGCATATCCGCCCAGACCGTGGACAGCAGCATTGGCTGCAGCAGCCGCTGACATGGCATTTGCCATGGCTCGATGCATGGACATGACATGGGGATCGTCCATTTCTTCCATCACTGCCGAAAGCTTCCCTTCGTCGTGCCTTTCCATTGCCCCGGCTTGTTTGCGGCTGGACCGACGACGACGTCGGTTCGATAGTCTCTTTTTTGGTTTCTTCACGACGGGTTCGTCGAGCAGTCGACAGATCCGAGGATTGACAAGAATTTGTTGGCTTAGATTCGCGATTTTTGTGCACGTGTATCCTACAGGCACCGCCGTCAACACCTCTCCATGTGCAATGCGAGCCGAGTCTCGAATGCCATCGGGATTTTCAATGAGCAGATCCAAGTCCGAAATATCTTGCTGTTCGTCTTCCTTGGGTATTGGTCGACACAAGCCAGTGTAGATCTGGGCTCCCAGTGACGGTTCCGTGGCATTCAAAGGAATCATGAGAAGAATATCCCGAATGGTGGTCGCCGTTGGATCCACGTACAACTGAATGAGCTCAAAGATCTTGGACGTGGGATGCAACAGCAACAAGTAGACTTTGAAGTTGGTCTGCTGAGAATATGTCGAAGAGAGGGTCATGTTCAGCTGCGAAGGTACAACGCCCACAGGTTTTTCATCCTCGGCAATGGACTCCATCATCATCATTTCTGGTTCCAGCATAATCGGTTCACCAGGATCCACAATTTTCACCGACCTGGTGGAAAACCGACGGCTCATTGGTTCCTCAATCTTTTCTTCTTCTACCTCGTCATCCTCGGCGGGTTCCATCATCATTTCTGGCGGAGCAATCACGATTGGGTCTCCAGGATTGACAATTGTCACCTGCTTTCGAGTACTTGGCTCCTGCAGGGCAGGTGCCGACAAGATTCCTCCTTGCATGGGAGTGACGGACGCTGGCTGCACCGGATGTTCGTTCATGGTGAAAGAATCGTCCTGGATTGATTTTTGGCGTCGCTGCACCGGCGAGATTCCTTCCATAGCATCGCGTAAGCTCGCCACAGGAGGAGGGGAATCAGGCACCGCTTTGAGTACTTGGACTGCCACAGGAGGGGTCCCAGCCACCTTCTTTTCTTTGACTGCTTCTTCAGGTGCAAAGAGAACCATGGCATCGCGCAAGTTCGCCACAGGAGGGGATTCTGGCACCGATTTGAGGACTTGGACTGCCACTGGCGGGGTCCCAACCGCCTTCGTCTCCTTGACTTCTTCTTCAGGTGCAAAGAGAACCTTGGGTGGCGACAAGACATTATCTTCGTCGTTCTCTTCTTCGGCAATCATGCTTGAAGCAAAAGTGGTGGCGGAAGTACTGGACCTTCGTCGACTCATTCGACGGAACGGTTTGAAGGACTTTTTCTTCTTTCTTTTCTTGACAGAGTCATCCTCGTCCCTGTGGTTTCCGACGCTGATGTTGTCATGGCTGATTTCCTTCAATGGCGACAAGACGCCATTGTGTATTTCAAGCTGTTTTTCCAATTTCTTTCTTCGGTGACGATGAAGGCGTCTCTTGACGCGACCGGCAAGACTCACGACACTTCCAGCCACACTGCTCGCAACGCTATTGTTGGCCGTGCTTTGGCTGTCATGGTCGTCGTAATAATGATCCTCCAACTGCAACGAGCTGTGAAGCGACACTCCCGGGCAACCCTGGAGCTCTGGGCTCAACTGCGCTTGTTCCTGCTTCTTTTTGGACTTGGAACTTCGTCGACGATTCAACCGGCTGATCATCGACCGAGGAGCCACAATCTTGGGCGACAACTTCTGTGGTGTTGGTTCTGGATACGAAAACACTGGGTTTCCATTCTCATCCAACTGCATGGTCGCCGGAATGAGCTTATCGCCCGGTTGGGTGGAATAGTGTGGACGAGCCGTGACAACACCCGCCATGGCTGCAACAAACAAACACAAGTACCGGTAGAGCAACAGCAACTCTTTGCTTCGTCTTCTTCAACAATTGAAGTTTGTGTGGAAAAAGATGAGGGAGCTGGATGGTTGTGTGTGTGTTGTTCTGGTCAATTTTGCCGTGTGCCGTGTGACGATTATAAGCGTTCTGACGAGTGGATCTTTTAGAGAGCCGTTGAAACCCGTTGGTTACAGCGTCCGCAATTCGCTAAATTCAGCAAAAATTCCATGAAACAGTAAAGATGCCATCTAAGAAAAGTCCATAGATGGCATAAACAGTAAATTTCCGGTTTCCACTGCTTTTTTCGACCTTGCCCTTTAAGTAAGTGGTTGCAGTCTCTACCATGGATCCTCAAATGCCTGAAACACCAAATTCTTATGCCAAAAATGGAAAAACTGAAGGAATAAACAGTAAACATAGACAGTATCGTATAAAACCACCATTGCGGACACTTGAGCTAAAAGATTTAGGAAACCTGACTGGACCGTTTTATGTTGCGACGCGCGTCACAGATGCCACGACCATCTGCCGTCCCATGTCCCATGATGGTGAGCAAGAGGTGCAGGAGGGTTCCTCAATCGTGCATGACCTTTAAATCCGACCCCAATTTTAGGGTCGGTTTGGGGAAACCCGTCCCTAAATCCGACTGAATTAGGGTCGGTTTCGAAACCCGACCCTAAATCGAAACCCGTCCCTAAATTAGGGACGTTTTTTCAGAAACCGTCCCTATTTTTCAGAAACAGTCCCTATTTTTAGGGTCGGTTATCAAACCCGACCCTAATATTGGTGCGTTTTCAATGTATTTACCATTCAGTCCCGTTTCGATTTAGGGACGTTTTTCAAACCCGACCCTAAATCGAAACCCGTCCCTAAATTAGGGACGTTTTTTCAGGAACCGTCCCTATTTTTCAGAAACGGTCCCTATTTTTAGGGTCGGTTTTCAAACCCGACCCTAAAGGGAACCCGTCCCTAAATCCGTCCCAAAAAATAGGGTCGGTTTTTGTTAAGGCATGCACGATTGAGGAACGCTCCTGGAGAAACAAACCAAGCTAGCTAGCTAGACTAGCTACTAGTACCCGTACAAGCCAGATCACCCAACAGCGTACATGTACGTGCATGTAGCAGGCTTGGCATTTCAAAAATCGACTATTAATAAATAGAGTACTGTCTAGCTAGCTTGCCAGATAAAGAAGCCACAAAGAGTTAGTTATGTCTGCTTATTTGCCCGCTGCACGGTACCGTAGCTGACAGCTGGGAGAGCGAGAGAGAAATCACGTATAGGATTGCATCCAAAGATCATGTAGCCGAATACAAGGACCTATGCATACTCGTAATACAAGACAACTCTTGCTAGCTAGTTACATAGTCAGAGTGATCTGGGCATCCATTGTCCCGAGCCCATTGTACAATTTCTCCGTTACCATTATCAGAAGCAGCTTGAGATGTTCTAGAATCCCAAGGGCACCCATTGACCCGGGCCCATTTCAGAATTTTCAAATGCCCGTTTCCAGCGGCAGCAATGCAGGTGTTTGCATCCCATGGACAACCCTTCTCACGAGCCCATTTAAGTATTTCCAAATGGCCAGCTCTAGCTAGTTCATAGCATGTGTATTCACTCCATGGACATCCATTCTCATGGGCATATTTCAGCACTTCAAAATGGCCACTTCCAGCTGCATTGCTGCATGTGTCTTCATCCCATGGACAGCCATTATCATGTGCATATGTCAGGATTTCCAAGTGGCCATTTTCAGCAGCAGCTTCACATATGGCTTTGTGCCAAGGACATCCTTTTTCACGGGCATACTTGAGGCATTCCAAATGGCCAAACGAAGCAGCGGTGGTGCATGCGAAATCATCCAATTCACAACCATTTTCATGGGCATACCTCAGGATTTCTAAATGACCATGTCCAGCTGCACCATTGCATGTTTCTTCATCCCATGGACATTCGTTCTCATGGGCATACTTTAGGATTTTGGAATGACCATTGGAAGCAGCGATTTCGCATATGGATTCATCCCAATTACATCCATTTTCACGGGCATACGTCAGGATCTCCAAATGTCCATTTTCGGAGGCTCTCCAGCAAGTCCAAATATCCCATGGGCAACCATTCTCTCGAGCCCATTTAAGGAATTCCAAATGGCCACTTTCCGCAGCCTGAGCACAGGTTTGTTCATCCCAAGCACAACCGTTGTAATGGGCATACTTCAAGACTTCCAAATGGCCACCTTTAGCTGCAGCCAAGCAGGTGTCTGAACCCCACTGAAAGCCTTGCCCTTGGGCCCATTGAAGGACTGAAATATTCCCAAGGCCCGCAATAGCCGGGCAAACTCGTAATGATGAAATTGGAGTTTTGTGGCTGGAATTGTCCGTGTGCCAGTACTCCGCGCAGGCAACATTGTCAAAGGCAGCACTATAGTATGTGTCTGTAATTCTGGCTGCCACTGTTGTACCAACAAAGACACCAGCTTCCCACACCATAGGAGGGTTCTGTACTGTCCTACAATAGTCCTTGTAGAGTTGATTCAGTGTTTTGTTGACAGCTCCTACAAAGGCATAGTGTCCCATTCCGACAAACGGAAGGATGTTGTTAACCCAAACATCCTTTTGATGGAACAGCAGGTCGTCGGTAGCAGTGGGGGACAACTTTTGCCGTTTTTTGGGGCCATTGTTGTTTGACGATGATGAAGAAGAGGAAGACATCCTTGGACAATCAAGGTAGATGAGCACTGCGTCAATACAGTGAGGAGGAGAGGAGGGCAACGCTGCTCTCCACACCCTGTTAGAGCTGTGTTAGTGGTGCGTGCGTGCACCAGTTCACCAGGAAAACAGGTTTATAACGGTAGTTGCGGTAATTAATCGAATAAAGTGCTTGTTTCAAGTTTGTAAATAAGACATTTGGTTTACCGCGTCTACCTGAATGCTTAGGACTAGCGTCCAGTCGTCCATCAAAGAAAAGTGGAGCAGTACACCGTACCTGGTACCTGGTACCTGGTACCTGGTAAGTCTACCGTTGGAAATGCATGTAACAGCTCACGTGGCTTAAAAATGCTTCAACTCCCTGAATTTCACCGTCTCCCTGATTGATAGACGTCGCACACTAGCTCTTTGCGACCAATGGATCTTGTGGAATCGAATCGAATCGAATCAAACAGGCGGGCATTGGCTGCGCGGTCATTACCTCTTGTTGTTGGTGGTGTTGCCGTCTTTGAGCTGAGATAACAAACAACAACCTGCAACAGGTAGTAGCTAGGCAATAGATAGGGTCCGCTTACTATAACAACAATGGTACGTATAAGAGGCACTGTAGAGCCACGACGATAGTTGTGAAGAGTTTATTTGGTGCGGCGGAAAAATATCTTGTCGCGAAGGATCCATCGGCATTTTTTTTTGTGAAACCATGGACGCCCAAATGCCATCCATTAACTCACGAATTAATGGATTTTTTGTTACTCTATCGTCACGTCTGCAATGGTACCCCAACAATCTACGACCTCTCTCTGGATACTCAAATAAATTAATCGGCATTTGCATTGCTACTACTACTACTACTACTACAGCCTCTCCGACTGGATATCAAGAAGAAATTGTCCGCCTCTTCGGAGCGCGTCAAGAGTGTGGATTTGCATCCCAATGATCCTTGGGTTCTCGCTGCCCTGTACAGTGGAAATGTCATGATTTGGGACTATGAAAGTGGTGGGTGTGTCAAATCCTTCGAGGTGAGCGAGTTGCCCGTTCGGTGTGCCAAGTTTGTGGCACGCAAGCAATGGTTCCTCGCGGCTTCCGATGATATGCGATTCCGTGTCTTCAATTACAACACCATGGAAAAAGTCAAGGAATTTGAAGCTCATGCTGATTACATTCGCAGTCTGGAAGTGCATCCATCCTTGCCCTACGTCCTGTCGTCCAGTGATGACATGACCATCAAACTCTGGGATTGGGACCGTGGCTTTGACTGCACCCAAATGTTTGAGGGACACGCTCATTACGTTATGCAGGTCAAGTTCAATCCCAAGGATACGAACACCTTTGCCAGTGCGAGTTTGGATCGTACCATCAAGGTTTGGGGATTGGGATCCCATTCTCCCCATTACACTTTGGAAGGGCATGAACGGGGTGTCAACTGTGTCGACTATTATCCCTCCGGAGACAAACCCTACATTCTAAGTGGAGCTGATGATCGTAGTGTCAAAATTTGGGATTATCAGGTGAGTATATTTTTGGGGGTAATTTTTAATTTCAAGTATTGGAATTGCTTGGTTTGACGAACTTTCGTTTTTGTTGCCACGGCAGACCAAATCCATTGTGCACTCATTGGAAGGACACACCCACAATGTCTGTGCCGTCATGTTTCATCCCAAGCTTCCCATTATTGCCAGTGCTAGCGAGGATGGAACCATTCGTATCTGGCAAAGTACGACCTACCGTGCCGAAACCACCCTCAACTACGGAATGGAACGTGCTTGGGCTCTCGCAGCCAGTCCAGACTCCAACAAATTGGCCATTGGATTCGACGAAGGTTGTGTCTGCATTGAACTCGGTAGTGATGATCCAGTTGCCAGTATGGATACCACTGGTAAGGTTGTGTGGGCCATGAACAATGAAATCAAGACTGCCTCGGTTCGTGGTGTCGTTGGAAGTGGTGACGACGCTTTACCCGACGGCGAACGCCTTCCGGTTGTCCCTCGTGACTTGGGAGCATGTGACCTCTACCCCCAAATGTTGAAACACAATTGCAATGGTCGTTTTGTCGCTGTTTGCGGTGACGGTGAATTCATCATTTACACTGCCCAGGCACTTCGTAACAAGGCATTCGGTCAGGCATTGGATTTTGTCTGGAGTGGCAGCGGAACTGGCGACTATGCTATTCGTGAATCTGTCAACCGCATCAAGGTTTTCAAGAATTTTAATGAATCCAAGGTGATTGTCCCTGCCACTGCTTCTGCCGAAGGGTTGTTTGGCGGTCAAATGATTGGAGTCAAGGGTGGAGATGGCGCTGTTCTGTTCTACGACTGGGAGAGCGGGGAGTTTGTTCGCAAGATTGATGTTACTCCCAAAGCTGTCTACTGGAGTGATGCCGGCAACATGGTCTTGTTGGCTTGTGAAGAATCTGCCTATGTCTTGTCTCACAATGCCACAGTGACGGCTCAAGCCATTGCCATGGGGCAAGTGTCACCCGAGGACGGAATCGATGGAAGTTTCGATTTGCTTTATGAGATCAGTGACACCATTACCAGCGGAAAGTGGGTTGGTGATTGTTTCCTCTATGTCAACAATGTCGGACGTCTGAAGTACAGTGTTGGTGGGCAAATTGAAACTCTAGTCCACTTGGATACCAATTCTGGTGGAGCTACGCAGCACACTGTTCTGGGTTATTTGGCCAAGGAAGACCGAGTCTATTTGATTGACAAATCGCTCAACATTGTTTCCTACTGTGTCATGTTGGCCGTGTTGCAGTACCAGACTGCCGTGATGCGTGGGGATTTCGATGCTGCCAACGAACTACTTCCCAACATCCCCGAGTCGGAGTACACCAAGGTTGCCAGATTCTTGGAGTCCCAGGGATTTAAAGAGGAAGCCTTGGAGGTCACTACAGATCCCGACCACAAGTTTGATTTGTCGCTCGAGTTGGGCAAAACGGACCAGGCTCATGCAATCCTTTTGGAGACTCCTGAGGAAGACAAGGATTCGACTGACACGGAAACAAAATGGAAGCGTCTCAGTGATGCCGCTCTGAAGGATACCAACCTGGATCTTTGTGAAGCTGCTAGTATTGCTTCCAATGACTTTTCGGATCTGTTACTTCTCTACTCGGCAACCGGAAATGTGTCTGGTATGGCGAAGCTGGCCAAACTTGCTGCTGACAATGGAAGGACCAATGTTGCCTTTGTGGCCTATTTGTTGACCAGCAATGTTGAAGCCTGTGCTGATCTTCTCATTGTCACTCACCGCCTACCCGAAGCGGCCTTCTTTGCGCGAACCTACTTGCCATCTCGAATGGACGAAGTTGTGGCATTGTGGAAGACTGATCTTGCTTCGGTGAGTGAGACAGCAGCAAAGGCTCTGGCCAGTCCCTCGGAGAATGCCGATTTCTTTCCCGACTTGAGCATTGCTTTGCAAGTGGAACAGATGTTTTTGGCCCAAAGAGCGGGAACCAAGGCTACTGGCATTCCCGCAGCAGACTATATGACTGCCAAGGACGATTTGGATCTGAATTTGATTGAGCTGATTAAGCAACGTGATGCACCACAACCTACTCCTGAAGAGATTGCTGCAGCTGAGGCAGCCGCTGCCCAGGCACAAGCGGAAGCGCAGGCAGCCGCCGAGGGTGCAGCCGCGGAACAAGCCGCAGCCGCGGAACAGGCCAGAATGGAAGCGGAGGCTGCTGCAGCTGCTCAGGCGGAAGCAGAAGCCAAAGCGGCGGCAGAGGTTGCTGCAGCTCAAAAGATGGAAGATAGTGGAAACGATTTTGGTGATGATTGGTAGCTGGCATGTTAGGACGAAAGTCCTACCAACGGACCATATAACTCAATGTTAGAATGCGAATTGCATTAGAAACCTTGTGATTGAAATGTGTCAATTTATCAGATGCAGCAAAAAGTGAGTATACTAAATAATTTACTGGGATTGACAGAGACAAGCCTTCAGGCTGGAGTTCTGGTGCCGAGTGTGTCAATTCGAACGATTCAATTCTGTTGGGAGCAATACGTCTGTGAGATCATTGTTCGTGATTCCGTCATGCTCCTCCAATCCGAGATACGAGGATGGGACGGATTCTTCTACTAAGGGTATCGCCACCTCCAGGTTTTTTTTACCCAGAGCAAATCAATTTCCTCTTCTGATGTCTCCTCTTCTTCCTCCGAACTTGTAGCTCCTTCGTCAGTTGCGTAGATTTCGGTTTCAGTCATGTCAAGGCACTTCCCCCGGTACCATTCCTTGACTTTGTCTACCAGACGGTCAATGTCCTCTTGCCGGAATTCAAGACCCAGCATGTATGTGCTGGTTCCTTTGTAATCTCCTGGCTGATAGATTCGAAATATCTTGACCCCCAGGTCGTTTGCCATGCGAGTTTCAATCTCCTGACCCTTCCCCAAACACCGTTCGATCCGTGTGCGTGCATGACGCTTGACTTTTCTTCGTTTGATTTCACGAAATTCCACTACCTGCACCATGAATCCATTGGAGTCTTTGGCGTGTTGCAGCTGGTAGCGAAAAGAATAACGCCAACAGGATCCCCGCTTTGGTTTGCCTGTCTTCAGTGTAGGATCCTCCTTCAGGCAGGTGTCACAAGTCCCTCGACAAGGCCAATTCAAGCTCGTCCACTTTGGATCGCAGGTGTCTTTCTCAAAAGCGTTCGGGGAATAGACAACAAAGTTGTTGTCCTTTCTTGATTCTCCGCTGATGTAGGGGTGATGCTTCAGGAGGACAGCAAAGTTGGTTGCCGTGCCAGTACAGTTTTCACTCAAGGAGAAACGCGTGGATAAAACTATCTTGGGCGAATTGTGCTCAACAGCCTCATGATGGGTTTTTACTTCTTCCTTGTTGATAGTACTTTGATCGTCCCACAGCCCGGCTGCAATTAAGCAGTCTTGATCTTGATTGAGGCCTCCCAAGGCATATTTCAGTGCTTCTGGAGTTCTAGATGCAGCCGCCATGACACACTGTCTGTCTTGCCGTAAAGCATTAGATGCATAACGTAACACCATGCCATCTTGTTGAATGGCTGCCAGCATGACACCTCTCTCGTCTTTGAGACGCTCCGAAGCATGCTGAAGAATTGTGGAGAGAATTCTCTTTGCAGTTCGTGCTGATTGTTCTTTCTTGCATTCTTCAATGGCCTTCAACATCACAATCTCGTCGTCCTTGATGTTTTCTGAAAAGTAAGTGATGTTCAGGGGGTGCTGGGATATTGCCGCCAGAGCTACATCCTTGTCTTCTAGAAATTGATCCGGGACGTGTCTCATTGCTTGGGGGAATCTGGAAACTATTTCCAAGACAAACGTCTTCTCCGCCAAGAGCCACCAAGCTGTGAGGTGGAGCGCATAAGTGGCAGCTCCCTCATGGGCTGAAATCGTCTGGTTGATAACTTCTCGATCCCCACGCATAAAGTATGAAACGTATTCCAGCGATTGCCAGTGTGTTTTAACTGCCATTAGCACCGTCTCTTTGTCCTCTTTTAGCTCTTTAGAAGCGAACTTGAGTGCCTTTGGATGGCCAGAGCTGATTGCTGCATGGACAACTTGCTTGTTGCCTCGAAGGTCTGCGGAAGCATATTCGAGGTAATCTCCAGATATGGTCACTGCCGCTAATGTAACGCTGGGATCAGCTCTTAATGAGGGAGCAATAGCATTCACATAGGCATCCACATTCTCCTCAATGGCGAGAATTGCAGCCTCTTTGTCGCTGATTAGGGGCGGTGCATCCGAAGGAGCAACGGCGGAAATGAGAGAAGGCTTTAGCTTCTCCTTGGCAGACTTGCACTTGGAGCAGTTGATCCCCATATAAAGGTGACAAATTGAACTGAAGATAGTGTTGATAGAGCTGTTGATAGTGTTGTTGGGTGGGGGTACAGTGCACAGCCGTTTCAAAGGTTGTTCTGGCTGGAGGCAAAAGCAAAGGAAAGCGAACTCCTGTGAAATCTAAAAAGGAGGGTTTTTCGGCTTCTGCATCTCTGATGGCTTGCGCACTCGTAGTACTCCATGTCGGGACTGCCAATTTGGCGTTGGGTCACATGGTCAAGATTTCAAGCGGTCCTCAATCTCAGAACTCCCTCCAACATCTGCAGTACCGCGCCATTGACATGGGATGAAACGAGGCACAAAAGCTCTGAAAACAAGTGGGTCAGTTGCCACAATGAACCCATCGAACACACCCGTTCCTATTCAATCCTCAGATATCCACCACGGCAAAGACATCCTTCGCAGCACTGGTATGAGTGACGGAACAGCTCGTCGCGTAACGGCATCCCCTAGCACCAAAAGTACCCCCACAGCCATGGCTGCTAAAACTCCAAGTTCCGACGGGGCCAACCATGTCCCAGCTTCCGCCTCCAAGGCGGATCGACCTGTAACAACCAGTCAGATTCAGACTTATCTATCTGTGACCTTCAAGAATTTTCTGGGGTTCATGTCCGGCATGAAAATGCTGGTGTTGGTGATTCTTTGCCTACAGAATTCGATCTTTACCGTCCTCCGTCGATACAGCCAGGGGGTGCTGAGGGAGTCATACTCCAAGCATGAAGTTTTGTTGGTGGGGGAAATTATCAAAATGGCTTTCTCCGCCTGGATGATCTCGAAAAGTCTTCCAGAGGATTGTCCAGATCTCAAGACGAGGCTCCAATACCTCGTCGATACTTCCAAGAAAATGTTCATTTTGGCTCTTATTTATGGCGCCATGAACATTCTATCCTTTGTCTCCCTTCGCAATATTGGAGCGGGAATGTTCACCATTTTTGCACAGTGCAAGATTATGACGACGGCTACCTGTTCCGCCATTATTTTGAAACGATCCTATTCTTGGGCTCGTTGGCGCGCCTTGATATCACTCATGATGGGTGTATTGCTCTTTTCGGAACCTATTTGGGGAAATCCTGACAACATGGCGGCCAACGAAGGAGGAAATGCATTGGTTGGTACAGCCGCTGTTTTGATCGAAGTCACTCTCAGTGGTTTTGCCTCTATTTACTTTGAAAAAGTGATCAAAACCGATCCTCTTCAACTGGGTATCTGGGAACGAAATTTCCAACTGGCTCTGAGCAGTTGCCCTGTGTATCTGGCCTTTATGCTTTTTAATAGGGGTGGCGAAGCGGGTCTCTTTGGAGGCTGGTCCTTGGTCTCTTTTATGTTGTCATTGCTGGGTGCCGCAGGAGGACTTTTGGTAGCTTTATCCATCAAGTACGGAGATTCGATTCTCAAAACGTTGGCAACTACTGGTGCCATTATCCTGTCGTCACTCTTGGATCACTACCTTCTGGGAGGACCCTTGACTGCTGTCATGATGATTGCTGGAGTACAGGTGATTATTTCAATTTGCAACTATACCTTCGACGCAACCCCGGTAGAACCTTTGGTCCCCGAGCCTGTAAACAAAATTGACTTGAGCGCAAAGACCCAAGACGATGTCGAAGAGGCTCCCCTGATATCAAAATCTACTTCCGAATAAGGAGGGGTGTTTGGAGGACATTCGTTTTCAATATTTTCTTTTGACGGTTCTTGAAACCTCACGTACAGTACGAAATGATATGTCTGTCAGGGATTTCTTGCTCTCGATCATGTTTAAGGATATTATATTGATCTTTTTAATTAATTTGACGAACCTCGTTTAGAGCGACAGTCTCAAAGAACCGCTAGACATGGCAATTCATTTGCGGTGAGAACATCTTCTGTAATCAGCCCGACTGCTTCATCATCCAAACTCGTTCTTTTCGAAACAACACATGTTGCCGAAGTGTGGATGGAGCAAAGTGGAATCAATCGTAGCTTTCAGAAGTAGCGCTGACATTCGGGCAATCCGACCTCCCTCCTGCATTAGTCTTCAAGAAGCCATCACTTGTCCAATGCCAGGGACGATTTCTTTTCGAAGGCACCCAATCGGGGCCAAACGAAGACAGCTCAGGTATACGTTGACGGTACTGCAACTATTTTAAAATTAGCTAGCTAGGTGCTAGAAACATTATTTGGCCAGTACGATTCGGTTCCCGCAGTAGAATAGATGGTGGAATGCATTGAATGAAGTAGAAGGGAAAGAACAACGCTCGCAGGTAGCAGCCAGAGTCAAACTCGCAGAGAGCCCTGGTGGTCTATGCAAAATGAGACAGTAGTAGATAGATAATTGAGCTTGTAGGTGGGTAGGAAGGAAGAAAGAAGAAGAGGAAAATCGTGTTGTAACTTAAAGGTCGCCCACGGAACGAGATCGCTTCATAGCACCTTGTGTTGCGGCCTCGACATCGTCTGGGCGGACTCTCTTGGATCGGACGGAACCGGTCGAAGTTCTCGCACAAGACGCCACTGAAGTAGCATCGTCGTCTTTATTGCAATTCTTCTTGTCGGCAAACTTGGCATTGACGACTTCCGAGAGAGAATCGGAGCGGTCTCGCTTGACGATAATTTTGGGTGTTTCTTCTTTCTTGTTGTTGGTTTCGGCTATGTCATCCACCGATCGCTTTCGCATATTTGCAACCGTTGTATTTTTGTGCTTGATGGTTTTGTTGTTGTGGGCCTTGTTTTTTCGGCCAGAAGGAGGAACAGAAGTACATGTAGAAGCAGTGGTGTTGGAAGTGGCAAAGAGAGTTGCAGGTTTTTGCTGCGGTCGTTTCTGCTGTGTGACCACTCGTTCGATCGCTGGAACGATCCTGACAGGGACTACATCATCAGCACTACCAGCCGCAGTGGCTGTTGTTGCGGGTGGCGTAGGTACATCCACCCGGCAAAGGTCGGCGACTGACAGCTTGGATGTGAGGTCGTCAATGGCTGCAATCATGGAGACTTCTCGCCCCTCGATCTCTCGTTGAACAGCCTTGGAGACAGTCAAAGCCATGGCAGCGTCGTCCATGCCAAGCCCATGGGAGGACATGACATCAAACACCTATAAAAGAACAACATCAACACGGTGAGAATTCGTTCCGACACGTACACGCTGGTACTACTTCTACGACGCATCACCGGATCGTCACGCTGCTCATGGTCCACCGACTAACTGCAGCCTTCCACTTCTCCGCCATGACTAGACTCGACTACTACAACAGCGGCAGGCAGCACCATCAAATGACTCGACTCACCTCATCATCGGAAGGTGGGCTGTTGCTCTTCTTGTCGTATCGAGAAATTTGTCGTAGAAGAGCCGTCTGAGCTCTTCCACGGCTGTACCCACGCTCCTCCATCAACAAGGCGACACCGCGAGAGACGCTGGCAACAAACTTGGCCTTGGCATCGGTGATGCTCTGGGACTGGGCAGTTGCTACTTCTAGTGCCATCAGCGGTGATGTTGAAGTTGGTCTCTGGCGACGGCCTCGTCCAGCAACAACACCCGCGGTGACTTCCAATTTGGTCATTCTAATCTACTTTTGCAACAGGGAATGTATGTGACTACTAGTATACTTGATGGATGGCTTTGCTTGGGTAATAGTACAGTATGCTCAAGGGTGTTTTCTCGTGAACGGAGACAGAAGCAACAGATGGAATTGTGAATTGATGCCTGTTACTTTTGTGTTGTGACTGAACAGGTTTCGATCAATCGATTGCTGCTGCTTGGTTGCTCGCTTTGACTGGCCAGAAGCAGGTGTGCCCGTCGAAGTCGTTTTTGGTTCTGCCGCTCTTCTCCCTCGTTCTTTAGAAATAATTTCAATTTCAAAATGACAATACGATCCGGCAGGCGTTCCGTGGAAGATGCCCTCACATTTTGCCACAAAAACAAAACTTTTGATGTAAAATGACTTCAACACGGGATGTGTCTACAAGTAAGTAGATATTACTCTATGCTTCTACAGATCCAAGATCATTGAGACACACAACAGACACTGTGTACTCAGATAACAGTGCCGGTACAGGTACCAGTACAGGTACGGTGGGTTCATTAAACTGTTACCGGCAGCAAGGGCAACAGGGTGGATGCAAATGACATCCTAGATGCTCGCCCTCCGTAGCAGTTCTTGCTTTGCAGTTCCTCCTAAACTTCCAATACCTTGCTTTCGTGCTTTATTTCCTTCTTCGACACTTCCTCGACTGATGGTGACGCATCAGTTCGATTCTGATTCCAGTCTCGAACACTCCACTCATTGGCCTCCTCCGCCGATGCTTTGGTCGATCCCAGAAATGACGACCTGGTCGTGACACTCTTGCTGTATTCGACGTTGACAAAGTAAGTCGTCATTTCGCCCTTGCCTTTGGCGAAAACCTTGTCCGGTCGCAGTTCGAGCCAGCTTTGATAGCCGTGTCGGATCAGCTCGTCGGCACAACTTTGCGAGATGTGAATCTTGCCAGGAACGCCGTTGCTTTCCATTCTCGACGCAACATTGATGTTGTCTCCGAACAACTGAAAGCGTCCTTTGTCACCTCGGAGTATACCTCCGGTGATGGGGCCCGAGGACATTCCAGCTCGAAGGGCCAAAATGGAAGTGTCAGGACCCAACGGATCTGTCAGTTTCGTGGCAATGAGCTGAGTCATTTTCACTTGGCATGCCGCTGCAAATCTGCACATTCGCACGGCATGATCGTCTTGAGCTTTGGGTACACCTGTTCCCGAATAGAATGCAGTCATGATTGGTGAGTGAAACGCAGCTGAGAACAACGCCGTACTCTGGCAGCAATCTTACCTGTTACACAAACATAGCAGTCTCCGACCTTCGCAGATTCAAAAGTAGTAGAGGAGGAAGTGAAGGGGCCTGGTTAGATTTTTGCTTCCAGATGAGGTCACGAAGGGCAAGAGACGAACGTCGCACCGTTTCAATCTTGTAGACGTCTAACTTCGTTGCAATCTTATCAAAGGCGAAATACAACGTCTCAAGCAGGAGGAATACGTCTTCGGTTGACCGGCTGCTGGACCAGCTTGTAAAGCCAGCCAGATCCATGAAAAGTATCGTTGAGTTCTCGTACCGTTCAGCCATCACTCCGGTTTTCGTCGGCTTGTTACGTTCGACGTCCTCACTCGGAGCAGTTGAGGCTCTCCATCTGATGCCTACACCCTGATGCTCATCCTGAAAGAGCTGCTCTGTGAACTCCTTGGGATACAGAGAGGAGACCAGTGCCCCTCTCTCGACTGCTTTCTTCATCACGATCCGCTGACGACGTGCCACAAGGCAATCAAAAGCGGCCAACACTGCAAGAGTGAAGAGGAAAATGCCTGCCACCGCAGCTGCGTAGACAGCTGGTCCCTTCGTAACGTAGACATCCTCCATAATTTGAGAAGGGTACAGAGAGATGGAATAGCTGCAAAAGGCTTTGTTCAGATTTACCGCGTCATATGCATGGCTCTCTGGGCCGTTGTTCGCCTCAAGTGCCTCAGCGATGCTCTGATAGACAGCCATGTCATCATAGCTGCTGGAGTGATGATCTCCACCACCCAGAAAGGTTGCCTTGGGGCCATCAACCCTATAGGAGAACGTCTGCCCTTGGCTGTTCTGAATAACTGCAATGATTCCATTGAGCCCTTCGGGTAGAACATTTGAAAGGTCGAGTCGCCAATACAAGGGCATCAAGAGAAATCCAGCAACAGTGCGGTTGGGAGAAAAGGCATCAAAGACTGGGTACAGCAAGGCCGTCGTGGGGCCACCTTTGTAGAAGTCTTCGTTGTGGCGAAACTGTCCCAGCTGGAGGAATTCATTGTAGACGGATACACGCTTTCTATTACCTTTCTCAGTTTCATTTGCAGGCCCAGGGATGTCCTCAGCGGCACTTAGAACCGCTTGCTGACTCTCCATGGAAACGTTCAATGCACTACCAACGCCGAAGCTAGTGAACAGGTCCACATTCAGCAGGTGATTATGGTCCATGACGGGGGACATCTGTGCCGTGGGAAGAAGACGTTTGAGAAGAGGCCAGGAAGCGACCAAACACATCGTGCAAAGCCAAGAATCTAGCTAGATGCCAGGCCAACTCACCTGCCAAGAAACAGCATACGGTCCATTTCCAACGGGTAAGGGCCTTGGCCCCTCCTTTGTCAAACCGTGGATTTCAGTGAAGAATCTGTTTGGGTCTTTAGGACCGCCGCCTTGATCCGTCGATGATTCCTCGTCCTCTTTAGTCTCTCCTTCGGCAGCATGCTCATCGTCTTCTTGAAAGGTTTCAATACCAAATTGTTCATCTTGCAGCCTCTTCAGCTCCATTTCAGCCGCATAGCTTCGCTCTCTCCAGCCCTTAGTGTCGTTTGCGTAGGCTTCCCAACCCTTTCGATCTTCTTCCGCTACCAACGTGAGCCATTGGATAACCATTCCGTCCGCTTGGATTCTTGTCTGCATACTGATGGTTTCCCAGTTCTCGATAGTGACGTTCGGGAAGGAACTTCCAGTGGTCAAAGCATAGTTAGTGATGGTCGAAGAAAGCCCGCTAAGAGCATCAATCTTGTGGTCAACGGAATCCAAGAAAGCCTCTACCAGGTATATGTAGATCAGGTCCATCACAATGCTTTGTAAGGCAACGATTTGCATCAAAACTTGTAAGGGCCACAAACTAGTAGTCAAGATAGAACAACTTACCGGCCAATTTGTTGGCATTCGTCTCAAATGCCACCTCAAATGTGTTCTCTTCTTCCTCTCTGGTGTGAAAGAACACCCATAACACGACCACCACTGCCGTGACGACCACCACGAGGTAGACCGCAACTCGAAGAAAATTCACCGCTTTCTGCTCTTTTCGCTTCATTAGGTTCCTTCTTTCTTCAGCTTCCATAGCCTTTCGGCCCCGAGTAGCATTCCCCATGCCCTCAACAGAGGAGCCGTCTTCCATGTCCTCGAACACTAGAGACAACTCATCGTCTGATGTTACGCAGTCCTTGCCTGCCATGTTGGATATCAGCTTTCGAAAATTTGTGATCCTTAGTTTCTATGCATGTGGTATGTCATTGGCCTACCGGTACCTGGTACCGTTACATGCAGCAACACCAACTTTTGGTTGCCAGTGCTACTCCGCCGATAAAGTCGAGAATTTTGAAAAAGGTGATAACTCCTCAGAATGAGCAGTCAGGATAGTCAGGATTCTTGAATCTGTCTGATGGTTTGGGTTAGGGTGAAAGGAAAATTCTCAACTTGATCTTCAGATTTGTGTAGAAGCTGGTAGGTTTGAGAATTCTCAACTTAATTGGCGGAGTAGAGTGCTAGTCCCACCCTTTGACGAGGCATGCCACCGGCAATTTGGCACGACTACCAAAAGATATCGAGTGGCGCGGTATTACGCGGAAGAGCACAAAGAGGAAAGGTGCGGCACGGATATATAACAGAGCTAGCTAGTAGTCTACATGTAGCTAGCTACCGGTACGGTAGAACTACCGTAGCGGTACAACCGTATCAGAAGCGAAGCTACCGGTACCGGTACCCCTATACCTGTACCGGTATGGTACAGGACTACTTTTTAAGAACTCGGTGCGATCTTTCCCGAAAAATTGGGGGTCAAGATGCTCAACTCCCAACGTCGTCTCTCGGAGAACACAATGGATTCGATTCTGATCATGAAAGTGCTCTACTACGCACGATTGTACCCCTCCTCGCTTTAGCACCAACCCAGTTGAGTTGTGCTTGTTTCCCGGCGCCCTTGATTCCAGGAAGGGTTTTCCAAGGAAAGCTCTTCTGCGAAGCAACAGTCCGCTTCATCAGGGCTTCAGGGTCGGGCGCCATGATCATTCTCCAGAGCTACCGATAGCTAGCTAATAGGTCCCGTGTCAGTAAGCCTTACAGGTATGCTTCCTTCCTTGCAAACGTTGAGAAAAAGCAGAACTGTGGCTGCGGCAACATCAAGATCGGCGCACAGTGCCAGACACAACAATATCCACAATAATGATGTCCCTCAATTGAATCTTGCAACCCAATGACGGCGTTGTGCGCGTTGCTCCGATATCTACCGGTACGGTACAAGAGTTGTACTGGGCAACAAAATTGCTCGGGGTTCGGCTGCAGACAAGTAGAACCTGAGCGGATGGGCTGAGACTTGCTCTTGTTGGGCTGGCAGGCCAGATCTGATAACTATAGCTAGTAATAGCTAGTCCAGTGCAGGGGCAAACCCGCCGGAGTTGTCATAGAAGAGCGAGTTTTGGCGACATGGTGTTGGCTGTACCAGTAGATCCAGCACACATACGGGCGGTTGGTGGAAGCTGGCATTGCATTGCTGAATTATTGAATCGAATCCCAACAGGTTTTGGGTGTTCGCGGTGGGAATTTTGTGTCGCTGGAGGTATGGTACCTTGCATTGGTGGGGCATTCCATTTGATGCGCACGTTGGATTTCACCAGAAGTACCTGGTACCAGAGGTACTGTACATGTCATACAATAGCAAAAAGTGACGGAACTATGTAAGTTACTGCGACTTGCACTGCGTACCGGTACCGGTATGGTTGGGTTTGATTGCAACGAGACAGAACGGACGCACCCCTGGTTGGATACACTATCGTACTGGACCCACCGTTGCAGTGAGTGAGCCCAATCGAATCCGTAGTATCCACGCTTTCAGCCATTCGATTTAATTGCGCAGTGCTTCATGTTGCTGTCCGTCCGTACCATTTCCGTCATGCTTGACTGATTGATTGAGTCGAGACAAAGTGCATCAATGGTCTTGATTGTCGTGGATGCAGTTAGTTGCTTTCCCGGGGGCAAACCATAGCATAGTTGGCTCTTGCCGAGTCGAGTGGCGTCATGACGCATCTTGTTGTTGCTGCTGTTGTTGTCGTTGTTGTACCATGTACTGAATCTTTTCTAGTTTGTGGGGCAACCCTGCCGGATGAAAGATGAATTTCGCAGACTCGTTCGTATCAGCGTTGTTGTTGTCGTCGTGATCCATAATTCTGGTATTGAGTTGCGAGCGTGGTAAGACACAGACATGGGGAAAGTGTTTCCATTGGTAGTTGTTGTTGTTGTTATTGTTATTGTGGGAAGTGTAGGTATGAAAGTTTGGTTGATGCAGTTCGAGTCCTTCTCCTTGTTGTGCGAGTACTTTTTGGAGTGCCGATTGTTCGTAGTGTCGTTTTTGGTGAAATTTGGGTTCCTCCCAAACAGCTTGCAAGAGCTGCGTAGACCAAGCACACACGCGAAAGATCATGACACCACAATTGATGAGACACGAGGGAGTTTGATCTTCGGCAATTATGAGATCAGTGTTGTTGGCTTGTTGGACAATGTCTTGGAGTGTCTGCTGGGGTTCAATGACACAGGCATCGGCGTCCATCCAGACGAGATATTCAATGTTGTGTTGTTGCAAGTACAAGTCATTATTCTGTAGGGCGCCTCTCAGTAGTTTGATTTTGTGGTAGGAACCAAAATCACGAGGCGCAATTTCTTGGAGCATTTCGTCTTTTGGAAGGACCGTGGCTTGAAAGTGGTAGTTGTGTCGTTCACAATAGAGTCGATTCTGTTGCGCACAGTAGTCTCCCAGGGGCTTGTAGTAGTCATCATTGGTGTAACTGGTAATCACTAGAAAATTGCCGCGCGCTGTCTGACTACGATGTGCTTGTCGTTCGCGATGGACTTGCCATCGTTTGACTTGTACGTTGTGCGATCGAACCTGAAAGGACACCAAGCGACGTTCTTCTTGGCTCAAGTCAGAGCCTTTTCCTTTACTCAACACTTCCACCAAGTCCTTGTAGTTCAATCTCACAGTGACATCGTCATTGGTGCCACTACACGTATCAGAACAATCAGAGAGGAATTCCTTCTTGGCTGCTTCAATGGCACCTTCAAAGGTTGCGGCATTCCACTCATCTCCATCATCGCCCATCTTGACAAGAACTTATCGTCATCGACGAAGGTGAAGGGGATGATTTGGGATGGACTGCTGTCTTGAAAGTTGAGTTCCAAAAGAACTCCGCGCCATTTTTGCCAAAACAAAAAGCAACGGTGACTGTGACCCTTAACTAAAGGTATTGATTCGTTAATGCTTTTACTAGTAATCACTTTTGCCGCTTCCCGCCACAAGCAATGACATGCTCTTGTCGAAGGCTCCAGACACCAGACTACTACAACCAGAATCGAATCACCACAGTTTGGGCTGCAGAAAAAGGAGAGGAGAGGATAAGACAAAGAAGCTAGATTGAGAGTGGCAATTGATTGTTCCATTCTTCCATCTATTTTGTTCCTACGGTACCTATGTGGCTTGGAAGGATCTCCCCGAGAGCGCTACAAAAGATGCCTCTTCAACAGTTTTGGCTCAAGGCGTTGACCTTGGTTGTCATTGTTCAACAGTCTTCCTACTGGGGCTACCGCTTTGGCAGAGACCAGTGTCTCTTTAAAGACTGCGTTCCTTCCAATGAAGCTGTGGATAATGCCATGCGGGCGGCTTCTATGCCATTCGCTGCTCGTCGACGCGATTTAGATGTCCAAAAGTATCCCACCGCCAAACCGCGGAGAGGAATTGTCTTGACGTCCCAATGCTCTGGATCGGAATGGGTAGTCTCCAGTTTGAATAACGTTCCTGGAGTAACCTGGCATTTGGAGCGCATGATTCGATACTCACGCACGTACATGAAAGATGCCGAGTGGGAAACGGTGCCGTGGAAGACTTATCGCCAGGAACTGGAACAAGCATTTACATTTACTTCGGGTGGACCCAAAGACTTGCCAGAAATTACTCCCAAAAAGGACAACACAAAAGGACTGCGCACCAAAATGGTGGGATTCAAACTCATGTACGATCAAATTCCGCAACATTTGAGATTTCAGTTTGCCGAATGGCTCGAGGAGAATCAAGTCTTTGTGGTCCATTTGCGCCGAAAATGTGCCGCCTTGCAATGGAGCTCGCAAATGGAAAAATACATGCGGGGGTATCGATTCAAAATCAAAAAGGACCACATCTACAGCCAGAAAGAAAAAGATGCGCTGCCACCCAGGAACTGGAATATTACACTCGTGGACAGAAAGGGATTCAACAATCGATGGCTCGAGAGCATCCATCTCTTGGAAGAAAATCAGAATGAGTTTGCCAATTATCTCCATGTCTTTGCCGCCAAGGTGCCTGTCTTTGAATTCAATTATGAGACTGTGGACGGTCCCTACCAAGCCAACTGGTTCAATGCACTCTATGCCTTTTTGGGCTTGGACTTTACCCATCCCAGTGGTGGATCCAAAACGGTCAAGACGGGATCCAGAACCTGTGAAGACCGCATGGTTAAATTGGGAGGGCCCTCCTTGAAATCCTTGGAGTCCGTAGCACCTCAGTCTAGGGTTGAATGCTTGAGAATGAAAACTTTGGCCATGGCGGGCAACACGACAACCAGTGCAGCAGCGATGCAGCAGATGGGCCTTGGGGATTTGTTGTTGCCACCCAGTGATGGTCGGTGCCGTCTTGGTCCCAACTGCCGACAAATTGAATATGGAAAGTTCCAAGATGATCTATTGAAGCGTCCGGCAATGTACCAGGGATGAGCAAAGATTGATTCATTGGAACTAAGTACATTGTGAGAGATGCGATTATCAGTACCGGTACTACTATATAGAACCGGTGCATAGACTACGGAATGGACGAAGTTTTGTTATGGATGTGTTAAAACTGACAAGTAGGAAGTGATCAGTTTCATTGCCATTGTAGATCAGGTAGAACCAGCTTCGGGCCAAGGATACTTTTGGCGCAAAACAAGTTCAGCTAGCTCGTGGCAGCCTTGGCCCCTCGCGGTGTCTGGTCTTCTGACACTCACGAAGCCTGACGCAGAGGTGGTAATTGGCAACTCCCAAGGATGCTTCTTTTTGCCGTAACAGGATCTTTTCCATCTCCGAGCAACAGTTGAAATGGAATGGTAGAGCTATAACGCCGGGAGCTATAGAAAAAACCCACTGAATGCCTGTCTACTAGGGGTTATCTCAAACTAAGAGACTGCTGATAGCTAGGGATTGCTTTCGTTCCTATGCAAGGTTCTTTTTGTGCACATGGCGCCTGTTTACCTACCTCATTGCAGGAGCGGTCAGCCCGGATACTCCGGTCTTCTTTGCTGTACCTTGGGTCGATGTGTACGGTCCCCAGGATGAGACAACGTCGACATCCTCACTCTTGCTGGCACCACCAGGAGTGCTCCACTGTACCGGTTGCGAGCGATCCAGGAATTCTTTGGCAGCAAGCTCTCGTCTCTTTTCTCTCTCACGAATCATTTTGTTTCGCACAATCTTGCGCCAGAAGGAGCCGTCCTCGTTAGGTTGGACAACAACAACAGAATTATCAGCACTGACCAACAGAAGCGCTTGTTCACGTGACTGGCTGGTGTCAGTACAGTCAGCACCCTCCATGCCGAGATCCTCACCAACAAAGCAGTTTTGTTCAATGCCCGAGTCCACGACAGCGATGCGCTTTCCAACCAATTCATCAGCTCCACACACCAATCCCAATGGAGCCAATGTGGATCGATCATACTCAATCATCATTCCATTCAATAGACCCATCACACGACCATCGGCCATGTACCACCAAGCTTTGCTGTCCACTGTGATGGGAGTGTCGATGCGGATTTCCCCATATTCATCATATCCAATAAGGTTCTCATCCGGTGGATGAAGGCTGTCGCCAGCACAGGGTGCATATACTTTGAAGAACTGATCACCTTGGCGAGTAATATCTTCGTGAGCGTAAACTCCCACCTCGTGGTTGCAATCCTTGTAGTTGATCGTGGCATCCACACGCAAAGCGCCATTGTTGGCATGATCAATAGTGCAAATCTCAAAACCTTGATTGTTGCCTCGAATCAGCCGTGATTGCTGTCTCCCGTCACGAGAAGTTCCTGCCCTCATGACAGATGTTTGCGCAAAGACACAAGAACCACGGTTGGGGTAAGGTCCTTCACTGGGATCTACCGTAGGAAAGGTGATGGAGTCTTGATAGTCCTGTCCCAAGTGGAAATGTCCCGAGAACCATGCCTTGATGCAACGGTTTTCTCTGACAAGTTCAATAAACTTGCGACATTGGTTTTCGTTGGAATGATTGAGCCAGCAGCAGCCATTCACCACATGATTTTCCTGCAGCACACGAAGTCCACTCCCGTTGGGTGGGGCATGAGTAAAGACAAAGATCTTCCACCCCTCAGATGCAGGATGTGTTGTAACGACTTCTTCAAACCAGTTGAGTTGATCCTCGTCAATGGTTACCTCGTGAGACGTGTACTTGGCATCACGAAAAACAGTGGATGTTAAACCCACCAAAGCTGTTTTTTCACCAATGTACCTCAAGAATTGTGGGGCTGGCTTGTTGTGGGCCCGCAGAAACAGTTCAAGGTTTTCCTCGTCGGTTTTGAATTCGTCGATTCCTTCCAAATCATGGTTTCCACCCACCACTTCATATTCCACGCCAAGAGAACGCAAATACTCTGCCGCCATCATGTGGCATTCTGTGGTACCCGCGAAGAGTTCCGAAGTCTCCTTGGGACGGACCGATTTGGATTCTCCAAGATCACCCAGAGACACCAGAGCAAGATTGTTGCAATTTCGCGCTCTTGTCTCGTCAAAAATTCTCAACCAATGCTCACGTCCGATTTCGTAGTCGTCAAATTTTCTTGGGTCAATGTGCAGATCTCCGAGCACACCCACCACAAATTCATCGTCGCCTCCACCTGAAGAAATCTGCTGGGGTGCTGCAACTGATGCTCCAGTATTTTGTCCAGTAAACGACAAGTAGTTGGAGGTAGCACCGATATGGAGCAATGTCGATGGTTCCACGCGAGGATGATGGCGAGGAATAAAGGCAACGCATGATCCCATCATCATGGCCGAGAGCAGCCAAGCCATGGGTAGCATGCTGCCACCACTCAAACTCTTCACGTCGTTGGTCATCTTTTTGCCCTTTGCGACAACAAAAATGAGATGTTACTGTTTGTTACTGTTTGTTCTGTCTGAAGATACGGTTGTCTCCCGCTATGGCCTGGTCCTTGTTGTATGCTGGTGGTGTCAACATTTATGGTACGTATGACATTATTCTTTCTCACCTGACCAAAGCATGATCGAAAAAATTGGCTCGTACGTACGAGCGGGAACGCACCCTTGAAATGATGGAGATTCGATTCCCACGCACAAGAGGCTTCATCATTCCCGTGCGAATGATGAGCGTTCATTGTCCACAAGATGCCGCAAGCAGATAGGATGCATGTTGTGGCGATACACGTAAGGGCTTGGGATCATGGCGCAAGGACGAGTGATGTTTCGTGTGCGAAGACATGGTTTTTAATTGCCAGGATCTACGAATGCTTGATCATGAACAAGAGTACAGTACCAATCCTTCAGAACGAAATACATGTAGGTACGCTTGAACATCACAAAACTTTCCTGGGTCTGGGGCTTGTTGTTTGGGTAAGGGCGGCAGCCTTAGCGATTCCAATGGATTCCGGAGCCACAGAATCGCGGTTTCATGCTTGGGAGTGGAATAGAATAAAGACACTATAACGGTACGGTACTTGGTTCGGAGTATGGCATTGTAGAAGAAACGAGAGAGAAGGGAGTGACAGTTCTGCTTTGACTCCTTTTGGTACACCTCATCTTTGCTTTCGAGTTGGTCTCAGCCAGTTGTACGGTATAGTAGATTTGAACGGAGGATGGCAACAGCCGTAACGGTACGGAACGATGCGATTGGACACACTATGAATGGAAGGCAAAGCAGAACAGATCTTCGTACTACCGACACTGTGCCATAAATATGGCAATAGAGCAACCAAATCCTTTAAGATGAACTTCGTTGTGATGAATAGCCAACAATAGCAAAGAAAACTTGGCAACATGACAATATCTTAAAACTGGACACAAATAGCTAGAGATAACCATGAAGGGAGGCTATGAGTAGTGATTCGGCTGCCGCTCGGTCAATCACATTCAATGCTCTTGGCCCGTCCCATGATACTAGCATGATACTAGCGTGCCATGCAACAATGTGCTGTAAAAAGACCCGAGTACTCATACCCCGGTAGATTGCGCAAACGGTACTGATTGTGCCCTTTTTTAAAATACGGGCACAACTTCCAACATGTACTCATGTATGTACTTCCAAAAATCTCCCATCCACACTTGCTTGTTGTTCGGGATCAAGCCAAAAGAGTTATCGTTGCTCCGGGCCCGAGCCGAAAGGTTGTTCCGTCCCTTGATGTTGCCGTTGCTTGTGTCATCCATGGTAACAAGCAACCCGATTTCGACCGCGCGTGATTGCCTCCTTCCTCTTTTGATTCCCTGTTCCGCAATTTCTAATTGCTGCTGTCTACTGCACCGAGAACTGTTTTCATTCTCGCTGCCTCTATCATCTTCAACTATACATCATGCTATAATGTAGCAACATTTCTTTTCTCGTCGTGCGGATTGTTGCTACCGGTTCCGGTGCAGGGAGTGTCAGCAGCAATCAGCTTTGTCTGGTCGCATTTGCAATGTTGATTGTGGCAATGGCAGTCTTGGCTCCATCTTCGAAATAGGACAAGTGACATTAGAACTTGAAAGAAGCCTAGAAAGTACACCTGGTGTATTTGAAAAGCCTTGTGGTGTTGGTGGTGATTCTTTTTCGGGTGGTGGTCGTTGTCGTTAGTAGTATAATGCGGTCCATTCTTGGGAGAGAGAATCCCTTCACTGGCATCTTCTTCCTCTTCACTGGCATAGAGCTCTGGCAGACTGGTTCCATCAATCTCTCCGGTTCCAAGGTACAGTAGTAGATCATCGTCGTCTTGTTCTGGATCTGCTTGCTCTTCGTCGTGATTGTTTGAATGCTGCGGTGGATCAATGTCAATTTCTAGTTGTTCAATCAATCAAACGTAGAAGAAGTAAGTTGAAAAAGGATCAGATTTGATGAGCACATCCACAACAACAACGCCCATCAGGCACGCAGTTCCAAGACTCGACTCTACTACTAGCTAGACTCACCGTGGACGGGTCGATCGTCTACTTCACCGACGCTGTCATTGTGAAACTCCGGAAAGGGTCGCTTGCGGTGGCTCCACACCGGAGTGTACATGGGAGGCTTGGGGAAACAACAGTCGCAGAGATCCTCTACGGACATGCGTCTCCTCGGTGTCAAGTCCAATTCTTCCAGTCTCCGAGGAGGCGGAGGAGGCGCCATGGTTCGGGTTGTTCAAACGGATGCCTTTTTTTGGCGGAACGGAAGGTGCAACACGATATGTTGTGATGTGATAGCTAGCTAGATGGAAGACTCCGCTATGATTGATTGATTGCTGGGTGTTGCTCTTTCGCCGTGTGCTGTTGGTGTTGGGTGCGCCGTGTCCATGAAGAAGATACTAGTACTAGCTAGTAGTCAAGAACAGAAAGCGTCGAGTGAGACGGGTCTTCGCCAGATCCTCGTGATGAGCACGAAAGTGTGGTGATGCTTCCCTTTTGGCTGGTGCAGCTGGACAAAAAAGCATTCTAGCTTGATGTTAGCCGGTGAAGCTGCTGCTGGTGTGGGAGTGACGTCACGATCTGTTGTTCCTTCAAAATATCTTTTAGAAAATCAAGCTGTTCCAATGCCACTGCAACCCTGCAACTTTTGTCGTCGCCACCTGCAACCACATAATCGAAGAACCCAACACCTGCAAAAGATATTTATTGCTTGGCATTTATTTGTAAACAGCAACATGAGGACGGTAGAAGCTTTGGTTGCCGCTTTTCTTCTTTTGGGAGTCGAAACACAGGCATTTGTGGCTCCATCGGCACAAATTAGCCCGAAACAGTCGGCCAGCAGTCGTCTTCCCACGGAACGCTACTTTTTCAACTTTGGCAACAATAAGCAAGAGGAAAAAGAAGAAGAAAAAGTAGAAGCTCCGGCACCAGCAGCTGCGCCAGCTGGAGACTACTACGAAGATGACATTGCCGAAAAGCTATTTGGCTTTTTCTTTGGCAAAAAAGAACAGGAACCGTTGGGATTGAAACGCTTTGGAGCGGATCGATTCCCCGAACAATATCCCGCCACCACAACGGAATTTGCCGAACCCGTGGATAGCGATGACAAGGAAATGGCATTGCTACGACCACTCTTGAAGAATACTAACTTGGAGACGCGGGCCTTGAAGCTCGTCTACAATGCCAATCGCAATGGATGGAACCCGGCCGCATTTCATCGGGCCGTCGACAAAAAGGGACCCTCGCTGGTCGTGTGTACCACCAGCGGTGGACTCGTGTGTGGAGGATACAATCCCAAAGGATGGGTCTCGTACGGGGAAGCCCGTGGTTCCATTGCCGCATTTCTATACGTCTTTCAACCCGATGGCAAACCAATTAAACTTCGCAAAGTAGGTGGGGCATCGTTGGCGCAAATTGATGAACCCGAGTGTGGCCCAAAGTTTGGAGCCGATTCCTTGATTATCCCACTGGCCAAAGAAAATCCCAAATTGGCACGCAGCAAGTTGGGATCCTACTATGAACGATACGGTGATGGCAACAATTCATTGTTCCGAGAATCGGGGGCGGTCATGCTCAAAGAATTCAAAGTGTACCAAGGTGTCTATGGAAAAGATGAGTTCATCCCGTTTACCGATGCAGAGCCATTTGCGTTGTATTAGATATATAAGCTGCAGCCAACAATTTTGCTGGAAGGAACCTACAAAGCTATCGTTCCCAATTCCTGATGCTATGAATGAAAGCTATTTATTCGTGATTGGAACATGGCATATCTGTGAAAAATAGTAATACCAGTACAGCTCCAGTGGCACCTTTGGAGTAAATACTAGTCTCCATTGCATTCTGGGTGAAACCTACAGCCTCCAATCTATCATGCAATGCCTGATTCCAAGCCTGTGGCGCCCGACTGAGCCCAAAGGAAACCAGAGGAATCGAATCATCCTCGTTCTGGAAGCACACAGATAAGATTGAATTTCTAAAGGCTACTACACCGTAATGGCCTGCTGGGGATGAGAAGAAGTACGGAGCTTCGTGTGGTCCGCCGACTCTAGCTAGCTACCTTGCTTGTGAGGCATCCATCTGTACACCATAGCGGTACCGGTACCGGTAGCTAGCCAAAGTCGGTGCCTGTTGCCAGATCCTATGATAGCGTTTAGTCTTGGCCCCACTGTAAAACGGCTACAAAATTGCTGTTTTACCTTTGAAGCTCATTAACTCCTTTTCAGCTTGACTTCCCCTATTAAGACTTGTACATCTATTTGAAGAGCTACTTCTCCTCTTTCTGGAGACGTTCTGGTGACTAGAATCAGCCTAATATGAAACAAGTTACAGGTCTTTACATAAAAGTACTAGAGGTGCGACGAAATAGCCATTCGAGCTACAGTAATTGTGTACCGGTAACAAGGGGAAAGGGCACTGGTTCGATACTTGAATAATACTCAATCGGCAATTTTATTGCTGCTACAAAATCGACAGTTAAGTGCACGTTCTACAAAATCGCTACGTTCATTTAAGTACTAGAGTTCGCCGTCTATTTTATAGTACCGGCGAAATAAAACAGCAATAAAATTGCTGGTGCGTGCGGCCCAGACTAAACGTTGTCATCGGTCAAATTTCAGGAAAACGGTACAACTAACCCTAACTTCAGCATCGATCTTTGGGATGATCTCGCGTGTCCGGCTGGATTTCCGAAGAGCACGGACAAGGCCACATGGCAAAAACAAGGGGGGTTTTAGAGTAGGGAAATTATCTACGGAAGCAATGAACGCCATCGGTAATCAAAAACGATAGTTGGCTTTCTACTATTGGACAGTGCAGAAGCTAGGTCTTCATAGAATCGAATCAGAATATCAGACTGCCATACAACAAACTTGTTCAGTATGACGAGCATGATGATGCTTTCCAATGAGGAGCTTCCGTCCTTGTTTTCGGATTTGACTCCCATTAAGCAAGATGATGGTCCCAATCCAGTGTGTGCCATTGACTATTCTCCTCAGTTCATTCAAGCCTACGACTATATGAGGGCCATCTTGTCAGCCGGAGAGAAAAGTGGTGAGCCCAACTATCAAGATGCAAGCTTCATCGAACTACAATCGATCTGCTGTTTTAACTCTTCAATTGTGCCTCATTCTTCGTCTTGTCTCTCTGTTGCCGCATCCTCATTGCTGTATAGAACGGGCACTGCGATTGACTGGTTTGTGTTTGAAGTTAAATCCTGCCAATTACACCATTTGGCACTTTCGCCGGCAGTGTTTATTGGCGACTCACATAAATGAAGAAGAGGGCAAAGATGATAGTAGCAACAACAATCAGCAATGGATCCAACAAGATTTGGAATTGGCTGCCACACTCGGTGGCGACAATCCCAAGAATTATCAAATTTGGTATCATCGACGAGCTTTGCTAGAAAGTGTCCAAAGCCGGATTCCCTACGTTCAGGCCGAATTGGACTATGTTGCCAAGGTACTGGATGAAGATTCCAAAAATTACCATGCTTGGTCACATCGACAATGGGTTGTTCGGACATCTTCGAGCTGCCAAGAGGATTTGTGGGATAAGGAACTTGAATTTGCCCATTCCATGATTCAAAAGGATCCACGCAATAATTCAGCTTGGAATCAACGCTGGTTTGTCTGTCACAAGGGTGGAGAAGACAAAACGCTCTCCTTGGAAGTTGCCACCAAAGAAGCGGATTATGCCATTCAAGGAGCTGGACTGGATCCCTACAATGAATCCCCTTGGCGCTATCTCATCGGAGTAATCAAAGAACAATGCAAAATTCTACAATCTGCCGACAAGGACAAGTTTTTGGATGACTACGACCAAAAGGCCTTCGGACTTCGAGCTGTGCTGGATGAAGCAGGCAAAGATCCCAATGATTGTGCCAGTCTCGCTTCCGCACGAATTGATATCCTGGAATTCAAGGGGGGTGAGCAGTCCCTTGAAAAGGTAAGATGGTATAGCGTAGAAAGTGCATCATGGATGGTTGCGTTCAAGAACCAATCTGACCCTTCTCTTCGTGAATATACTTGAACGTGATATAATAGGCCATGGAACTTGCCAATGGATTGGCCACACAATACGACCCCATCCGTAAGAAATACTGGAACTTGAGAGTTAGCGAAATGAAGCAAGTGTTGGCCAAGTAGGAACAAATACAGGAGTTGAGGTACCAGTAGCTACGATTCAGGGAGCAGGATGGAACAAATCACTCTAGTAGGATGTCTCTGATCCGGACAGCTCTGGGTCGTTTAAAAGTTGCATAGCATCATTACTGCTTCTCTCTCTTTGAAAACCTAGCGCATGGGGAAGCATTGTCTTTCTTTGGCTTGTCCACCCCTGCCTGAATCCACTGGAGTACCATTGGTACAGCGTACTAGTAGTACTTGCTAGCTAGCCACTAGTACAGTCCATGCAAATCAGTGATTTTGGATCTTGTGTAAGCCCGTCAGGCTGTCTTGTCACCAGAACCCTTCACAGCTTTCATTCATACGTCAGTCCGAAAGACAGCTTTGAGATTTAGGTAGAGCTGGTAAACTTCCATCAAATTTATTGTAATAAAACAGCTAATAAAACACGGATATCCCTTGGATTACCGCAACTACCGGTCGAAGACTGTTCTCTTCGAAGCATGAAGGTGACATCCACCAACCCTCTTTGACAATCTTATTAGAGCCGCAACTCTGGAACAGATCCCTCCATCTCCTCTTCGGTATCATAATCTGTCATCGTTGGAACGTACAGAACCAACTACTTGCATCGCACAGGTTGATTGTTGGAGTTTGCAGCTACTGTTTTACTTGTTTTATTAAAAAGAAGAGAAGAAACCATGACTGTGCTCAGAACGGCTCTGCTTCTGATGGTGACTTCCAGCCTGTCTGTCCAGGCATGGGTATCTCCAACACTTGGTTTTCTGGCAAGACAACAACGGACTATCCCTACGCAGCTCCAAGACATGGCCGTGACATTGGACGGAGAACAGATTCGAGGACCCATTACTCCCTTAGGGAATTTTGTTCTTGTCAAGGTCAAAGATACCCTGCAGGCGACAGCTGGAGGGGTCCTGCTACCAGACCAATCGAAGGAACGCCCTACAGAGGGTTTGGTCATGGAGGCGGGACCTGGGAAAATCCATCCCCACACGGGTATTCGTATCACCAACCCTGTCACGGCGGGAGTATCCGTGCTCTATGGAAAGTTTGATGGCAAACCAATCGAATACAAGGGAGAAGAATGCCAAATGATCCGAGATGACGATGTCATGTTGTATTATACCGGTGTCACCATGAGCTTGGAAAATGTGACACCCTGTCGCGATTATGTATTGATTGAGGTGCCACCTAAACAAGAACAATTGACTTCTTCAGGTGTTGTTATTGCTGATATGGTTACAAAAGAAGATGAGGTCTGTGAGGGATTTGTGGTCAAGGTGGGCAAAGGACGATTGAACTCCAGCGGAGAATTCTCCCCCAGCCCAGTAGCCATTGGAGAGAAGGTCAAGTTCAAGGATTATGCAGGAAATGATGTCCGTATCGAAGGCAAGGACTTCGTTCTGGTGCGAATGGTGGAAATTTTATGTACGGATGTATCGGAGGAACACAGTCCCTAGTAGTAGAACCGTGTATCTCTAAACGAAGCTGTGTGCTCTAGCTAGTTTTAAAGCTGGACATTCCATTGTCAAAAATGTTGTTTCCGCCGGTTGTTCTCTTCACAAAAGAATACGCCTTTTGCGCCGAAGTTGAACCTTACCGTACTAGTACTGGTACCGTACCCTGCATGAGTCTCTCAACTCCATGACGCTTCACTATTTTGGCCGCATGGCTAGAAGAAAGGCAGACCAGCAATACAAACTCTATCAAGTAATACTGCGAGCTACATGTATCGCTTCTTAGCCAGTGGAATTGTGATTCGCTTGAGTGGACTCTTGACCCAACCGATGTCTGTCTTGACCGTATCGTGACTTCCAGGCGCGAAGATCATGGGAGCTTTGTTGGTAAAACCTACCAAAATCTGACGATACCGGTATCACTACTGTACTACTCTCTAGAAACCAATTCTATGCATTGTCGGAACAATGCACGAGACCTTTGCAAAACTAGAGCGACGGAATTACATGTACTTGCACTGCACAAAACAAGATGTCTGTTACACAGCAGGTTCCTCAAGTCCAGCATGTATTGCTCCCATGCTGCAACTACCCCCCGTACTAGATGATGAAAGCCAGAGGGAAAAACTGAAGAAAACACCAATACTTCGTGATTCCATCAGACGTTGCTGATTCGATTCAATAGCCACCAAAGCAATTTGCACTCTTCTAAAATACGGATTGAATATCCACGGAGACGATCAGAATTTCTATCCCTGGTATTGCTCCCAATCGTTGACTTCTCTTTACTATGGCACTCAATTCCAACGCTCGACAGGTATCCACGTAGCTTATGAGGGAGGAAGAGTTTTTCGTCCACATTGCATTGCAGCAGTATTGTATGTTGTCGTGTGTGCTCTCGTTCATTTTCGGTCTCTATTCCAACCAATTTCCTGTTTTCCAATTTTCCATTCCAAACCAATCCCTCCACTTCCATGTCTCGCCAGCTTATTTTCTATCACCACCTACAATTCGACATGCTCGTCACTGCCGGCGTCATCTTGCAATGATGAGAGATCCGGTGCTTCGGCTGGTGGTTCCTCGTCCTCTGTCTTGGCTGTAGAACCGGCATCGTTCATGGCAGCCATAAAGCTTCCATCCTTCATAGCTTCTTGTGCCATACGAATTTGCTCCTCGGTGGGGGTTACCTGCTGGGTTTTGCGTTCCTTGGGTGGGACGTTGTTCACGTAGAGCCCAAACATTAACATAAAGATCAAGACTCCTCCTAGTATCATGGGAAGGATTTTGAAGCACGCCTGCAATGCACGCACAAAACGAAAGAAGGAAATTGGTTATCTTTTTAAACAAGTTCACAGCATAGACCCCCATGACACTTCCTCCACTCACCTCCCGAGCTTCTGCTTGCTCCTTGAGACGAACCATCCTTTCCTCTTTTGTCTCGGCCCGATGATTCCCATCTTTCTTTTGCGTCTTGTTGTTTTTCGAGCGGCTCATATCGGCTGTTTAATCGACTTCCAATGCCTGTCTTCTATCTATCAAAGTGCTCTATTGATGCAGCCGTTCTTCGAAAGCCTTCTCTCTTTCTCTGCATGCCATGGTCGGTGAAGCCAAGGGACACAAACACGCGAAGCCCAAAAAGATCCATTTGAGATGGTGCCACGTGGCACACTATCTCTAACGCTAACCCTAACTCTCTGTCACACCGTGGAACCCAACGCTGGCACAACCCCAAGATTCGGCTTTTTTCAGCGTTGGTCTCCTGTTTCCTCAGTTTGCTCGCTACTTGGATCCATATGACGAATAGATGTAATCCAGCCATTGTATAGCCAGCTACGGTACCTACCGTAGGCAGAGAGTTACATCGATCCATGACAGTGGCAACAGTACCGAACACACTCAGGTTCCGCTTTACTGGCTACACTCCGTTACCGGTACCTTGCATTTGATCCTTATGACGAATACATGCACAACCGAACATTGTCAATCCAGCCATCGTAGCCAGTTACAGTAGAGTTCATCGATCAGTGACAGTGGCAACAGTACCGAACACACTCAGGTTCGACTTTGCGCGCTGCACTTGGTTACCTCGCATTGGATCCTATGACGAATACATGCACAAAACCGACTATTGTTAATCCAGCCATTGTAGTCGGCTACCATTACAGTTACATCGGCGGCAGTGTCAACAGTACCGAACACATTCAGTTCCGTTTTGCAGGCTAAACTCCGTTGCCGGTATCTTGCATTGGATCCTTATGACGAATAGACTACATGCACAACCGAACATTATGAATCCACCCATTGTAGCCGGCTGCGTATAGCTACATCGACGAAGTGGCAACAGTAACGAATACACAGGTTCCCTTTGCTCGCTACGGTTACCTTGCATTGGATCCTTTTGACGAATACATGCACAACAGAATATTGTCAATCAGCCATTGTAGCCAGTTACCGTAGAGTTACAATCAATCGGTGACAGTGGCAAGAACAGCACCGAACACACTCAGGTCCGTTTTACTGGCTACACTCCTTTACCGGGTGTACCTTGCATGATCTTAGACGAATAACATACAAACCAATATTGTCAATCCAGCATTTAGCCAGCTGCCGTATAGGTAGTGGCAACAGTACTGACTTGCGCATACAGGAAAATGGATACCGACACAGGAATCACCACCAAAAAAGTAGGAAATAACAAGAAGGGATGAATCGGTAGGAAGATCCACTCTCTTGTGTGTTGTTGCCTCTTCCGGTGGCTGATAGGCTCCTCTGTTCAGGCTGTTGGTAGGGTGGAGTTAAAGAGCCTTCTCCTCCGTAGCGGTAGCTCTCCTCTTGTTATCCGGACGATCGATCGTCGACAATGGTAGTTCCTCGGCCGTCAGCATAAGAGAACAGAAAGTAAGAATAGATATGTTTTCTCTTCTATTCTGATACTGGAGACCGGAGACTTACCCTTTTTTTCAACTTGCACCAACTGGCCGTCATGGGCCGAAAGACTGATTGCCAATCCCATGGCTCCATAGGATGTCAATGAGGGATGCTATCGCTTTCTGTACCAGAGTCAACCGGCTTGAGTGGAGCTTGGATACAGAGATAATAGAGCATGCGACGAATCGATTGAAAATTAAACATCGGCCTGTGACGGCCGAGCTCGCAATTCTCTCCTGGTTCACATAGAAATCAATGAGGGAGAGAAGTCAGCGCTTAACCTTCAATTAACACTCTTGATAATACCGCATGTCTTACCTCATTGCGATCGATTCGATCGATCTGCCGATGATAAAGCACTCACCAATGCATTATTGTTGTCGGCCTAGCTTGGATTTCTCCTGTTTTACCATATGAATTGCAATGAGGGAGAAAGTCAGTGCTGCGCCTTTTTATTTAAAATAATAGACCTGATAATGACTTTCCTCGATCAGTTTATCCTTAACCTTAGTAATTCAATGGTTCTTTTATCCACGAAACGATCTAAATTCAGACTTAAAGTTAATAAAGGAACTTCGTACTTACGATACAATGACCGTTTATTCTGCAACTGACAGTCGGCTACTCTTTTTACACAGAATAAACGCCCGGGAAAATCGATTTGGAGTGCAACTGAGGGGGAAACAAAAGGAGCTGTCGGTCTGGGAGACCATAATTCGGCTTTTTTTTCAGCGTTCGTTCCTGTTTTCCTCATCGATACACGGCTCTTAGCCTTATTCGCGAATCGATCCTAGATAGGGTTTGAGTTCGACTCATGGCCGAGTTCTCGTAAATAGTCATTGAACAGAGTTCTCAATGGACCGCGTAGTCATACTAGGTTTGATGAAACATCGCTCTAGATATTTAGCCAGCGTGGGAGTATTCCACGCTACTAGATCCAGGCTGACAAACTTCCACGGCGTTCGTTTTTAGAGATCGTGGAAGACGTTAGGATTACTACCACAACCTACTCTATCAACCTCTACATAGTCTCCCGCGGGGAAGCAGATCTACGACCTTTGATGATGATCTCTCTCGTTGATTAGTTTTATAAGTTTCTATAGTCCTCCATTAAAACTGTTCATTGCCTCTCAACTCAAACACTCGAAAATCTTTTACACTAGCTTTTCGTGCGTAGTGTGTTTTGTTAAACAACGCTATGAGCTTACTGCTGCTACACTACGAACGGTGCGTATATCTCCGTGATCGATGCAATGATGCACCTCTAATGAACGCATCGCGTCTGATCGACAAGTTTCGAGACTGCTCTCTCTCTTTTAA